AAAAAACTGTTTAACGGCCATGGCAAACTCAAGTAGGTAGGTATTTGGTTAGGTTAATTTAACCAAAGGATAACCCAATCTTATCCCGGTTAAGGTATAAAAAATGTATTTAGAAGTTTACGCGGACAAATTTAGTTTCCAAAAAAATTAACTTTCTCAATAACTAGTAACTATCGCTATTATATACATATTACGTTTAGCTACTTATAATATTTCCTATATATATATATATATATATATATATATATATATATTAATTTTTAAAAAAGAAATTGGTCGCAAGTTGCGAATTTGACAAACTATTCTACTGTAAAAATATTCACTAAAAAAAAAAGTGAATATCTCCAGTAATTAAAATGTTAGTCGTGTTTTTTCCTTTCATGCGTCAAAGTATAAAATTAGACTTAAAACTTCAATATTGTTTATAGAAGATAATATATTATATATTCGGGCCGTATAACTGTGACTGTCCTTTGAATGATGCCATACGGAATATAATATTATTATTGTTTACCTTATTGTGTATGCGTCTCACATGACCAAATATATTATCGACTTATTATTGAAAAACGAAAATAAGAACGTAAGTTAAATAGGTAACTTTCCAAGTTTATTTTAGACTTCAAACTATAGTTAGTGTACAGCGATATGATTATTAAATAGACGGACATACTTCGTCCGATGGGTGGGCCACTGTTGTAGGTGAGAAAATGGGAAAATTTCAACCAAGGATATAAAAGGGAATTTAATGTGCACTGTAAGCAGCAATAAACTATTGTTTAAGAAAAAACGATTTTGAGCGGAGTTCAGTTTATAGTGATGCTTTGTCAACAATATATATGCCATATTGTAGTAAAATAATTAAATTGGCTCTATATATTTTTTTTAATAATATTTGTTTAATGTTGTATTGATTTCCCCGGTTTTCCTATGTTTTTTTCCGGTTTTCCGTGTTTTTTCTCAGTTTTTCACATTTGCTGAGAAAACTCCGGAGAAAATCGAAAAAACCTCTCTAATGTACCTCCCTAGTGAAATATCCTTTCAGAAAAATTGCTATCATTAAAAGTTGAAGCGAAATTGATGGTAGAAAAGTAATTCACAGAAAAAAGCCGAAGAAGGCTTGCTGTATAGTGAAACGAGGTTTTTAAACAATTTTCGCATATCGACGTATTTGGAGGAGTCTATGACGATGTGTTTGATTAATAGATTTTCTCTGTATGTGTGGGACAGAATTTGGAGAGGAGATAACAATTCTAAAATGTTGACACGAAGTCGTCTCGACTGCGGGATCGTTATTTCACATTTTTTCATGGAATACAAAACCTATAATTCAAATTTAATTTAATTAATAAGGGCGAAATTAATACGTTTCTATCCTAACCTGATTTTTCGGCTTTTTATATTCTCAAGTGTCCGGCCTGATACGAGAAAGGACTCACAAGAACTGTATAAGATTCCCCAAGTTTAGGATATCGGTTTTCGAATGAATTTTTTTTGTTTTGAGGTGTTATTTTTCAATATTAATGTTAAAGCGATTGATTTTTTTTTTTTTGTAAAGCGATTGGAAGCTGTGTAAATATAGATACAGTTTTTACCGATTTACCACGCGTTTTCATAGTACATGTATATTATATACATATATTTTCATAAAACCGGACAATAAACGATGTAATAATAATGCACATGTCTGTTTCGCGTGTGATACGATACAAATACGTTTTACACCGTTTTATGTTTATTATTATGATTTTAAAAACGTTTAACACGCGGGTAGGTGTGGAAAACGACACATTATACATTATATTCTATTATACATTGTACCGTACATTATTGATAAAAAGCAATTCACCACTGTTCTTATTATCTTTTTCTTTTTCATGTCCTTTATTGTACTGTTTTTTAATACTCATATTATACACAACACGCACACACGATTTTATTCGTATTACGTACGTATCTATTTACCTGAATAATTATAGGCGATTATAGTAAACGTGTCGGGCGATGCAACGATTATGAGTTGTAATAATATTATTGATACTGTTGATGGATGACGTGTCGCTGTTTTAAAAGGGATGTTTAAAATAAAGATTTATAGAGTAATTCAATTAATAGTTATTAATTGAATACACAACGATAAATCATTGTTTACAAAAAAAAATTCTGATCAGAGTATTATATTAATCGTATTTTGTCCATTATTGCCGAGGTAGCTACTCACAAATTAACAAAAATTTTACGAAAAAATGGCAGTTTTTCCAACTTATTAAGATAACAACAGGACAAATGAAAGAATGAACTTTTCAATATGTCACATTAAAAATATCGAAAATGCTATAAGAAAGGTCAAAGTAAAGATAAGAGTAAGATTCCTGGTAGAAAAGTTGTTTACAAACGCGAAAAAAAAGTTCGCTTTGCTCAGAATTTAAAATTTGGACGAAAACTGCACAAAACACAACGTATATAATAATAATCAGAAAAACGCGTTACATATTCGGACGGAACACGGAAGATGTTGAATTGGAAAAAAAAAAAACGGGATATAAGAGCTGCCGCCAGCGGTACGGCAAAACGGCTTATAGAACGTGTACGCTCGTATATCGTAATAATTATTATTATCGTACCCAGGTATATGTATATATTATAAAAATAGAAATCGTAATCGTCGTAAAACCGTACAACTGATATTTGCACTGTAACTACTCGTCCGGATATAATAATTTTATTGACTTCCGTTTTGCTGTGAACGAATTTCTTTTATAAACAAACTACTTACATTACTATATTAAAAACACGAAAAAAAAAATGGGAAAAATTGAATAAATTAATAAACACATAGATTCGTCTTGTACTACGTTGTTACACAACGAGTGTACATGATATTATTATGTACTAACTACTAAGACAGCAGTTCTTAAAATTTGTATACCTTGGTATTTGCGAGGTATGTTGATATCATTCGTGAATATTATACTTACCCGAAAGAAAGTAGATATGCATTTAAAAATTTACGACTTATGAGTGTAGGGAAAAGTGTTATCTGTCAGTAAATATCTACGCGATTTAACGTAGATTGCTAGATTACCATACAGTGGCAGATATCGCTATAATCGTACCGAACCCGAACTTCAAAAAAAACAATACAAATTAAGAGGTCCAATTTGAAATGTCAATGATCAAATAACTGTACCTACTAACTACTTACCTACATAATGTTCTACAGTTGAATGACGATAGACAACAGCATACCTATAAACTAAAATAAATTCCATTTTCGTGTTCCTATAATTTTTATTTTTCGCTCGTTCGTTTTTTTCCCAGCCAAATAAACGAAATTTTATAAGTCACAATTTTCAGTTGCAGGGTTTTCGAACTGTTGGTAATGTCATTATCACACTGTAATACCTACGCGAAATAATATTTTCTCATAGAGATTTTCCGCTTCTTTCAAGGATATTTAATTTTTGATTATCTAGTTTACAATATTAATACACGATAGGTTTATTATGGTCGTATATTTAACCTTCTCGCAACGATACCGTCGTACGTTTCCGGTTCGTTGGCCGCGAAAAGCCAGGCCAACGAGAACTGTAAAACGAGTTTACTCGGACATCTGTTTGTATAGTATTATGCGTATAGCGTTTTTTGAAATCGTTACGTGTTCGAATCGCAGGCAGAACTGCATTTAACGAGAGGGGTAACAAATGGGAGAGGGGAAATATGCCCGGAGCAACCAAGTCCAAAGCGATTTGTGAGGTGGCATTATTATAGGCATATTATATTATTTTTAGGCAAGAGACGTGGCGTGGCAAAGAATTTGTTTAAGGTCACCGCTTCAACCGAAATTGGTTGATGGGTCGTGAATCATGTTGGAGACTGTAGCACCGCAGTAGTGTTGAATTCATGTATACTCCAGGGGGAGGGGCAAATACCCTCTGTAATTTCATTCAAGCCTGACAAATACAACGGTTAACAAAATGTATATTTATTAAATAAATAGAAGATGCAGTTGCACAATTATCAAGAGAACTCTATAGAAATTTTGAGAAAAAAAATACTAAGAATATTTATGGACTTAAGTAAAGCATTTGATAGTATTTATCGCATCCAATTAATACATATTTTTAAATTCATAAGTATACCTGTTTAATAAGCTTTGTAATAAACTAAAACCTTAAAAACCCGCGATAATAATTGTGTATACTGCTTTGTCTGTAAGAGGGAGGGTGGTAATGGTAATTATTAAGCAGACAATATTAATTGGTTTTTGGAAAAAATTTTTGTAAAAAAAACCGAAGTTCCCAAGAACGATCGGTTTATTAAAAGTTAATAAAAAATATCCCATCCCTGTTTGACTACTTCAGGAAACCCAGAAATCATCGAAGAAATGCTGAAATTCTAGTGTATGAAAATTAAAAGTTAGAAATCTGACTTCGAAACGTTCGAAACTTCAGGACTGCGTGCACAAATATAAAGATATTATAATATTTCGCTGTAGGTTTTTTTTTTTTTTAAATTTCTAGAAAACTGTCGCGAATCTAGACAAATGGTTCCAATAAAGTACCGACATTACCGGTTCGAATACAAATTACTTACCAGTTGTTGATGAATTTCGATCGGATGCGGTTGACGAAAATCGGTATATTATGATGATATGCTTCGCGTGGCCTAGTTCCTATGGATACCTACGGCCTTAAACGTGACCCACAGAAAAATAATTAATCGGAAGTGGGAAAAAAAAAAAAATCGCAAAAATACATCAATCACTGCTTTCGTCTGGACACCCTCTCAACACAACTCCACCCCTTTCCCATCTTTATCGAACGTCGCATTGGGTGACGTTCGGGTTGTCGAAAATTTAGAGTGAAAAGTGCAAGCGGTACCGCGGAATCACGTGACGCGAATATACGCTGATGTGCAGGCGAGTAGCGGTGCAGCGGTGAAAGTGTTATTTTAAAAGCGACCGTCCGCGAAGACACCGGTCCAGTCCAGTAGCGTACCGTCACCGTCGACAGACAGCCGCGCGCTCGCGAAACACCGCCGAAATAATACGCACGTCGCTTGTGCCGAAAGATAATACACGCCGACCTAACCGGACCTGGCCAAACCTGCAGACCTGGCTGAACCTATCACCGGCGCGTCGTCCACGTCCCGGTCCGTCAGGGGAAATAACCCGCGGAATTCACGACGTTTATCCGCGCGCGATGTGATTCGCCTCGGCCGACCGTACTGATGTGAACTATGACCGCGGTGGCCGTCGTCCGTGTTGCAGGTCATGGACCGGACAACCGCGCGCTCCGGAGTACTTTGGTCACTTATGCTGTTGCTGCTACCATTGTCGCCACTGTTGACCGCGGTGGCCGCGCAGGCGACAATGGTTGGCAACGCCGGTGGCCCGTGGCGTCCGCAGAGGTTTTCCGCATCGGACGCCGTCGTCGACCCAGACGACCGGTCGCTGGACAACGAGATCATCGAGGATTACGCCAAACTGCCGCGGCCACCGACACCTGGCGTCGAACAATTTTACGATTACACGGCCTCCTTATACAGTTGAGTGGTCATTTTTTTGTTTTTTTTTTTTTTTTTTTAAGTCCGGTAAACTCAACAAAACCAACCCGTGAAAAATGCCAAACTAGGACGCCCTCAAATATCAAAAATAATCTATGTACCGGTCATAGATTTTAAAAAAAATGACCGGGCTACTCCTGTATAACCATCATAAAGAGACGTGGCAACGGATGCGAAAGAGAGAACGACTACAGTACAACATAATATAGGATATGTCTGCTTATTTTTGTTCTAGCAAAGGCCAAAGGGAATTAATATTAATGTTTATATCCACGTAAGAAGTTCTCTTGATCTATCCATTCTTGGATGGACTCCATAATGTGGAGGTATCGACCTACTCAGGATATAGGCACTAAGTACTAGGGTTTTGATCCAGAGCGATTTAGTCAAAACAGAAAACGGTTTCTTGGCGTACAATTCGTTTTCTCTGAGTCCAACTATACCCATATCAGCTGATAGGTTAGAATAAGTTTACACGATTTATGATTTTCTTTGTCTGAGCTACACGATTCGCTTTGAAGCAAATCATGATAATCGGTTGCTCTGGATTTTAACTCGTTAGGTAGATATATAGGTATCCCATACCGATTTGACGTTTCAAATTGCGAATGGAAGGATAACGTTTTCGGTGATCATAATAGAGTAATCATTATACATGTAATATAGTATTTATGCACTCGCGTATGTTGTAACTATATAACATTATACTTTCGGTTTTTTTTTTTAGATTCTGAGTGGAGCGAAGAATGTATTGGTTTTACAAAGATGTTTATTTTTTTTATTTGTTTTTTTATATTGTGTACAAAAATTCGACTAAAAATCTTGATCCGATTTATACGCATGGCACCATTTCTGAAATAAATTATTGTTCAGCTGGTACTTTATGGAGATTTTTTTTTGATTTTCCAATCGGTTTTCATAATATCTGGGAAAAACCAGGATAAAATGTACAAAATTAATGCTTTTATTATTTTATTAATTTTGTTATTTGTTGTAATTCAGTTGAAAATATTCGTAGGGACTTGAATTTGAAAAGAAAACTTATATTTGACTTTTCTAAATGTGGTCAAATTTTCAAAAAATTTAAGCTATCTTTGACATAATTATAGACATTTTAATTTTGTGAGTTTTGTACGTAATTTTTATTCGGTAGGTAATCTGTGGTAAATTGTTAGACTTAACAGAAATGCTTGATAATTAAACAGGAGGTGCATTAAGTTTTACTTTGTAATAAAAAAAAAAAAATTTAATGTAGTAATTTTTTTTGTAAAGAAATTTTGATATTAAATTTTGACGAAAATCTTTCAAGTGAAATATTATGTGGAACAAATCTAATTTTTCTATTTTTTGTTTTGAATATATGTATATTACCGATTTAAGAACGACGATGAAGTAAGAATTGAGTATATTTTCGAAATTATAGTTTTTTGAAATTCTGATATTATGCGGATATTATATGTTATGTTAAAGAACTATATTATATGGTCAAATTTAAATGTTTGTCGAAGTCTAATGGTTATAGATGCCTTTTGTTATCCTAAGGATCACGAGTTCAAACCCGTATTTTAAACAAATTTGCATTTATTTTCTCCCTTTACCTAAACAGGGAGAAACCAAATGCATTTTAGGTGTACCCAGAGACCCAGCTATCAGTCACTCGGACTATTTTAATGGAAAAATACCCCTCGATTTGTTGTGTACATTTTTCTACCAAAAATCTTGCTCTAATATTTAAATGTAGCACTTTTTCTGAAGGAAATCGGACTGGGGCGGTTCCTTAGGGAGGTCATTTTTCGATTTTCCCAAGAGTTTTCCTAGAAAATGTGAAAAACCGAGAAAAAACAAGAGGAAAATCGGTACGATATTAAACTGATATTATTAAAGAAAATATATAATGCCTATTAAATTATTTTACTTGGTTTATTGTTGATTACAGGCATACATTAAATTACCTATAACAGTGGCTGCACCCGTCTCCATTATCCTAGGATGTATTTTTTTGAATTGACCACAGTATTTTTTAATAACATTTTACGCAAATGTACATATACCTACGACATGTGTTACCGTCTGTAATAATTCTTCGCAGTGATTTGGCAACTATACGCTTCGTCGCCGTATCACTATTTTACACATAATAACCTATATAGGTACTCATACGGTTGTAATTAGATACATAGTAAAATCCATACACTATACATATACATATACTTACTAACTTATTAAGTTATGTGCATCGTGTTTTAGTGGCGAACGTCGAGTACGTACCTATGTCGGCTAACCCGGTCACGTCTCGTGGTATATAGGCGACAGTAATTTTGTGCACTGCAGCGTAGAATATAATAATACTCGATTACGCAAAAGTCCTCTCCAATTTGATCATTCACAAATCACAATAGCGTTTTAACGACAGCACAAATGTTTATTATCTACTCAGACCATGTTTTGAAAAGACCAGTTGTCTGAAAAAATGTATAAATCAATTATTACTATACGATATCAATAACATACCTTAATATTTATAAACGTAATAGCTGGTTTTGGAACGAAAAAATTAAAAACGCATTTTCTTGTGCCTCCTCGTTTCCATCCCTGTCCAGTAAACCATTGGTTTTCTAATAATTTATTAAAAGAGGATCTTTCTTTCCCTTGAAGATAAAATTATCAAATTTGTTTCATTCGTATCATCCAGGTAACCCACAATTAACAAAAATATTTCAATTTTCGTATCAAATATACCAAAAACCCAATGTGAACTACTCCTTAATGATAGAATTTTGGAAACCAGACTTCAAGTTGCGTACGGACCCGTTAATACACTTCTGTACATACATTTTCAAACCTCTGTGTGCGATAGATACGGCTGTACATCGTGCACAGACAAACAGACAGAAAGACAAGACAGAGCATAGAATATAATATCTAGTTTATGAAATATAATGTACGAGATGTATGATAATATTTTGTTTTAGAGCTAGTTTGCTAATACGGACATCGTTGTAAACGAAGTCTATAGTAATTTCTATAGTAATATTAGTGGCGTCTCTTGGGGAGCTTTGATCCATTTAATCTAATTTTCAGTTTTATTTTAATTCGGAATTTCGGTTGATATCTGGGTTTTGGGTCTGGAAGAAAAATATAATCAATCAAATGTAAATTTTATGTTTAAGTTACATTTTAAAATCAATGAAAGTTGAATGAAAAATATGTTTGACAAGATTTCGTTCAAATAGTTTTAAATTTTTAGAACTTAAATTATCGAAAAAGAAAATGTTTTTTTCGTAAAATTAGTTAAATTAGGTAATACAAGTATACAACGTGTTGTGATTTATAAAAGTTGACGATTTTTTTATCTATACAATTTTTTTTCAATTTTTAGAACATTGTGTTTAATAATTAATGAATGGCTGAATGGATGTTTTGTTACAATTTTGGGATATTATTAAATTCAGTTTTATTCCATTAGTAATTATGTTATAAGTTGTCTTTATTTTGGAATATAACTTATTAATTTATCACATATAGACATGTAAGTAAATGATGAACAATAACTATAGTTATAAATGCATAAGTTACTTTTTTTGATAACTTATAACTTTACTAGTTAAAATAAAATGAAACGTTAGAAAATAATGTTTAACTTAATTATTTCTTTTGTATAAATAGTTGTAATTTAATTCATTTATTTTGCAAAAATTTAAGTTATGTTTATAAGTATTTGATGTCAATTTTTTAAATGTTATTTACGAATTTTTTATACAGGTGTAACAATAAATTGTATACCGGGGTATTTCACATTTATTTTTCTGCAAAAAAATTACGTATTTATGCGTGAATATCATGATCAGATTACCAGTCGATTATATGGCCTTTTTTTAGGATAACTTATAGTTGAAAAAATTGATTTACTTGCCCGGCGTTTTATCGATAACTTTACCAATATAATAACTGATAGTTTCATCAATACTAACTTGTGATCAACTATCATTATAAATCATTATACATTTTTTCTTTTACCATAAAGAAACAATTTCACGCGATAATAACACCGATAGATTTATTAGTATAAGTATTAGATAATAGAATTATGTAGGAAAATCTGTATCATTTTTATCGTATGGTACAATAATATATTAAGTATATTAATTTTGTGTTTTGTGAATTAGTTTACGACAAGGTTATTAAAACTGCAACCTACTTAGATATTTTAACGTAATAGCGAATATTATAATCATGCTATACTATCGAAAAGAGACAGAGGAGAAAGATAAACTACAATGACCGCCATCCACCATCGAGAATAATAATATAATATAATTTATTTGTAATTATTTTATCGGCCAATATTGATACGGATCGATTTTTTGACCTAATAAACGAAATTCACTTGCCTATAGTAATAAACGACAAATAAAAAAAAAATTTTTTTAAGCCCGGAGAAAATCTTTTAAAACATTATTGTGATCCGGGGAAAGTTGCAGACGGCTTCCACGACGATAATAAAGTAAATAAGGTACCTACTAAATTTATAAAGACTAAATGAATGATTCGAAATGATGTTTTAAATTTATTGTTCAATTCTAATTATAATTCGAATAAATCTTTCATTTGAAACGATAGTAAAGAAAAATCGCGTACTATGATGAGTTCGTGGTTTCTATATTGATAGGTACGTCAAAATCCGCGGCGAGTCAATAATAAAAAGCATCTGATAATAAATTGACGTTTTCGTTCGAATCGAATGCATTCATAAACCGACAACACTCCGATAATAAATACAGGGCGATTATTTTGTATCACGAACTGGGGATTTTTTACAAAGATATCGAGTAAATCGATTTTGTTTCTTTTGTTTTCCAATCAATATTATATTATTATTCTTCTCGGGGTCATCGAATTACTTATAGGATTGCACACACCCAATTATCCCTGTCGTCTGTTCTTATAATTTCCAGTCTGACCCTTTATTTGAAGATAACACGTCTCTTCTCATCACATTTTCCTATTTCAAATGGGTTCTTCCAAAAGTTTATTTTTCCTTCCAATGCGTCCATTAGAATTTACCAAACGTAAAAATAGATTCTGAACCATTGGAAGTGTAGGCTTTGTACAGTCTACTATAAAGTTAGGTTAGGTTAGATTAGGATCTTCTACTGTTAATCGTCACATATATCGAATGTGTCCAATATATTACGTTTCGTTCCTAGAAATCTAGTTCTTTGATTTTTTTTTTCTTATTCTCGATCTCCTTCTGTTTCACTAGACCAAAAATTTCCCGTAGAATTTTTCATATAGTTTTTTTCCTCCATTTTCCAAGTGAACGATATTATGGCATTGTGTTCACGGTAAGATAAACAATGGAACCATTTTGAAAATATTTCAATTTAAATGTAGGACGTAGGTATATCATATTATATAAAAAGAAAAACCGAAATCAATCGTACACAAAACGTTCGTAGAAAATTACCGGTTCGTGATAAAACAATCACGCTGTATACATTACAGTCCAACCCAGTGCGGGCCCGAATAATGGCTTGGCTACTATTTTATTATATATTAAAACAATATAATGAGGAGACACTTTGTTTGGTGTTTGAATATTCACAGGACAATAAAGTTGTGTTCAGTAAATAATAATAACAGTACAAAAGAGCTCGTAATTAACGAGTCGGCAGTGTTATCGATAAGTATACTGTAAGTCTGTGATTGACACTGAAAAACACACCAGGCCTATTTTGATATTATATACTGTTATAAAAAATAACTATGACATTTTTTGAATAATTATATTTCAATGGAAAATCATAGATTTTATTACGGTGTATTTTTTCTACTCGTATTTGTAGCCTTTCGAATCTAGGTTGCAGTATTTTGGAAGTAATATTTTTGATTTTAATTGTAGTTATTTTAATAATTTCAAAACTAGAGAAAAAATGTAGGAAATATAGAAAAGTTTACAGCAATAACGGTTTTATTATTTTAGATTTTATTTGTTGTTATTTGATTAAAAATAACCACAGAAACCTGACATTTTCACAAGATACTTATATTTTTCCTTGAAATTTTGATTTTTTTCTTTAGTTTTATGTGGATACGATTATCTAATTTAGTGACAAAAAAAAAAATTGAGTGTAATATAGTAAGACATGTTTTATTTAAGTTCAAATTTTGACAAAAATCGTAAAAATCATAGGATTTAAAAAATATGCTTAACCAAACTTCACTCAGAACCATAGTTTTTCAGCAATGATTTATCGTTGTGAATACTGATGTAAATTAAATAAGTCTCATGTACACTACCTTCCGAACTTCGCATCTATCTTCTTTTTTTTGTGCTCATGTAATTTGATTTGCCTTATGAATTTAGACTTGTTATACCACTTAACTGCTGAATAAATATGGCCAATATTCAGCAGCAGGAGTTTTTTTAGACCGACTCGTACAGTGGTACATGGTATTTAACGGGGCTATCAAACAACGTTATCAACGCTAAAATTTAACATCGATAAAAAGTTATCGATCAGTTTTTCTCTACACATTAAATTATCAAATACCTATAAGAAAACCTGTAAATACGACATTGGAGTCGTGTGTGAAAATAGCTATATCGTCGCCTTTTCGTCTTTGTTTCAGTGGAGAAGATGGTCCGTCGCTGGGCGCCGCTCATATGGCTGGCACCGGACGAACAGTTCCTTCCCGGTTCCGTATCGGACTTTTTAAATCATGTGACGCCCAGGCCGCCCAGGACCTCACAGGACCCACAACAATTGCTCCTACAATCCAAAGTGCCCATGGGTCCCGAATCACAGACGTGGTTCTTGGTCACCAAGTCCGAAATAGGTGCGTATTATACGTCACCAGAAAACGTGTTATTCGTAATATCAAATGAAAATAAGTCGACGTTTTCAAATAACTCAAAAAAAATCAGAAATATTTTGAAAATTATGCGCACTACGTTCTGTAAAAAATGGTAGTATTCCGTTCCAAGACTAGTATTGCAGGTCTTACGATAGTATTATTTAACATTTCTTACCGAATAACCAACAAAAGAACAAAAAAAATAAAAATAAATAACTTGTAGGAGGTTTAAAATAAAAAGAAATAATCTTTTCCTTATACGTAAATATTATCGTAACAACTCTCGGTGACAACATATAGACTCTGTGGCGCTTGTCTGGGGAAGTGTAATGCGTATAACCGTAACGGATATTGTGTATAAATTAACGGTATTATATATATATGTGTGTACTGAAAATGTTACCCAACGGGTTTGGTTAAATGTTATGCGTTATTGTTTTTCACCTCCGAATGAACACAATATTTCCGCGGATGACTGTGCGGTTTCGAGACTATACCGATGGCCTCGTAAACTAGGTACAAGTCTGGGAACTAAAATACTGCATAATGAAGCGATAAAATTATGTAATTTCACATTTTTTGGATAATACGTCACGTGCAAATGATAAAGTTCTATAACTATTGTTTTTTCGAAAAATTGTTTTTTAATAAAATATTTTTTTATAGAAAAAAAATATATACATTTTTTAAAAATTACTATGAAGTTTTTATCTTAGTATGCCATCGAGATATTCAAAATGAAATGGTTTATTTTAAATAATAAAAAAAAAATTGATTTGTTTTTATATAAACAAAATAGAACCTTCTCAGAGTGAATTATCATTAATTTGGAAGTAATTGGGTCTATCTACTGATTACGTGTTTATATGTTTTGAAAATGAAAGAGTACAATATACAACAGTAGGTTCTACAATAATATTAATAATATAATAATATTGTACAATATTAATATCAATATTGTATAATATACAATGTAATCATATTGTGTTTTTAAACAATTTCATATCAGTGACCTAGATACTTTTCATTCTCAGGTAACGTATCCAGTGACCAGTGTACTCAAAGATTAATCAAACTAACTGAAACGTACTTTGTTTTAATTATAAGGGATTGGGTACCGAGATTTTTTATATTATTTATAGGACTATAAAACATACCCAGCATACGAATATTTAGATCAATTTCCCTTCGATCAATCCGATTGATGTAGTAAAGAAGCGATAAGAATTCTGAAAATAGATTTCAATATTCATCTGAAGTGTCGAACCTCTCGAGATTGGTTGGACCACTTTTTCAAATTTCCGTCCTTGATATTTAAAAAAAATTAAAATGTATATATATATAAAAGATTAAAATTCAATTTGGTTAGTTAGTCGAGAAGAAAATTAATCAACTACCTATAGATAGTCAAGTAATCATCAAGTTGAAATAAAAATTAATTTTTAGTAAATTAAAAATAATAACCGAATACTTATTGTACTTTAATATTATTAAGACGCTACGAGTATAATTATTAGTAATACATTATTACTAGTATAGTTTTGGTTTTGATGGGTGTTTATTAAAAAAAAAATAACTTTTTTCCACCACAATAATTACCTTATATTATTATTTCAAACGTATGTACTACTTTTGAATGTTTTAGACTTTTTGAATAATTACAGTTTACATTATAATAGTATTGTATGTTTAAATTTTATCGTTTTTAAACAGTTTCTCTAAGCGGTTTTAGCGATTCGACGGGTGACCCGTCCGGTTTTTAGAAAATTACGCGACCATTAGGTATATTTTTGCATTTTGACAAAAACTATCTAATACTATTATAGCTATAATATTTTTGTCCGTGAAAACCGCAAATAAGTGAAAAAACGTTTATCAAAATTACATTGTTATGCCGACAAAAATATAAATAATATATTGTTATCCACTTACATTTTACTTGTTAATCTGTATAATATATTAGGCGTATAATAAAAATAATTACAGCTGTTTTACAATGTAAAACACTTAAAATGTATATAATTATCCGAACGTTAAGTTAGATTAGGTTAGGTTAGTTTTTAATTTTTTAGCAATGGGGAAACATTGTGCAAACAAATCGCTCACTGCTCTCGGAATAAACCAGAAAAACCAGGTGCCTCTGGTATTTTTGGTTTAGAAATATGTCTTACAGGAAAAACTCTTTTGCCTCGTAGAGGGGTCCGATAAATATTTTTTGCCGGAAAGATGAAGACTTCCTACATACCGCATTGAATGTTGTTTTTAGTATTTTCTTCTTAAAATGTATAATGTCTTTTATGAAAAAAAGGTCAAATTTCAACTTTTTTTTACTAACTTTTCAATATCTGTATTATTTGAAATCGAATGAAAAATTGGATTTCCTTGCGGTTTGTAGAATTTTGTTTTTAATCAATGAAAAATAAAGAAAAAATACGGACATACTTCCCACGATTGATGCAGCCACTGTTGTTGGTGAGAAGTTGGGAATGTAGGATATAGAGGGGAAATTAATTTGTATCTGTAAGCAAAGATAAACTATTGATAATAAAAAAAAATGATTCTGAGCAGAGTTCAGTTGATAGTGCTTTTATAGATGCTTTGTCAACAATATGTGTGTAATATTATAGTGAAATAATTTTGCATTCCATAGATATTCAAATAATCTATTATATAACTATTCAGAATTATGTTTATTATTATTATTATTTATGATTGTGTTCCGGTGGTTTTAAACACATAAACGCGTTTCCTTAATCCTAATCATACTGTTATGTACTTGTTAGAGCATATTATAACAATACATATTATGGTTGAAGGGAATGTTTTATACGTGGTCTGAGTATGCAAAATAAAAAACAATAGACTCGATGTGCGTGAACCGGATGTTTTTTATTCGAGCTAAAAAATAAAATAAAATTTAAACGATACGTAATTTTCTTTCCGTCCCTCGATCTATTCGAAAATTGGTCTTATAGTTGTATACTTGCAACTTGCAAATGTATACTCTTCATCAAATCATCTAGAGATTATTTTGCAAATCATACAATATTATTATCTGTACTTAATTGAGTTACAGTAGCGAAAGTTTTTAACTAACCGTAATTATATTATTTTATAAGTAAATAGTAATTTGTTTTCAATGCGAACCAGATTATACTGTTTTTTTTTTTGTATTTTAACACGGCCAATTTCGAGGGAAAAGGGAGGGTTGAAGTCTCCCTATCAAGATCTTGGGTACGCCATTAAGCAAATTCACCAAAATATGTCAAATTGATTTTCATTGTCAGGAAGTTGTTGTTGACTTTTGATTTTTTCCATGTGTTCGCAGGACAATTGTTGGAAAATAGCACTTCCGTGCTGTACGGGCAAAACCCGAATGCGACACAGGTACCGGTGTATGCGTATGTGACCGAATGTGGTCGAAAAAAGTTCCACGTGTCGTATTGGCTGTTTTTCCCGTTTAGTCAAGGCAAGCCAATATGCACGCTGGACATGGGCGTTTTGGGTCCGCTTCCGCTGCCCGTCATCAACAATCGATGTTTCGGAACCCTTAAGGAATTCGGTAGCCACGTCGGTGACTGGGAGCACATGAGCCTCATGTTTAACGTGAGTACAAAATACGAGTATTTTTTTGTAAGTCGTAAACCGCTAAAACGGTGATTAAAGGTGAGCACGTAGGTAATAATAGCAATTTTCCACTATATAATATACGTAGGGCCACGACGAACCAGATGAAATGTACGTATCGGTGCACGACGCCGGAGCGTTTTATCGGTTTGACGGTAATCGTCGGAAGTTCGTGTTCGACCGGCAGGAAGTGCGCAAAGGATTTTTACAAAAGCCGAAGTTCCCTGAAGTAGTGCACCTGACAAACGAAGGGAATCACCCGGTTCTGTTCGCCGCCAAAGGATCTCACGGACTTTGGACTGCTCCAGGTTAGTCTTCACGTCGATATAATTACACTTTACATGAGTTTATTATTAAGTTGAAATAAACTCCTGTACCTACAGCTGAAATGATTTTCAAAAGTAAATCGACTTTTATAAGTAGGTCCTAGGCCTGTATCCAGGATTTTATTTCGGGGAGGGCTGTACAAAATGTATAAACATTGTTATACCGTAAAATAAAAAAAGTTGTCCTAGGGTAATGGGAACGGGTGCAGCCACTGTTATAGGTAATTTAATGTATGTCTGTAAGCAACGATCAACTATTGCTAACGAAAAAACTACTCTGAGCGAAGTTTGGTTGATAGTGTTGCTTTGTCAACAGTATATATGTCATATTACGGTAAAATAATTACATATGCATTTTATAATACTTTTTAATACTATTTGTTTAATATTGTGTCTATTTTCCTGTTTTTCCTATTTTTTGGAAAAATCTTGAGAAAATCAAAAAAACCTCCCCAGTTAGATTTACTTTCAGAAAAAATGCTATTATTGTAAATTAGAGCGAAATTGCTGGTTGAAAAGTTGTATAATTTAATTTAATTTAATATTGGGCTCAATAAAACCGAATACACGAAGCACTTTATTGTATATTATATTAATATGGTTGTTGAAGACAAACGATTTGATAGCAATATACCTAAATCTATTATTTGTCATACTGACATAAGGTCAGAACTATTAATGTTATAATTATATTTTAAATTAAGTTTTCGGAGAGAAAAAGTTATCTGTGAACAAGTTTTAGCGTTTACACTGAGATCATTAGTTGTGCACCATGAATACAATTTATTTAAATCGGTTTATAGTTTAGCATAATCATCAAACGAATTAATTGGCAAATAAAGTTTAGAGATCATCAGCAAAAATTAAAAATGTACAATTTGTAAAGATATTGGTAACGTCATTCATAAATATTAAAAACATTAAGGCTGATAAATTTTCACCTTAGATATGGAACCCCAGATGTAACATTAATATACGTTGAGATATAATTATCTAATTTAATTTGTTGAGATCTGCCAATTAAATTCAATTTAACCATCTTAAAATTGAACCAGAAATACCGCTTGATTCTAATTTTTTTTAAACAAAATAAGCTGGTCTACACTGTCGAAAGCTTTCCTAATATCATTGTATACTGCATCTACCTAGACATCTTTACTAACTAATATCACAATATATGAATAATGTACAAGATGATTTGATATATTCGATTTAGCATAGCAAAAGCCATGTTGTTTATCTGAAATTATATTAGTAAACTCTCCTGCCAATTTAGGTAGGTACTAACATTTTTCCTAAGATTTTTGGTAAGGTACACAGGCGTGAAATAGGGCGATAATTACTGATAAAATCACGATTACCCACTTTAAAGATAGAGTAAACATAACTATTCTTCCACTTAACAAACAGTTAATCGAGAGATTAAATTGGTGGTGTATGAGACGCGATAACGTATAATGGTAATAATCAAAAATTATTTTTGACATTAAATCTAAGCCACTTTTGTAGTCATTGGACAAATTGGGTCTCGAATAGGTCTTGAATTTCAGCCACAGTAAACTCAAAATTACCAAAATTGATATATGAATCAAAACCGTAAATAGAATTATAAGTCTTATTTAATTGGGTATAGACTGATTTAAAATATAATTTAAACATATTTACTGACTCATCTAACCAAGCTACCGTAGTGACACCATGGTATTAAATTTCTGTCTATTTCTTACAAAATTTCAAAAATATTTCGGATTATTTTTTAAGGAAGACTATTTTTTCTAAGTGATTTTCATAACATAATTTAGATAACAGTTAACATTTTCTCCTTATCATACAGAATTCAGTGTAATATGTAATTAGATAGGTTGACTTATAATAATTTATGTAATTGTTTTTTTTTTTTTTGTATTATTAACGAGCGTAAATCAAAGGAGAACCATTTAGGAAACTTATGATTATGTGATCAATTTTGGGAACCAAGTTTTCAATTGTATCTAATAATATTTTATAGAAGTTATTCAAAGCAATATTTGTATAATTTTCCTAGACATTAGACCAATCAAAATTAGCAAAAGTAATATGCATATCATAATAATTAGCTTTTTTATAACCCAAATACATAATATTCGAACAAACACGATTATCATAATTTGGTAATCTACATAATCGATCAGATACCTTCAGAACAAGGTGGTATTAATCTATCGGTATAATACTATTATCTAATGGTAGAACAGAAAAAAAAAATAAACATCGTTGTAAAATTATATTTAATGTATCATAAAATAACATTTATTATAGTGTATACACTAGGAACTAAATGTCTGGAAGGTTAGGTTTATAACTAATAAAAGATAATTTAAGATTATTGAAGCGCCTTTCATAGTCTATGGAAACATTTTTAGATTTTTTTTTAAAATTTCGGGGGTGGGGGCTGCAGCGCACTCAGCTCACCCTCCCAGTAATACACTCACACTTATAAGTATATGGAACGGGTTGAATAATAAACATGATTATGATTAATGCATTTTGAATTAAATATCGAGAAAGCGATTTAATTGTAAGAGCAGTTTTGCTGCAACGATAAAACGACGTATATATATGTACATATGACCTTGAAATCAATAAAAAAAAAAAAAATTGTATTATTGTTATTATTTTACGTATAATCAATACAATATATTTCCTCTCGTATGTGTTAATTATTTTAAATCCTTGTAACTATATCCTTATCCGTGCCTATCATAATTCGTTTCATGTATTCCGGGTCTACTTATTTCAATATAATGTGGTATTTTACGTCTATGACACTTTAAATCAAATTCTCGTCGTGCATTAGGTACCTCTATCGTTTTCTCCTTTTGACTTTTATACTATGCCAAATTTTCATTTTTCCTTTATTCTTTCCTGTACAGATTTGGTTATCTTTAAATTTCTTAAATTATAAGCGTATTGCGCACCATATTTAAAAAAATTCACTAATTTACTTTTATTTTTTGTATATTAAATATATTATATTATTATAATATTGTAATCCGATGGTTGAATAATGATGGAATTCTTGCAGGGAAACACAAATACGTACGTATACCGCGGTTGTACGACGACAGCGGTTACGGCATGCCATGGAAAACGTGGACGTGGGTGGAAGTCCTAAAGTCGTCAAAAAAACTTCCCGGCTGGATGCAGTATTACGGTAAATGGGGTAACCCGCACAGTAAATGTCATCCGCTGTCCAAAGTGGGTTTGCAAATTTGTCAGTTCACCGACGGGCCGACCGGTATACCGATGAAACCGCACGATTTCCAATGCCAAAACGCGACCGACTAACCGTATCCAATAGCTAGGACGCATGGTATCTATATAATATTCTGCCGCCGGAGAGAAATCACTGGACGGACGGTCGCGATGAATATCAACCATGACCCGACTTTCGACGGTGGAACGTGTTCTAGGTCATATGTTGTTCTTGTTATTGTTGTTTATTGTTATTTTTATTATTATTATTATTATTTTATTTTTTTTTCGTAAACTACGCTAAACGTGATGGGTCTCAGTAGTATTAAGAACCAAAAATCGTTACTGTCGTCGTACTCGTATATTATGCAAGTAACGTTTTAAGTGAAAGTACTTATAGGAGGACTGCCCATTCCTCGGATTTCCTGCAACGACATTATAATAGTATTTGTGATTTTTTTTTTCTCGCCATTCGCGCGTTTTATTCTGTAAACAAACGATTTTTGAGCGAGTGTTATGTAAATAAAATACCTATAATTATAATATTAATAAATATTGTATATTTATATGAAAAAAAAAAAAAAAGAGATTCCTGGAATTGCTTATACTTGAGTAGTTGTTTTATTATTTTTTTTTTTATTATTAATCTCCTCTCTGCGGGCCCGTATAACAATTTCCTGTCTCATGGGGGACTGCTGCTGTCTAGCTACAGGAGGTTATAAACATAATATAATAGCCACATAAACCTCGTACTTCCGAGGCCTTTGTGTCCAATGACTTCTTTTTAATTCGCGTATATACGTGCATCACTATTATTATACGCGAGCAGCGCGTATAAACGATTTTAACAATAGTAATTGAATCAAACAGGTCACAATGGAATTTTTAAATTACTTTTTCCCATCGAATACTTTATTATAATATAATAATAAAAATAAAACCGACATAGGTACATTTTAAATTAACAGACGGGTATAAATAATAATAATAATTAAGACGATGATTATCAAATATATGCATTTTGGCTACTCGACTTTATTATACGATTATACGATGTTAGATATCTATGAACTATAGATAATAATAAATACGGTGATAAAATTGCAGTACAACATTATAATAATACAAATTTTCAAACCAAATTATAGACCAAATAAATCATATATGTCCATAAATTATGTAAATAATATTACGATGTAGCTATATTATATTATTATTTGGTAAACTATGTAACGTAAAACAATCTGACGTATTTGAACGACGAAAAACTTTGTCGTTTTCTAAAATCCGTCTATTGGTTTAATATATTTTGTATATAATATGTAACCAAGAAACTTCATCAAATGCGGAGATATAAATAGCCAATAGGCACTAATAAAGAAGTGTATATCAAAAAAAAATTAAAAAAAAACAATTACTAGAGACGAGTATGTCACCGTTATAGGTGGAAAGTTGGAAAGGTAGAACACATTAAGTTAGATATTTAATTTTTATACTATATTTGTAAACAACAACAAACTATTGTTAACAAAAAACGAAAAACGACTTTTTTTATCCCACAATTAGATTAAAAATTGAACAAAAACGATCTTTATTTCAGCAATATTTCCCGTAGAAAATATAAAGCGTAAAAATTTAAAATAATAGAATTGTTACACTGTAAATTTGTCAGTTTTCATTTCATGTTTTTTTCCTATTATGAAAACTACTTGTCAAACCAAAAAAATGACCTTCCCAATGCATCAACTAGATAAAATTTCGTTTCAAAACAAATGCTACACTTGAGCATGTTTTCTTTTCAATAAGTTGTTTACAGACAGAAAAAATAAATAAAACCACATAGGTACACATATAGTAAAACCAATAGATCCAATGGATTATATATTATTTTTAATATTTGAACGATGTTTTTTGCACTCGCACTCCCGTAAAGAGGCGCATAAACACATAATCCGTATAGGGGGGTTTAGGAGTTCAACCCCCCCCCCCGAAATTTTTAAAGTACGTATATATTTACAATATAACAACAAAGACTAGAAGACTAAATACAAGTTTATGTGTTCAAAATATTTTAAACTTCCTCCTCCCTTGATCCTAAATACGTACTATTTTTAGAACATCTACTATTGTAACAAGTACACGATGCACGTAGCATTAAACAGACAATAATCGTGTACAAAGCAATGATTGTCTTGATGATTGCGTTAAACTGTTATATACGAGAGTGTACGTTATGTACGATACGGATGTGCGTCAGTCCCCACATTGGAAAAAGTGCATTCACAAAAATGTTCTCGTAATTGACTAACGGGTGTGCTGCCAGGCAATAGGTCCTTTGGTGTCAGTTTAATCGTATACATCCTGTAGTCGAGAGAACATAGTATTGCCCACCATGTCTTTAGCGAAGTTACTAAGTTTAGATGTGGATTTTCTGCAGTCGATGATGGAGAAAACCGAACCTGAAGTGAAAATTAACGCGTTTAAAGTGATTATTATGCGATATTTTACGTAGAATAGTAGGCATTTAATTGTGTACACGAATTATATCAGTTGAATTTTCGATATGTTTTTTAGACGTCCTTAGGGTCGAAAAGAGGTGACAATTACACGTCGATGTTGTACAGAATCACGCTGTACGGCGAAAACCGATGGACTAAAGGTCTTATTTACAAATGTTTACCCGATAACACACAGGCGAGAAACACGTATAAATCCGAAATGCTGTTCAATAACGAAGTTACGTTTTACATGAGATCGTATACGGCGTTTACAGAATATCAAGTATGTACTAAGTATTATACATGGAATATTCTATTATTATTATTTAGGTAAATTGCTCACGATGGAGGATTTAATAATATATATATATATATATATATATATCTAAATCTAATAATGCTTGATAGGAGGTCAAACAATTGATTCAACCTTTTAACAGTGTACCGAAATGTTATTTGGCGCAAAGCGATACCGTTATATTAGAAGATATGCAATGCAAAGGGTTCACCATGTTTGACAGAATAAAGGGTCTTGATTTTAATCATTGCAAGGCGATACTCAGGTAAAATTGTCTTAATATTATATTATATCGTTATGTTTTCAATCTAGTTGTCACGTGGGTGGGTTTTTTTTTTTGTAGGACCTTAGGGAAATTTCACGGATTATCATTATCGATGAAAGTAGACGAACCAGACAAATTTAAAGAATGTGTTTCGGATGCAATAAATGAAGTGTACTACAGGAGTGAAAACGAATTGTGGTATAAAGGGTATTATAAACAAGCAGCGGAAAACGCAGAAAAAATGGTAAGATAGCTAATATTGCAATAATTATCATTGTTGGAGTATTATACATTTATAAAACAATTATTTTATAAATCACAGTTAGAGTCCGAATTGACAGAAGACGAGAAACCAAAGTATTTGGATAAGTTTCGGAAATTCGTCAACATGCATGAGTCGTTCTTTGGATACATGGCGGAAATAGTGAAACCAAAAGAACCACTTGCCGTACTTTGTCACGGTGACTGTTGGACGAACAATTTTTTGTTCCAGTACTCTAAAGATGGAGGGGATATATCCGAAGTAAGATTGCAATATCAATATCTCGAGTAGAATATAAGTAGGTATATAGGTACATACTAATAATAGACATTCGAAAATTTGTCTAGGTATCCATCGTAGACTTTCAGGTGGCAAGATATGGTTCACCAGCGATGGACTTGGTCAGTCTATTGTATTGTTGCACCAGTGTAGAGTTAAGAAAACAACATTTTACAGAGTTGCTAGAAGAATATTACGATTCGATTATCGGTTTTTTAACGCAAACGAATTGCTTGAGTCATTATCCGGATGTTAGACAAAAGTAAATGATAAGATGTGACTAATTGAGATAAATGATATTGATAATACAAAACACTATAATATTATACTGGCGTGGTGTAGACATTAATTATAGTTTCTGATTACTGTAATAAGAACAGATAATGTCTATATAATATAATAGTCGTGTAAAGGAAATAATAGTGAAACGGTTTATTGGAGGAAAAGTAATAATATATGAATAATAATAATAACAATCAGAAGGGGTCTTTCTTTGACTATTTGACTATGATTTATCAGAGAGTAATCGATTTACAACCACGTACGTACGCATGATATATTTTATATTGAGGCGGTTTAAGAAACTAAATCCGGACGATTATTCCAAATAGACATTGTATGTTTTTCGTAAAAACAAAAAAAAAATTAGGTCGTTGTTGTAGGTGGGTATTATTTTTCATTGAATTACAACAAAAAAATATTCTGAAATGAACAGAAACCGTTTTGCGTAAATATTTCTATTTTCATAACATTTTCCCTTCATATTATTAAAAAAAAAAAACTACAAAAAATATCAAATAAATTACCTCCTCAATGAACCGATTAGACGAAATTTGCTACTAGAAACGAGTGTTTTTACTGATGTCGATTAAAGGAATGCAATTTCTGATCGAAAAGTCGTTTGTTAATAGGAAATTAAAAGCACACAATAATGTTTTACTTTTATTATAAATACGGTAAAAGTAAAACATTCTCAACGTTCCAGGAACGTTCGTTTGACTTTTTATAGATCATTGGCGGCAACCAAGGGGAGTGTTTTGGGTGTCTACACGCTCTCTATATTCACGTTTAAGTAATATAAATGTATTAAAATATGTTAAAAACGTGTTTTTTTAAGTGTGTATACTAAACATACGATACCCCGTTCAAAAAATTCTAGTTATGCCATCGCTGCAGTAATATAGAATTTTGGTATATTTATACATTTGCCTCAACTAAAGTCGTATTTTATATTCTACAGAATAGATGAAGAGATTCTCAAGTACAACTTATTCGGATTGGGCGTAGCACTCGATATGATACCGATCATCACGTGCGACTCGGCACAAGCTCCGGACATGTACGCGAAAGATACGACCAACCCGGATGAAGAGCCCACTAAAGAACCATACCCCGTCATGACTACGAGTGATCAGTGTCGTCGAATGATTACCGACCTGGTTAAAGAACTGGTGGATAACGGACGTTTATAATGATATTATAATACTGTACGTGTCAGTCAAATTACAACAAGAGCAGTACATTTTTTGCTCATTTTTAAATAGGTAGTTGATATAGAATAGTTACTGTAATTAGATTTTGTGTTAATTTATATTTTAATAAATTATCATTATTATTATACGATGGATAATTTTATAATATTTTTATTTGAATATTTTAAACGCGTTTGTGATATTATATTAGGTGTGTACAGGAATATTGTCAAATAAGAAATAATACTTACAATATTAGGTTATAATGTAAATTTTAGAACGAATTTAGATATTGTTTTAAAATGAACGAGCATTAATAGAGTGATTAGACACATAATTGAATGAATTAAATTCACAAGCACGATAATTTATTTTAACAATACAGTTATAAAGTAACATTTATACCATAAAAAAATTTAAGTACACAGGGGGTTCCACGAAAATATACCCAATTAATTTAGGTTGTATAAAGAATACTAACGGGAGTAAAGTTGAATTATTGGGCTCGATGAGCATTTATTGTATTTTTATCTGATCTGTGTTATTATATTATAAAGTACTTATAAAAGACATAATAGCCACAAAAATAAGTCATTTACTTATTTGTTTGAGTTGACATTAAATCTAGCTGAATGCTATGTAAATTTCAATAATTTTTTTTTTTTTTTGGTGCTTTTTATTAGTTTTTAAATGTTTTTAAGTGCTTATTTCAGCATTTATTATTAAGTTTTTATTTATATTCAGAGCTGTAAGTCATGAACTCTGCAGCTTATGACATTCTTTGATATTTTCATATTGGCGTGTCCTATCGGAATATTATGATAATTATTACATAAAAATCATCGTTTAACAATTAATTCACTAATTGGATCTATTAGTCTATTATTAGCATTATTTATTCGATTTTGATAATTTTGCATTTCAGACTTAAGTCTGAGTCAATACTTTAGGAGCAACTTTAGGAATTATTATATCCCGGAATAAAAACTATAACCTCGAATATCCTTGAAATTCTTTAAATAACGCTGAAAACTACATTAAAATCGGTAGGTAGAGTAGTTTTCGAGTTAAATTTTTACATAAAAAATCATCCACTTTAATTTTTTTGATAATATTATTGTGTTATACAATTTGTAAAAACCATTATAACAATATGTTTAACCTATTTAAAAATGTGTACTTTTAATTCTAAAATTATCTGTACGTATATGTCTTACTGATGTCATCAACGCAGCAGTATAGGAAAAAAAACTAAATATATTTTTAGACCCCGTCTAAAGTCGAATGTGATTTATTTGTTCAAGTGATTTTCAATCGAAAACAAAAAATAATATAACGAAAGCGTGTAACAAATTGACAATAATTTACAGTGTTCGTTTCGTTCATCTGTACGTTATAAAATCGTAAAAACTATTATTATTTTTTGCGTTTTCCGTTCTTCAGTAATCGTACGCGTTTGCTACTTTACATTGAAGATGTATACGTTATATTGTTTTCAATGGTATTCAGTAGTCATTACTACAGTAATAGTAATATTTTTTATTCTTTGCAATAACGCACTAAAAAACTCGCATCCAGAAAATCAACATGTTTTATCCCAAGAACGCAACGATAGTAAGTGATACTGTGTAGCAGGAATGGGCAACTGGCTACCCACGTACGATTTTTCACTGGCTTCTGGCTCGTGGTACATTTTCAAATATTACTATCTAAAATTTTAGGATTTATTTGTATTTTATTTTATTATGTTTATAAAAACGATATAATGTTTATCGCAAAACGTATATATGAATATACTTATCTAGTATAGTTAAAAAAAGTATAAATAAAATATATATACATATATAAAAATAAAAAATAAATAAATGAATAAATGTGTTACGTTTTTCATTTTGACTGTGATATACCTGATGATGAATTTTTAATTCGAAAATGTTTAGGTCGTATACTAGGTAGTTACTGAGGTAATATACTCATCATAATACTCCAGACATCATAAACTCCGTTTATTAATTAATTAATTTTTTATTATATTTATTTACGAGTATCAACCAATTTAATAATTTCGTTTTTACTTTATTGTTTTATTACTTACCTAGTATTAAACTGCAGCGTAATTATTAATGACCATTTTTCAACTGTCAGTTAATTGTCCAGTTAACAAATTTCAGATTAAAACTAAATGTAGATTAGAAAAATAATGATTTTATCAATTATTTTTATTCTGAGACTAACTAATCAAGGATTAACTAACTGAAGATTAATTCACTATAATATACATTACTCTTTGATGTTAGTTACGTTGGTAATATGAACGTTAACGTCACCTTATTCAATTAGTGAGTTGTTTGTTATGAAAACAGAAACGGTTGTATCTGTTATCAAAAAATATTTGGCACGCCAAATCTATTCTATAATTCTTATATAATTTTACATTTGTAGAATTTTTTTTTTCTGTAAAAATAATAATTCAGAACTAAAATGAATATATACATTATATATATAATATATTTGTATGTATAATTTTTTATTGTCTTATATTTTTTGTTATATTATTCACAATGCGTTTCAAAACAAAATGAGAACGTTCTACCTATTGTGTTGATTGCGAATTGGAACTTTTAACTACCCTGGTCGTTATACAAAAAATATAAATAAACAAATACCACATAAATAGTTAAATATAAAAAAAAAATGTCAATTGTAAATTTTAAAGTTCTAAAAATTAGCCCTCTAGTAATATTGAGTTGCTCATCACTGCTGTATAGTAATATTATACTTATTATTAAAATTATTACTATTATTACTATCTTATTACTATATTATATATAATATTATCTAATATTAGCAATAACATTTCAAACTAATTTTTTTAAATATTTATAATTATATCCTCAATAATAAAATGATAAACGGCGTTATTCAATGCGATTAGAAATGACACCCCGTTTAAAACTAAATCCGCAAGGCAAAAGTGAATTTTTTTGTTTTACTTTTTATATAAAGTGGATTATACGAGTAGGTTGGCAAAAAATAACTTAGCGCTTCGGCTGTTGTGTACTTGTAATCGATTTATGATTCCAAATGAAAGATAACAGAATAATTTTTTTTTAGCAATGATTGGTTTCGTTTGCACATTCAAAAATATGATTAAGTGCAATAATAATTGTATGTTTCATTATTGTTTTTGAGGACATTCCGAAAAAACAGTACTAACCTCTTACTTTTTTTTTTTTAATTTTATGTAAAACGAGTAATATATTGAAAATATTATTGTGCATATTATTTATAATACGACTTAACGTTTTTTTTTTTTTTTATTATTATTATTCTATATAGCTTGCATGAGTAAGTGTACACTTAATTTTATACATTCGACTGTTCGAGATTTAACACGAAATTATTATCTTTTGTTTGTTCTCTTATATGTCCTTCGGATGTGAACCGATTTATTTATATTATTTATTGTTTTTCACCTAGTCTGTACTCCTATGAGTTTACTTATGTAATAATAAACATTAAAAAATGCAATATCTCCTTATTTATAAATAAGTATAATAAGTACAAAATAAAATTACTTGTCTGTTTTCAGATATTATAGTTTCCATCGATTTCAACTGCGACTACAATAATCCCATAAATATTAAAACCTATTTAGTCTTTAACTATAAAATACTATAAATATAAATCAACTACATACAAATAATACTAATTAAATGTATTGAAAAATTATAATGATTTTATAATACTTTAGGTTTATTTTGCTTTAATTATTCTACACAATAAATTATTTTTTCTATGTTGAATCTGGGTACATTACTAAATTATAGGCCATAGGTTATGTTACCTACGTAATCGTTTCAAAAAATAAAGAAACGAAACAAATCTACAAACAAAACCAGCAAATTCCATAAAATTGAAGAACAATAAATAATATGGCCAACACGTTTTTGATATTTTCTAAACTATAATTTTTGTAACTTTTCATCTTAAACATGCCTAATGTATGAATTTAAAGTAAATATATTATGTATTTTAAATTTTATGTGGTTCAAACATTTTAATAATTAAATATTACATTATGCATTCCAAAAGAAAATAATCACTTACTTACAATCTTATTTTTATGGTTTAACAGTGGATATACTACGAACGGGATTTTCACGAAGTACGTTGTTGCTAATAAAATAATTGATAAGAACATTGATATATTTTATATTTTATGCGATGAAAGTTATTATTTGTTGTGGGAAGTGTCACCCGAGGTAACCCAAAAGTCGTCACAATTTTCGTTATCATTTATATTTGATAATTATATAGAAATGATCATTAATCATATATCAGATATTACGGCATTTACTTTCTCGTTTTGGCCCGATATACGATAGGCAAACGAATGAATGGAGAAAACTTCATAACGTGGAACTCCAAGGAGTTTTCCAGAGGCCGAATATAGTTAGAGAGATCGCCTAGTTAGAGAGAAAACTAAGTTGGGAAGGACATGCTTGGCGCAAACAGGATACTTTGGTAAAATGGGTGATCGAGGAACAGCCTAATGGAAAAAGACCACTAGGTAGACCTAAGTTAAGATGGGAAGATGGTGTGAAGAGAAAAGTGGAAAAGATAGAGCCTGGTGTCAAATGGAGAGAAGTAGCGGAGGACAGGGATAGGTGGCAAAGTTTAGCGTTTTCAGGATGGTCTTAAGGACCATAATTAAAAGAAGAAGAAGAAGATAAAACATTTAACATTTCATTTTATAAGAATCGATTTCCACATTGGATTTTTTAATTTTTCACGTCCTACCCGTTTTATGAAAATTAGCAGTGCTTAGATAAAATAAATTCCAAAAGAAACCCGTTCCAGGAACGTTTCTTTTTTTGAGAAACATCATGGGGAACGAATTCCTTTTTCGAATAAATTAGATAAACACTAAATATCAGCTACTGCAGTACTATACTATACATTATTTTAAGTTAAAAATATACAACGAAAAATAAAAACACTTTGATATCGGAACACTTACTGTCATTTCCAAATTGATCGTACCTCTTTTTCCATAATTTGTGTGAACAACAAATGCGAACACGATTTTGTAATGTTTGTACATAGTGTCGGATTTGGATGTTTTTGTTGTATTCGTCTAAACGTTGAATTTTTAAACTAAATAATATAACTGTTTTTTCAACGGTAAAGACTAAGATCGAATTGCGGGCGGTGACTGAACGCACAACGTTCCTTGTCGGATATTTAAAGGGTACGGGGCGTAGTGTTTACATTCAAACACAGTGTTCCGCACCCCATGCTGTATCATTTGTTTTCCTCTATAGAGGAGGACCCTTCCTATGTCCCAGTATTTACGACTAATGAGCCCCTTATGAGAATGATGAGGATTGCCAATGCTAAACCTTACTTTTCTCTATATTAATTAATTATATTGCGTTACCTTATTATTTTTTGTTAATTTTAGTTTTATTGGTAATTTTAATCATTGGACGAACAACTCGTACTTTAAATAAATAAATAAGTACATATATAAATAAAACTTAATACATTATATGAAATTTGTATTGCCTTGTTATTTTTAATAATTCTTTATATAAACATATTTTACGTCCAAATAGTATAATATACTTTTTATAGATTTATAAAAAGTATATATAATAAAAATTAATACCTATATTAAATAAACTTAAAAATACTTGATAAAAATGAAAATAAACAATTTTCTTGACTTGAATTCGCAGAAAAGGTAAATTTTTAAATTAAATTATTAAATTCTTTAAACGTCGATTTCTATTTAGGTACCATCATATAAAAATACAACTGATTGAATAAATTGTTTAGAATATTTAAGAATTGTTAATTGTAAATATTAGCAATTTTTATAAAACCACGAACGCCTAATCTTAACACAAAATACATAAGTTTGCTAATACGTAATATTAAAATATAAAAAATATAAACAAAATACGGGTTATTTTATTTCTACCATCAAAATAAGACACAAATATTTATAATAATAATATTATTATTTTTAGATGAAGGTACAAACAACTGCATTTACGCTCGTTTTTTACGTAAGTCACAATTCAAAATAATTAGGTAGCATAATTAATAACTAAAGTAACTAAAAGACTTTTTTCACTCAATCCCTTGTTATCAAGTTAACGCAGAAATAAAAAAACAAAAACAACAAAAAAAAAAAAACTAGATGTGAAATGCTGAAAATATTAATAAACGTTTGCAGAAATCCCCTGACACCAATACCTTCTTTTTCTTTTATTTGATAGCCATCCCTAAAATAAAAGTATATAAGTGATTTTCGAGAAAAAAACAAATTCTTTATAAAATTAATAATAGCTTATTTATTATAAATAAAATCTAAAATTAATAAAAATGTATTATTTTATGCCTAAATTCTAATTACATAAAATATTGTGCATACAATTATTTTAATAACGGATTGTATTTAGTGTTTTAGTCAATGTTTACATTGGTTACTTATACTGAATGTTTCACTTAAATGGTAACAAAATGAATACTTCAGCCAGAAGGAATGAGATCGATGTAGTGATTTTTTTATTTAGGAATATACTAGTGATGAGCCAACACCAAAATACACATCTTGTACCTGTTTTCAAAATTTAACTCTTATGGTTAGCGCATACGCAATAAAACTTTCGTTCTCTAAACATTTTTAATACCAAATTCGAATATCCCTATTGTTTTCCCAAGTAATATTGACTTTTTACTTTGATTATATCTGAAAAATTGCATGAGATATAGCCATCTAAAATTCAGTAGTATGATTTTTTTACAATTTTTTAAAAAAATTAAAACTTATGATTTTAAAAGTAAACAAAATTGACTAATGCTTTACCGGGAAAAACTGTAATCACATATAAGTAAACATAATCACAAAACTACACAGGCCTACTCGTATATTCATTTTAAATCATACATGTTTTATAAACTTTAGATGACTGTTTTACAGGTGATTTTTTGGATAGAAAAAATTGTATGTTAAGATTATTTGAAAAAATTGGAATATTCGAATCCGGCGTTTCCTTTTACAAAATTGTTAATTTTATCGCGCATCTGCACTGAAAGGATTAACATTTTTAAACTAAGATCAAAATGTGTATTTTGAAACTCGTGTTGATTGAGTGAAACATTGTTCACTCAGTATTATTTTTCATTAGTTATTAATTATTATATATTTACGAGTATATTCAATTGAACATTTAACATTTTTAAAACGGCCGGGACGGCACTAGCACTACAGTATTCTCTCACGACGATAATACTACGGGAGACGACGGCAAATTTATCTTATTGTGTTTCGATGGTACATTAATAATAACAATATACTTGACCGCTGGTACCGCAAATATTAAAAGTCGACAACCCCTATCTCCTTGAAAACACCTGTTTTCGATTTAAGTCTATCCGGCTGGAATATATCGTGCAACCATTTAAATAAAACACGCTGTATACGCGTTTGTAAATTTGTCAATAGAAACAATACTATTACGGTGTAAAATTGCGCTTTTGTTGTTTTAACATTTTAGCTATTCCTGCAATAAATATAACGATGACAGACAGTAAGTTTTTTTGTTCGTTTTATTTAAAAATTATTATTACCCATATTCTTACGTACTTTGTTTTCCAAAATATGACGTCCATAAGAATACTTCATTAAAAAACAACATTGTCCTGATCCGAAAAATCGGTTCTTAGTGAGCGTAGGTTGTGTATACAATTTTCGGAGGAATCACTGGACGGGTTTAGAATTATTAGTCAGTGATAGTTGGGTGGGATTAAATTTAAATTTAAAAATTTAAACTTCCGAGTCGGCAGTTTAGTTAATAGCATAATTTTTAAATCAGTATCACCGTTTTTAATGAAATCGTAATCACGGTTATTTTATTATTAATGGGTGAGTAAAAATATTTTTCGAATTTATTAAGTTTGGTGCTTGTATTTTTAAGTCGGCAATTATTTTTATCTTGCCCCTCTATCGATTAAGCGTGTTCACTCCGCAAGACGTGCTCAGTTTATTGGGGTTTATTAAACATGACACCAAAACAATAGAATAATATATGTTGACATTTAATATAAAAAACTTTAATATTATTTTCAGATTATGGTTTTTATTATGCAAGATTCCTTTCTACGTATTTCGGTAAGTATTATTCGTACAACCGTACGTGAGTGTCCCTTTTAAACAATTGTATAGGTTATTGTATGAAGGACAGTGGCGTGGAACTAATTTTTTGTTTGCGAGACAATAAACATTAATTTATACCCACCTACTTCTACACAGTATTAAACTTAAGTCGTAGAGATCATAGCCCACCACATCAACTACCAATTTCTTAAACTATAAATTATTTTTTCCACAAATTATTTTATTAACTGAATAATGTTTACATTTTTGCATCATTTAATATTTTAATGAATAAATAGGTACTTTAATTTTTCATTAACATAGAAGGTATTTATAATATGGTCATTAGAAATCTATATTGACATATGACATACATAGGATTATATTGGTTATACTTGTGTTTTTGTACGATTTTATTTAAATTTTTTGTTTGTGTTGGGAAACAACTTTTCTACCAGAAATCTTGCTCCGGTATAGAAAATGTAATACTTTTTCTAAAATCTGATTTTGTGTAATTTGTGTATTTAAGACGTCAATTTTTTAATTTTCTTAGGGGTTTTCAAAATAATTTGGTAAAACCTGAATGAAAATTACAGGTAAAACGGTAAATATTTACTACGCGCCATGTTGTTACCGATTTCATTATTTTAAATTTTAAATTTAAACACGATATTTTCTATCAGAAATATTGCTCTAATAAAAAAACAACCAGAGACCTTATTTGTTGAATTCTTAATTTGGTTGGGCGATTAGATCATTTTTTTATTTTCTGTGTAGTTTTTTAATAATTGAGAAAATCGAAAAAAAAATTGTAGAAAGAACGGGAAAAATTAATAAAATAATAATGCTTTAATTATTTTCAATCTTGTTTTTTTTTTTTGTGATTCAATTAAAAATATTCATAGAGACTTCAAATTTAGACAGAGAACTTATGTTTGCCTTTTTTAAAAGTAGTAAATTTTTAAAAATTTATGAGCCATTTTTGAACTATTATAAACGTTATGATTTTGGGAGTTTTTTACGTAATTTGTATTCGGTAGATAATTATTTTGATAAACTAGTTTGACCTAACAAAAATACTTGAAAATTTCGTAGAAGGTCTATTATAAGTTGTACTTAATGGCCAATAAGAAAAAGTTAAGTTTAATGTAACTTCATTTTTTTAAAAGAATTTGAACAAACAATTTTGAAGAAAATCGTAAAAAATACCTAAGGTCTTTCAAAACATGTTTAACAGAACTTTGTTCAGAATAGTTTTTCTTTAGCAATTATTAATCGTTGCGTATAGATATACATTAAATTCTCACCTACAATAGTGGCCTACCCATCTTGTGAACTGAGAAGCATCAAGTATGTCCGTCTTTTTCAATATAAATATATTTTTATTGTTTTTCGTTTGATTAGCATAATATTTTTTTATCTTCTAAATGTATACAAAATTATATTATTCTTTTACAACAAACATTTATAGGTAATCTCAGATATAACTAAAAATAGTTAAATAATAACAATACTATCGTGTATGTTTTCACTCTGTATAGTCTGCGTATAACACCGTGAGTTAGCTGTAACCGCTATTGTAATTTGTTTATAAATGTATTAGGTACAATTTATTTATTTATTTAGATTATTTATCGTAAAACTATTAATTAAGTAGTTATAGTTATAGTTAAATAGTTATCTGCTGTTACTAATGCAATTTAAACACGTTACGGTAGTTTAGGTATAGACTAGTTGGCATCATTTGTAATATTATGTTTATTGCTTATATTGATTACTACTACTATACATTGATTTCGGCCCATATATGTGTTTGTAATAAATGTAAAAACGTGTACGTACCGTGTATGTATCATAATAGTCATTTTTATCCATTTTTTTTTTGTTTTTAGATAAAAAAAGTGAGTCGTTAACATTGTTATTTAGCACGCATTTTTACGAAATAAAAGTATAATAACGTTATTTATAAAATTCAATAAAAAACGATCTCATTTTTCTCAAAACTTTGAGAGAGCTACAAAACTGTTATATACGATTTATGTAACTAATTTCTTAATTTATTAAAAACTTAAATAATTACGCGAATCACGATGTATGGATCGTATTTATGGAAAACTACTTGATTTCATTGGAATTCATTATACTGTACAGCGCAGAGCTGAAAAACATTGAAAAAGGCTCAGTTTACCTAACATTCTACAGATAGCTGCAGCTAATACCGATTTTAGGATTTGCTTGTCTCATGTTTTCTTGATAATCGTAATTGTGATACGCTTATTAAAGGATTGCTATCGAAATTTTAAATAATAAGGTATTGTCAAATTTTGCCAAAACGTGAAATATCGGGTGTTGCATCTTGAAGTCACTATTAGATAAGTACCTAATCTATTTTATGTGTACTTTTATAGTTTGTGCACTAGACAAAAGAAGTTGGTGTATAGTGTATGGTAAATATAATATATTAATGTTATTAGCCTATGTTTTTCTCGGTAGATTTCTATAATTTGTATTAGAATATTTTTTTTAAAATTACCTAAAATGTGTACCTAGTACTTACCTTTGTAGATTATAATTTATAACATAATCTATAATTTATTATGGATATTAAACAAAATAAAAAATTAAAACCCTATGTATACATTATAATAGCAGTACTAACTGTATTATCTGGCAGTATTTGCATATAATTATTTTAAATTAAGTTAAATTTATCAAAATGTATTAAAAGTGTATTATTTACTATTATCAATGCAATATTGTTTCGCAGTAATCGATTTTGCTAGTGTTTTGGTCAGGTGCATATGAGTATACGATTTTTGCAGAGCTATCACGGGAACAGGCCACATAGAATCATTTCAATAATATTGTCCATGAATAACCTTTCTTCCCTTCTAGTTATGTCCCTATATATATATATATATATATAGTAACTCTCCTTAACCACTTTTCATGAAACCCGGCATCAAATTTAAAAACACGGGGGTCTCTATTCGTATATTTAATATATATAGGATGAGTTTGCAATACATTCGTTCGTCGTTTTTTTGTACATGTCTCTTAAATTTCTACTAAGGATTTTCCCGAGAGTTTGAAATGTTTTTTCGGTATAAAAGTAGCATGTGTCACCTTCTACTTTTACAAATGTTTCAGCTCTCCTGCTATCCCTATAAATCACGCCAATCCGTTGGTATATGGTGACGTAGCGTTCTTTCGTTTCAACATTACCTAATTCATTTTACACTACAAACAAAAAATTTTCCTATGGGAATGAGATGTTTATTTGAAGTAAAAAATAGCCAATGTAATTTCAAATATCCTTAAGTATAAAAAATCATGACAATCGATCGCTTCGTTGTGACGTGAAAAAAAGAACAAAGAAACAAAATTTCGCTTGTACAATATTAGGATAAAAGTATTATGCTTGTAATGTATAAATTATATTATTTTATTTTATCAATTAATTCAGGATCCAAATCCGAATTAGAAGGTCAGTGAAAAATCGTTCGATACATAATTTGATATCTATCTATATTATACAATATACATGTAAATCATGGACGTAAATAGGGTCCTCAAATAAATAGAGTTTGCGTCCAAAAGGACCACTGGCCTAAATAATAATAAAAAATGAAAATCTATTTATAGGTCAACAAATACCAAACAATCAAAACATTGGTTTATTATATACATATATTTTATACGTGATGAATTTATAATATTTATATTATATTTGGACGACGCGCCCGCATGGCTGCACGAGGATAAATTTGAGTAGCACTATCACAGGCCGTTATAGGTAATAGAACATCGACTAATCATAGTTTTTAAAACATTGGAACTAGTTATGGGCACTACCGAGTGAAAACTATCGAACTACTCGATAGTTTCACACTATTAGTTTACTCGGTGGTATTTAAGAATTACCGCCTATTGAAACTATTACCTATATACTATCGGACTATCAAGAAGTCCAGTCTATTGATAATACGTATTGCGTCGAAAAAAATACTCTGTTGTTTTTAAACCATTGATAGTCAAAACTAGTTAGAACTGTTAATAAATGAAAACTATCGACTAATTCGTTTGATAGTTTTCAAAACAATCGATGCATACAAATATCTATTCAATCGATAAATCACTTGGTTTTTTTTTTTTTAAACTACCGATTGATAATTGTTAGTCGAAACTAGTCAAATTCGCTCATCCTTAATTGGAATATTATAACGAAAATCCAATAAAAACCCATATTAGTTATTACCAATGATGATAAAAACTATAAAATTCTACATAAATATTACTATTGGTTATAAATATTATAAATGTGGATTATATTTATCAAAATAAAGATTACCTGTATACTAAAATACCTTAGGGGGGGAGCTTGACATGGTTAGGGAGGACAAAGCCCTCTTAACCCCCCCCCCCTATTTACGTCCATCATGTTAATAGTAATTTCTATAAGGTTAAATAACATATTATTTTAAATCATTATATGTAGTTGATAATATCGTTATATTTAGTTAACACAAAGTAATTTATCTTGAATTTATTATTGTAGACTGCTTAGTAAGCGCTGTGGGTAAGAACTATAAATTAATAAACTCATTTATTTTATAACTTGACCGCAATTTAACATTCAAACTTGAAAACCGTTACAGAATATTTTTTCGCATCATAATTTATTCAGATTAAAAATAAGTCTTTAGTAATATAGTAGTATGCTACTAGATAAATTACCTATTTTGTGTTTTAGTCAAATGTATGTTTTCAATTTACTCTTTGGAAATTCAAATTGGGAAACAAAACAATTTAATATTATTTTGACCGCATAAACTATAATATACTAGTTAAACTGATCACTCTGCCCTTGTATTTAACTGTAATTAACGTAATTTTCATCAAACAGCATCGGAAGAACATCACGAACATGATGTTCATGACACTAAAATAGGTAAGTATATAATATTTTATATTATTCACATGTTCGATAATGATATGTATTGTTGGGTCAGTTAATTCGTTGAAAATAGTACAAAATATATATATATAATACCTTGTTGTTTTCTCTGCAAATCGATTATCTAATTTTCAAATATTAATTTAGGCGAACAAAAAAAATCGGAAGGAATACTGCAGAAAATTAAAAGATTTGTCAACCCTCATGCTAATAATGATGTATCAACAAATTACGTTTCCAAACAAAAACATCAACAATACTATCAAGGTGAATAATTTTTTTGTGATATTTTTACAAATACAATATCTCTTACATGAGTTTCGATTTAGAAATTTTCTTTCTAAAATTTTAAATTCCGTGTTAGACGGAGTGAGAGTTTTTATACACTGATAAGTGTTTAATATTATATTTGTGTTTTTTTCTCAATATATATTATGTATGTCGAATTTTATATTTTTATTTCTTTGCTATAAGCAAACATTTTTTTAAGCTTACAAAGCTTCAAACAATACCGGTCGTCATTGTTATGTACCTATATTATTTAAGTTATTTGAATTTGTCAACTTATTCAGTTTAAATTGCTAAATTAAATCGATACACGGATAAACTAAAAAAACTAACACGAAGGGCTTTAATCGAATGTCGAATACTCTACTTGGATCGCAATGATTTATCGTCACTTTGAAAGCTTAAAAAAAAATAAAATACAATTTACCTCCTTATTGCATATTACCTCACTAACTTGTTTCGTTTTACAGGCTATGGTACTGATGGAAAGGGGTCATCAGACGAAAGTACAGAAGGTAAGTTTTTTTAGTTACAATAATTAATTGAACATAATCATATGACAAACACAATACAACTTATTGAATATTATATCCAACGAAAAAATTAGATTAACCTATGCGACCATGCCTTATAATCGCATTATTCCTTATCGATTTTTTTTCGTTTCAATTTTATAATAGACTATTATGATGCTGAGCGCCACGAACAAATAGGTGAGTTTTTTTTATTATCATATGGTAAATGGGAGGTATCCATTGTTATCAATCAGAGAAGAATACTGATAGGCATCGGCATTTTTATTTTATTTAACCTATATACATACATAATCAGTACAATCATACATCAGTTCCTCGCATACAACCACTGCTTTTGACACGTTTCGCTAACGTCACTCCGTTATCTTATGAACTTATACTCATTACCGTCGTTTGTGTCTCGTGTTTTTATTTTCAATAATAACTGTTATTCATAATCATATTATTAGTATTATTATTTCAATTTAATAAATATTTAAAATGGATAACAAACTCGGCGAAATTATCAAATCTTTTAATGACTTCAAGAAATCCCATAATAAACTTGTTTCTTTGGTAAACTCCAATACGGATAAACTATCAAATATAGTATCGATGGTCGACAACCTCACTCAACGCTTGGGTTTATTGTCGACAGATAACGAATCTTTAAAACATAGAGTTTTGCCTCTGGAAAACAATGTCAAATCTATGGAACAAACTAATTCTACCCTACTAATTGATAATAACCTTATAAATGAAATAATACATAAAAAAGCTAAACAAAATATTTACTTTTCAACTTAATCGAAGCTGCTCCGATTTTAGATTCTTATTCTAGTGATATATCTACTATTCATGAAATATTTAAGTATTTACAACTGGTTAACCAAATAGCCTATATTTCTCGTCTGGGTAATACTTCAACTCCATCTAATAGACCAAAGCCTCTAAAAATCATTTTCCAAAATCATAAGAATGTCTTTCGAATTTTTCAATCCAAAATAAATTGAAATTTTCGGAAAATTTGTAAGACCTTCGTTTTGCTTCAAATTAAATCAAATGCAACGTGATTTTATATCCAGGTTACGAGCTAAAATTCTCCACAGGCGATTAAACGGTGAACCAAACTTAATAATAAAATACTTTAAAGGCACGCCGTACTCCATCTGTTAAATATAGTTAGTTTACAGTTTACACTTTCCGATTGATATGAATAATATACCTATAATTTATTCATCAATTAAGTATAATATTTAAATTTCCATTACCCGAAATGTAGGTATCAAATATCAATTATGTATGAACATGATTATTTATTGGTTTAATAGTTTATTTCAACAACAATAACAATATTTATATCGTTTATGTTTAGACTTTGATCACGAATATGACGAGTATCTCAAAAGTTTTACAAGTAAGTCATTTTATCATGTAATTAAACGCCATTCAATACCTATAATATTTAGGTAGGTATATCTACCGACAATATCAAAATATATTTCACATTCAATTGTTTTATTTTATAGCTGTAGGTCCACGTAAGTATATATCATAATAAATAATACCGATGATCAGAAAAAAAACCTCTTTTGAAAAAATAAATGTTTACTTTCGTACTTATTATAGCTACGGACGACATATTACGGCCAGATGGTTTTTGTAATCGAGGTAAATCAACATGAATTAATATATGAATAATACCAATTTAAAATGTATATTTTTGTTGAAAAAATTATACATTTTTTTTAAGTAAATTAATTCAGCCACAGTGTCAAAGCAAAAGTTTATATTATGTACGTACTACGATGCTTGGATGTAACTACGTTCGGTGTTCGGTCATCATTTGAGTTTATTTCCAATAATACTTATTATGAATTTACTTTAATTATTATGTATTACTATATAGTTATTCTTCTTCTTAGTTGATGGCCTTCAAGATCAAAATGAAAAACCCAAGCTATACCATCTCACCTTATCCTACACTAGAACTCGCCAATCAGCATCCGGTTCATCCCGCTCTACATCTTTCGACACCTGGTCCTCCCAGTTCAGCCTTGATCTACCAAGTGGTCTTACGCCTTCTAGAGAGCCACATAATACTTTATGTATAAGGGCTCTTTCTTCTCGCTATGCGTGGCCAGCCCAAAAGAGCAGCCTCTTTCTATCTCGTCGACTATATTTGGTTTCTGATATAATTCCCTAATCTCCACATTATGTCTGATTCTCCACTCTCATGTATTTCTATCTATTCAAGGGTCAAAAACAGTTGTACCTTTAGGTTCCTTACTATATAGTTATGATATATTATTAAAATACGAACAATTATAATTTACCATATTATATATTTCTCTAAAATTTACCAAAAATTATTACATTAAACTTCAAAAATAAAATAAATTTCTAAAATTGTATTAAATTTGCTTAAGTTAAAATATAGGTATGAGTACTTAATTACATTCCATCATTTTTAATACATATTTGACATAAAATTCACTTATTTAAAATTAAGATAATTAGAAAATAACGAGAGAAATAAAAATAAGTGAATTTTATGTCGTACAAATATTAAACGTGTGTAATATGTACCTATAATATTGTAAAAAATAATATTCCTACTTTTTTTTAAATTTTCTCTTATAGAATGTACAAGTAAGAATTATTATGAATTAATATTATTGTAAACCTAAATATAATTTTAATTTGTATGATAATGTGTCACCTATCGCCTAACTTATATGCTTTAATAAATCTAAACATTTTAGAATGGTTTATTATACCATTACCATTATACTAATTATATATTTATATGGAATATGTTGCGGGTACGTTTATAGACATCAAGTTTTTAAAAATTCTACTACTAAAGACTGTAAAAATTCAGGATTTGAAAAATTCGTTAGGTGCATTTGTATTCACATTCATTGAATTCAAAATCAAATGCATTCGTATTCAAAATTCAATTTTTTTTAAAAAAGAATGTATTCTAAGTAATATACAAGTATATTACTCGTAGAAATTTGGTTCATAATTCATATATTTTAAAACTTTTTTTTATTTTACTCATTCTCCATAAATAAATCCATTATTTTCTAAACTTTCCAATTTTCCGTTAAACTAGTTTATCTATTTACGTCACATTACAAATATTATTATTATATTCAACTAGATACACACAAAAAAAAAAATACCTATCAGTTTTTGTAATAACTAACGACACTTTTTTTTTTAATATATGACTAGAAAGATTTATTTAATCTGTAACAGGTACAGGGTACCGTACTAGGTCCAATATTATTTAAAACATACATTAATGGACTTCTTAATCAAAAAACTCCTGGAAAGATTACATGTTTTGTTGACGATATAGTCATCTTATTAAAAAGTTCATGTATAGATAATTTATATATAATGGCTAAGGATAGTTTTAACGTTATTAAAAATTGGCTAGATAATAATTTACTTAAGATAAATAGAGAAAAAACTAATTATATTCACTTTGGTATTCAAAAATCTAAACATTTAGATAAGTATAAAATAATTGCTCAATGCTCATACTAATCAGCAGTAATTTAAAAACTAATGTATGCAAATGCAGTGAACTCAATAGAGTTAGCTCTATTTAATACCTTGGTTTATTAATTGATGAACAATTAAAATAGGATGTACACATAAATTATATTAATAATTTACTGAGAAAATTTTCCTATGTATATAAATCTGACGATCTTTTTTACGTTTCTTTTTTTTTTAATATCTAAATACAAATAGCTATATTAGCTATATTATTATATAAAATTTAAATCTTATTATATGTATCAGCTCTAGGTCAAAGTCTAATGCATAGATTAGGTTAAACTTAGCCTTTTCTATGCTTTAGCTTTTTAAAATGAAACTATTCATTACAGCATGTAATATATTATATACTATCAGTGTTTTTCTATTATTATTATTTACTATTATTTTCTTATAAATTTTGTTCTAATTCTTATGACTACTTGTATCACAAATTCTCTCTTTTCAACACAAGCTAGCGTTTTAAAAGAGAACCAAAGCCTTAAATATTCTTTGTATATCAATATTATTTATCTTGTAATTAGTGTCAAATAAATATTATTATTATTATTATTATTATTATTATTATTATATTTCATAAATATTTAATTTTATTTAAGTATACAGTATATCTAGTTATTTAAATTACAATTTTTCAATGGAACATTTTAACAGGAGAATTGAAAGAGGCGGGATTCGATATCGGTTAGTATATTTACTATTTACCTATTTTATTTATAATAGGTAGATATGATGTTTTAAATATAATATCGATAAAAATATATTTTTTTTTAAGATGGTAATACGAAACATAATAAAGACACAATGAAAAAAAAATGTAAGCAATAATTGACAATTTGTAGACAATTAACGATTATATCTATGCAAATGCACTATATATTTTCTTTGATAATATTTTTTAATATTGTATATACTTTCCAGGTTTATCTTGTTTTTACCATGTTTTCCCCCTTTTTTTGGGAAAACTTTTGTTAAAATCAAAAAATGATCTCCCTAAAGTACCACCCCAGTCAGATTTTCTTTTATTCATTATAAATCAGAGCAAAATTGCAGGTAGAAAATTTGTTCACTGGGAAAACAAGCCGTAATGTTTTACTAATAATTACATTTCATACATTTTCTCGTTTTTCTTCAGTTTTTCCCGGTTTTTCTTATTTATTGGGAAAACTCCTAGGAAAATTTTTTGGATAACTTTTCTACTAGAAGACTTGCTTCTATTTCACGTGTAGCAACTTTTCTGAAAGCAAATCGATGTGGAGAGATACTTTAAATAGGTCATTTTTTCAAATTTCTCGGAGTTCTCTCAACAAATGTGAAAAACCGAAAAAAAAAAAAAAAAAAAAACTGGAAAATGTACGAAATATACTTGTATAACGTTACGATTTTTTTTTTTTGGGGACAACTTTTTTATGAACAATTTTATAATGCATTTTTTAATAAGCAAACTTATAATGATAGCAATTTTTCTAAAAGGAAATTTTACTGATGAGTTACTTTAGAAAGGTCGTTTTTCGATTTTCTCCGGAGTTTTTTCAGCAAATGTGAAAAACTGGGAAAAACGTAAGAAATTCGGGAAAATTGGTACAGCATTAAATAAAAATTATTAAAGAAAATATATAGAACCTACTTAATTATTTTACTATAATATGGCATAAATATTGTTGAAAAAGCATTGTTATCAACTGAACTCCGCTCAGAATCTTTTTTTCGTAAGCAATGTTTTATCCTTGCTTACAGGTATACATTAAATTACCTAAAACAGTGACTCGTCTCTATTATCTTAGGATGTCTTTTTTTTAGTAATATAAGTTGAAAAATTGATTTTTGCCAAAATATGGAGATGTCTGATTATGGCCACCAAAACTTCAATTTTAAAAAGACATCCTAAGATAATGAGGACGAGTGCAGCCACTGTTATAAATAATTTATCGTATATCTCTAAGCAACGATAAACCATTGCTAACAAAAAAAACAATTATAAGCGGAGTCAGTATCAGCTCCAAAATCACCAGTATCAGCACTGTTTTTTTTTTGGTTTTTAAAATTTGATGAGAAAACTCTTGAGAAAATCAAAAAATGACTTCCCTAAAGTACCTCATCGATTTTCTTTCAAAAAAGAGGCTACACTTAGAAATCTGATGAAGTATTCTGGTAGAAAAGTTTCTCACAGATAAAAAAAAATAAACATTTTTGTATAACTATAACCATTTCGCTTCTTTTAGAATCTAAAATTGACCATTTTTTTCATAAATAACTGATTCAACACTTTAACTGTAACAGATTTATTAATTATTACATTTTGAAATATACATTCTTGTATTCCACGATGTTTCAAAGAGTATTAAATATTTTAGTGTGAAAATATTTTATAATATTACAGTATTAGATAATATTATTATTACCTAATAAAAATGTTATCAAAATTTATCAGTCAAAAATCAAAGACCATGCAATTTAAGTGAGTCTATTTTTTATACATATAAACTATACTACTTATATATGCCTACTGAAAATTTTGTAGATAAAACGTATTTATGAAATTATAAATGTACAAAAAATTACCTATGTTTTAAATTAAATTGTGCAATATTTAGAATAAATTGAATTTTAAATACTTAAGTTGATAAATGACATCATTATTGGTTGAGCAGTGGATATCGAACACAATTTAATTACTCGTGCTGATGTAAAATGGAATTTGGCATTTCAATCGAAGTGTAGAATATTATAGACCTAGGGTAATAAGCTTACAGTAAGCTAACTCTGCTTGATAATTTTACAGAAAATTGGAGTTTTTTTTTTTTTTTAATTTCCTTTCTTCAAAGTTTAAGAAGGAAATGCATTGAATTTTTAATAAATATAATTATAATATAATGTTTTAAGTAAGTAGGTTTAATTTTTATGGTATTTTTAAAAGATATTTGAATACTTGACCGGAAGAAATTCCATTAAATAAGGCCACAAATTCACATACCTATTGATAATGTAGGTACATTGTTTTTATGTTCAAAATAATTACGGCATGGCAATTAAAAAAAAAAAAATAAAAAACCATATACTTAATGGAAATTTTGATAAATATTTATTTAGTATTCGGAACTTCATAAATACAATAACATATTTAAAATCCTAAAGTTTGAATATTCATTTAAATAAGTTCCTGGTTTGAAATCTCAACTTTAATCTAAATTTTTTTCCTACACTATATAATGCAGTATGCTATTAAATTGATAACAAATGTATAAATAATAATTAATAATGCATAACAGAAAATTGTCTCGATAATTTGGTAAAATATCAAATAAATAAATATAAAGAAAAATCTTAGCCTGAAATATTTTAAAAGGTTATATCGGTCTTATGTGTACTTACGACCGCAGTTTTGATTTAAAAAAAAACAATGATCATCGGGTCTCAGCATCACAAAGCCGGAAAAAAAAAACCCATTTATTTATTTTATTGTTATATTTTCAAGTTTTAGCCTCTAAAATAATTTTTTTTTAACAAATTTATATTTAAATAATATAAATATAATATACATTTTATATTCTTAATTTATAATTATGTTTAAATTAAAGTAGTTATATTTTATTGATTATTAATTATTATTAACAATCGTTAAAATTTGTTTAGCCTCGGCTGATTTTGGTGGTATCGGCATTGGTTCTGTTCTCAGAATACGCGAATACCCAGGTGGTCCAAGTAAGTTGCTATGAGATCATTTCTTATGAAAGTTACTCATTGAGGTAAGCTAGTGTGACCAATCATCTTATATTTAATTTTTAAATAATATTGAATTTACTTTTATATAAGTCAGTTTTTGGTTTGGAAGGTTTTTTACCTTCAAATGTATAAAATTATAATATATTATTGTGTTTTTTTGAATTTTAGTTGTAAAACAATTTCACAAACCTGAAAGTAAGTTTTTTCATAATGTACCTAATACATTTTACATACGACCTACCCAATATAATATTAGGTTATTATTTGCTACAATATTTCATTTCAAATAAGGTCAAAGGCGAATTTAGATTTAATACAAATAAATAAATGATACACCAACAATAGTTTAACATTAAATAATAACAAATCTGTATTTATTCCTTTCTCTTTAACTAACGTATATTCTCCGAATGAAATAGTGTTAAAATCTCGCATTAATAACTAAGAGTTTTGCAACAAATATTTTATGAATATTAAAATAGTACACTTCATTAAATACATAGGCGTACTATTTGACGAGCACCTAAAACGGATACCTCACATTCATAATGTGATTGCACGGACAATGAAATGTTTTTATTTGCTTAGAGAATTACGCAGTATTGTTGATATCAATGCCGGCAGAATAATATATCTCGCATTATTTAAATCTATATTAACTTATGGACTAATTGTGTGTGGGTCCGCATTTACAGTAATGCATTAGAACCGCTAAATTTTGCTCACAGAATTCTTATTAGAATTATACTAAAACAATATTACGAACAAAGTTATAATACTGTCGATTTATTCAGAATGCTAGAAATATTAATTCTGGAGCAATTATACGAAAAAAAATGCCGATTATAGAAATACATAAAAAAAACAAATTTTAAAATTCAAAATAGTAAAAATACAAGTAATACTGCTAACCAATTCTTATTAATAAATAATTTTAACACAATCCTAATGCAATATTTTTATATATTAAGAGGATTAAACTTATTTAACAATTTAAATACAAACTAAATTTAAGTTCAAATGTAGAATTTAAAAAAGTATATTATGCAATTATTTCATTCAAGAGCCAAATATGAGTTACAACAATCCTTCATTCCTTCAACATGTTATTATTAATGTTTATCAAAAATTTATTTTTTTTATTTAATCTGTTATATTAACTTTAATTTTACCATATATATTATATTTATATTTATCATTGCTTAGTAATAATCATATCTCCCTATCTCTAACACAAGCTGTATAGCTTACAGAAGGTAGGTAAATCAAATCTGTACTTATATGATAAATATTTAATAAGTTCTTATATTTATTTGTTTGATTATGAAAGAAAAAAAAAATATCATTTTTAGAAACTAGGAATTTGATGTACCTAAGCACGTTTTTTTATACTTTAAGTATATAGTAAGGAATGTATTTTTTTCTTTTATAAATGCAGTCTTAGTAGAATTAAAAACAGTTTACTCATTCAAAATGGTTTTAAAAATTATACGAACTATAATATTACTAGTTGTTATAGGTAAATATTATGACATTCAAAGTTGATCAACATGACTATAGTAAATATTAATCATAGGTCATAGGGTACCGACTTAATTCTGCAGGCACGTACACAGGAGGGTTTTCAAAGATTTGATCCCCTCCTTCATCCTTTAAGCAAATTCATAAGTACGTTTTTTTTAGTTATTCCAACCTAATTTTATATTCTTGCCATTTTTTGTTTATAGGTTATGTTGACAGATTTGGAATTCAAATTTTGATACAAAGTATAAGTAAATATAAGTTAATAATAAATATGAGCAATGCGATTGTAGTAGATGATAAATTTGACTGTACATGATATGGTATGAACAATTAGATATTGGTGAACGAATTTCGATATAATATTATCATCTTTATTTCGTAATTAAATGTCCAAGAATCTATAATATAATATTATCAAAATAATATTGTTATAATACTTAACAAATATATAGAAATTACGTTATAATATTCATATACCTAATATCTAGGTATTTATTTATATATAGAAATGTGAAATGGAAATCTTTGTCACGCATGTTTTCTGAAATTATTACTAGACCAATTTTTACTCGGTTATTCGTAAGATGATCCGCATTATCCGGAGAAGGTTTAAACTATTGAAATCGTCGATCTGACCAATAGAAGTAGTAAACCTAAACCACAGTAGGTTGGGCCAGTTACAAAATAATAATTTATATGTATTTTTCATTGCCTATAAGCAATCATATAACTAATTCATATAAGTTTGAAATGAAAATTAAAGAAAAAGTATTTTCAAACATTTAAAGCCTTAAGGGCAATAACGGTTAAGTTCAGTAATATTAATGGGGATTAAAACAGGAAACTAGTGGGTTAAGTCAACAACGACGGTTATACCACCGCTGTGCAGCTAAATAAAAGGCTAAAAAGTTTTTAACTCGCTACGAGTTTACTTGGGTTAAAATGAGAAAGAAAACGACGATTATAATTTTTTTTTTTTATTTACTTATAGTAACTTAACACCAAGATAAGCATTTATTGTGTGAGCAAAGCTGAACGTTTAAGCTAGTTTTTATATGTTTGTAATTATTTATTTATTTTTTTATTTGAATTAAAGCTAGGCCAATAGAAAATGGTAAACAATGGTGCGATAATTTAGAAAATCATATTTACAAAGACCACTCAAGAATTCCAATTTTGCCTTGGATGTTAATTGAAGAAAAGCTTCCAGGTATGACTGAATCTCATAGTCTTGATCCTATGCATAATATGGCTGGTCATATACCTTAAATAGACGAAAACTACATACTGTAGCAACACTTCAACAGCAAAACACTGTACTCTATTTTTAGTTTTTACAGTTTATTACGATTATATAAGATTAAGTTAAGTTAGTGTTTTTATAGGGCTCTGCCAAGAGTGTATCAACTCACAAGGCATTCTAAGTTAAATTAGATATAACGATATTAAATAATAAAAAAAAAAACAATATAATACAGTGTAATAGGTCATATTGGTCACATATACCTTACCATTTTATATTTAAGTATAGGATATATTAAATATTCATGATTAATGTCGTATTAAATTATTTTGTATCCATATTATTCCGAAAAATGTGGGTGGGTACAAGTAATTATGGAATGTAATAGGAATGTAAATAAAATAATAATTTATTCATTTGTATACCTACATCTTCGAAATAATAAATTTTAAAAACTACCGATGTGTTAATATTATATTACTGAAATATTTTAACAGTATTATCAATGCATTATATATGTATTAATTTAATATTAATTAAACATTTAAAACTTTAAAATTGTGTTCAAATTGTTATTTGGTGCATAAGTACCAAAGTTACCTATGCTAGACTATAATTTATTTATTGTTACAATACGAGCTCAATTTGATGTAATACAGTTCACATCATAGTTACAGTTTAAATATATAAAATTGAATGTGCGTTAAATATATCGGTATTATAGAAGATATAATAATATTAAATCAAGACAATTAACCGAAACCTATTTAAATAGGCTGGTTGTGTACACAGTTGGTGATAGATCTAAGTACATTATAAAGATGAGTAGAACGCGAGTAAAAGGAATGAACCTTAATAAAATTAATTTGGAATAGGAGTACAAAGAAGTCAATAGTACCATTAATTAATTTATGAAGAAATCTTATGTTGAATTTAGTTCACCTATTAGTTAACGAGTGCAAGTGCATCTAAAACCGGGAGATAGATGTGAGGGGCATGATCAATTTTTAGAATAAAAGTAGCAAAACTCAAAAATGCACTTTGTACATGAACCTTACTTTTACCACGCACAGTGGCCAAGAACATACATGTTCCTCGCGTCTTTATTGCAGTATCCATACAACCGGATACATTTGTCCTGAATCCAACGTAGGCGGAGTAGAACTCATTTAAAAAATAACGAGGTACTACTTTAATCATAAAAATGCAGCCAGAAGTACATCATTAATTAGGTTGATCAAAAAATTAATGACCGTGGAACTGCTATCAAGAATGGGTAGATAGGTAAACAAGTATGTTCAACGCTGTGTATCGCAGTAGTTCAAGATAAACGCATAACCACGAACGGGATTAAAGTTCAGTTCGTTTATATTTTGATGAGCGATAATAATAATTAAGTAATGAGTAATAAATGGTAAGACAATAACTTAATAATTATTATTTATTACCAAAGCTGCATAAAATCTTGATTCGATGAAACAAACATTTAGGAGTAAAAAATAAAACGCAACTTTTGGTGCTAGTATTAAAAAAAAAAAAACGTTTAATAAATCATATTGGATACACAAATTGCTAGAATAGACGAGAGCGAAACATTTTCGATGATATTACGTAGGTGAGTATTGCTATGATAATACTATTATTGTTTATTAATCCTATATAACACGATTGTAAAATACCATATGTTTTGTTTGCTAAAAAAGAAGACCTGTAATTTGGTAATTATTAATTTTTTGAGTTATTTTGGTAATATAGTTCTAACTTTTTAGCGGTTTAAATCTGCTATGCCAAGTATGCTGAAATAAATAATAAATTGTGATTTCCTATTTTTCGGGAATTATTTATTTATTTGTAATAACGAACTTAAAATCCAAGATTTAAGATCAATTTTACTGCAGTTAGATATAATTGAAGTTTTTAAGTTAAAATTGAAATATAAACATAAAGTTATAAGGTGAAAGGAAAAGAATAAAAACACGAGAAAGATTCACATGAAAGTCTTAGTTTAAAAAAAAAAAATGAAAAAAAAAAAACATACTCATAAACTATTACATGGGGAAATCTATCATGTATTTAACTATTCATGGAGGAATTCCTATATTTATGTGAGGAATTAGGAATATAAAATAACTTTTGATTTCTAACATTATGGATATTTATATTAAAATTAATGTCTTAAAATAAAAGGATCATAAATTTTATTGTTTAAAATTACAATTAAAAATTTAACATAAGAGACATTCCTTTTCTCTTTAAGGGGATTTAGGTTTAATGCGTTAAAAATATTTTCGTAACCAGAGTGGGAGTGTTTCAAAATAATACACTTACAACAGATAAACCGGAGGGTTTTATTTTGTACAGATTAAATCTGATTGATGAAACCATTGATTATAAATAGTATTTATAATCAATGATTAAACTAATATTTTGAGTGTCCCAGAAGTATTACTTTCTAAAACTTCTTTAACTAGCATTAGATGAGTTATAACCCTTGATTTGTTACTTTTACATGCATCGTGTTTTTGTAATAAACGTACCAATAAATACATAGTTATTTATGAAATAATAAATTATATGAAACCAATTAATAATAGCTTTTTGGTATTACCGTAGAAAGAACTTCCTATTACTAATTGTAGACATATTTTGTTTTGATCACTGCATTTTTCGTTTAAAAACTAATATTAATTATCATCCATAACTTATCTCATCAATGACAAATTATGGAGATTTAAAGTCAAAGTCAAAATAAAATGAATTTCTTGAATGAAGAAAATTTTACATGCATATATTAAAGGCACATTTTTAACTTGTTATGTAAGTAAAATTTTCAATAATTATTGTATATTGTACACATGAAGGCTTGTTTACAATATTGAAAGTTAGAAAAGTAATTAGAAATTAAAACTTTTAAACATTTGTTGCAGTAAAATAATTTTTATATTTTAATTCAAACATTATAACATTTGTTTAATAGAATTAATCAAATAAGTACAACAAAATAAAACAAAATACTAATTAACATATTGTGATATTTTGATAATATTTATGATAATATATATGTAGTTAATATTGTATTTTTTTGTAAATTGTATAAGAAAAAAAATTAAGTTAAGAGTACTTTTACACAAATAAAATCTCAATAATTATGATATCCATCTTGATTCTTCATGTTATATTGAGAAGGCACCATTCTGGGATTTTGATAATTGCCCTGGTATCCCATTTGATGAGTGGGTTGGTTTACCGTATCTTTGTTAGGAACCTTAATAGAGGGGGGTTTTCCCCCTATTTGATTATTGAGTGGATATCCCGGATGATAATTGGGCGAGTTTTCCATATTTTGATATGGGGACGGGTTTCCCATATTTTTATAAGGTGACGGACTTCCCATATTTTGATATGGAAACGGATTTCCCATATTTTGATAAGGAGACTGGTTTCCCATATTTTGATAAGGGGACTGGTTTCCCATATTTTGATAAGGGGATGAGATTTCCTCTTCCGTTTCAGTACCGACCCCGAGCTTTTCATTACACCATCTGATCCCGTCTAGAAGACCATTTACTAAGTACAAAATAATATATTAGTTTGAATTTTGATTCATAAATATGGAACTTCAAAGTGTATTACTGTTTAATTTGAATAATAAAAAAGATAAAGAATAAACTTACTTCCGTCATTGATAACTATAGTAAAAATTGATTAAGTACATAAGTAAGGTAATACCATCAAAATTAGCAGTATTTTAAATACATACGTATTTAATAGATATATTTTGTATATGTATTACTTTAATGTAATTGTATCTAGTATCGAGAATCTAGATACTGATTTTGAAATTTGAACTATCTTGTCTTTCCCTGAATATAATTAGATATATACTTTGTCCAAACTTTAATTATAATCAGTGGCATATTTACAACATTTTTTTGGGAGGGGTGCATTTAACATTGTTTATACGGCTAAGTGCACCTAAATCATACCTAACCTATAAATATTTTGAATGCTGTATGCCTCCGAAAAGGAGGTGTAAACCCCCTTACCCTTCCCCGTAAATACATCAATGATTATAATGATTATATTTATATTTTAAAATTTAAGGAAAATAGAAAGATACCTAAAAAAAATAACGACAAAAAAGACTTTATTATTGTTAGAAATATGTCTACCTAGGTACTATTTTCAATAAGGTTACTCCTAATTTTGAATAGATAGATTAGATAGATAGATACAACAATATTACTTTATACTTATGAACTGTACATGTAAATTTATATCGATTCATTTGAACCCCAATTCTTCTTCTCCTTCACCTTCATCTTAACTATTTGAACTCAATCTACCCTAGCTTATGTTATAGGTACTGAATATATTATACGGTTTTTGAATACCTACGCCTAATTGTGTATGTATATTGTATAATGAGTACCTAGGTAGGTATATACCAAAAATTTACTTACATTGATAATGTATCAGCAAGTACATTGCATAACTATCTGCATAACCTAGACAACGTAAGGTTGTATATTAATGTATATTATGTATTGCTTACGTAATACATAATCCCGTTAACGCTGATTTACATGTGCTCGTAAATTGGTGTGACCTAAATATCTTTACCCTTAATGTAAGCAAATGCAAATCTTTGTCATTCAATCGTCCCCGGTCCACTATACCTTACATCTATTACACTAATAATGAATCTTTAGAGCGAGTTCACAACTTTAAAGACCTTAGCGTTTTTTTCGATAATAAATTAACCTTTGATATGCATGTGAACTATAAAAAAAACAAATCCTTAAAACATCTTGGTTTTATCAAATTGTCCTGTGGAAACTTCAATAACGTGAGTGCTCTTCACCTAATTTATACATTCTTTGTTAGATCCACTCTTGATTATTGTTCTATCATATGGTCTCCGTTCTCTTTCAAACATAAATCGTCATTGGAAACCATACAAAACAAATTTTTAAATTTTCTTTGTTATCGTTGTAATATTGCCCGTGTTCCTCACTCTTCTTACGCTTCTATTTTGGATATTCTATTTTTCGATTCTCTTGAATTACGTTGAAGAAAATTTGATTTGTACTTTTTGTAAAATGTTGTCCATAATAATATTGATTATCCTAAGTAGCTTAGCCTTTTGTCCTCTATAGTCCCGCAACGTTTCACCAGATCTCATATTACATTCTATGTCACCAACCAACGAACTAATTATGCGATGAATAGTCCGATTTACCGTATTATGGAGCTAACTAATAAATATAACACGGACTTATTTTCTTTTCACTCATTTAAGCAAAATTTAAATTATTATATTTTAGGTAAAAATTTATGTTAATATTACACCTTACATTTTTACATTAAGTTTAATCCTTGTAGTTTAATTCTTATATTTTGTTTAATATTCTGTTCGTTTCCATTCGATTCCATATTTTTTTTTATGAATTATGTAACCAATTATCATCTGTATCACTGTTTTTCTTTATAATATGTAATTGGATTATTTAATCCGTTTATTTATTTAAATAAATAAACCTGGCCTCGATCACTGAGCTGCACCATATTGACCTTGGGCCCCGACCTCACCTTCGCTCAGCACACCGACAGCCGACCGCTCGGCCGCAAACGTGCCGCGAATGGAGTAGAATGCTGAACGCATTTGCAATGGCGAACACTCGCCACAACGGTCGCATCGATTCGCGCGTCTGGTAACCGGATGGCCCGTCAAGAAAATAACACGCCCGTCGACTTAGGGACGCTACCATGGCTTCCTCATATCGCACCACCGCTGATACGTCGTTATTATTATGTAACATCTTATTGAAAAGAGAAAAGAACGAAACACGCCGGACGTTTCGGAATCCGAAAAGAAACGCACCTGTGGGCGCTTATGTTTTCCGGTGGGTCTAAGAAATAATCCAGAATGTTCGCGACAGACCTTATCGCCGCCGATAAACCATTATAGATAACGAACACCGCTGTCTTGAGCGGCCCGATATTACACGATCGATATTTGTCGACCAATATTATTGTCAACGTGTTGACGAACACTGATGACGACCGCCAACGTGCCAATATTATTGATCAATATATCATTACTAAGTCGCCTAGTCCGCAATCAAATAGTAAAAGTAAATCAGCAACACAATAATATTGACAATCTATCAATGAATATCAAAATAATTTTGATTTTTTCAATATATTGAACACGTCTTCAATATGATCCATACACTGTCAATATCAAATATTGATCGTGTATGGGCCGCTTTATACCAATCAGCACCCGGTACCAACGGCAACATTGTACATTGACGGACATAGGTAATATTTACCAACCTATACTGTATTTGTCTGACATGGTGGCCCGTTCTCTGCGGATCAGCAATGGAATACGACACTTATTTTTATCAGTAATTATCTATTATATTCTATAAACACAAATTAATATAATATCCACAGCACCCATATTAAATGTTATCGAATTTCTTTTGGAAAAACATAAAACAGAATATGACTTACCATACACTTCAAAATTGATCGGTGGCACTGAGAAATTGTATGGATTAATAAGACGTCGATAGATTATAGTATAAAGTTATACCTAGGTATCAATAAAATCTTTGGTCCCCTGGAAGATGAGCTTTAGTCAATTAAATGTTGTATAGTATTCAATAAAAGCAAATTACCTTTTTTTAAATACATAAAGGTACAAGTGTACATGGTACACTCATTTTAAAATTACATTCACTTATGAGATTTCGAACAAAAATAAAAATAAAACAATTATGTAAAAAAAATGCCAAAGATGAATTTACGGCGTAATTCCTGGGGACCAAAAAAATATGAATTAGATGTTTTCCCTTCCCCGTGTGAAAAATAATTCCCACGCTACTGAAAGTTTCGGTTACTTTTTTATTGTACTTCAATTAAAAATAATATTGTATATATCTGAAATTTGCAAAAAATGCTTAATTTATGTGAATATAATTTTTGGTCAATGTTTGAAAATGTATACGCGGTCCACAGAAGTTGTGATTAATGGTGAAAAAAAAAGTCGCGCGTTAATGTAGTAGTAATTTTTTGAAATGTATTATATTAAAATTTTGAAAATCGTAAAAATCAAGTTTTTTCGCTTTTTCGTTACTAATTATTTGTTTTCATTTACAAATATAAATTAAATAACTCTAAATATATCCAAACTTTCTACCTACAACAGTGGCAAACCAGTCAGCAGTATCGGATTTTTTTTTATTAATAGGTAAGTTATGAGTTCTCATTAAAATTATTCATTTTGCTATTAATACAAGACATTTAAATGTTTTAATAATATACCTTTAAAAAAAATCAACTTTGTTATTTAATTTACACAGAATGACTTACGTTTACGTTTTAAAACCCCTTGTGATGGTATCTTTCCATCTAAAAATACATACAATTAACATAACACTTTATTTTTTTTATGTTTATTTTAAATACATACACACTTTTTCTTTAGTTTTGTTTAATTGTTATTCAATTGATTATCTACGATTAAAATATCTGTGTAGGGAATTACTTTATCTTTTGAAAATATGAAAATTTAAATATATTTTTATTTTCTATAAAATAATATTTATTAAGGTTCTTTCGGAACGTTGTATTTTCAATAAAAAAAAGAAAAAAGAAAAAATATTCGTAAAGAAAACTGTAAAGTATCAGAAGTACATTTTATTTTTCAAAATAAAATAATAATAATAAATAGTAAGATGTAGTGTTAGTTTAAATAAACTATTAAAAAAAAAGGTCATAAAAAAATTAAATGGTAAAACATACTAACTCGAGTTACTAGGGATTTCTTCTCCAACTGTAAAATGTCGAAAAAATATTTTAAATCACTATGGGCTTTTTTAGATTCCGAGCGGAGCAAGGAATGTATTGGTTTTACAATGATGTTTATTTTCTTCTTTTTTTTTCTGTGAAAACCAGGGAAATCTACGAAATTTATTATTTTCAAATCGTAAATACTACGACATTTCAAAACCGAACTCCACTCAGAATCGTTTTTTGTTAGCAATAATTAGTCTTTGCGTACAGATACAATAAATGTCCCCTCTACCTTCCCAACTTTTCACCTACAACAGGTTTTGCTTTCTCCATGCATATGTCTATCCAACATGGTATTCCTTTTTTGCTCTTCTCTAAAACATACTTTCCTTCAAACGTTATATATTATGTATACATATATATAGCTTATTATAGCTCTCTATTTCCTTCAGTTTCTTTATCTTTTACTGTCCCAAAAATCCTTTAAAATATTTTTCCTTCATTTTTCCTTGGTGCCTCAGATTTAGATTCGTATCCAATATTACTAGTAGTTACTGGTGCATCCTCTTTTGCCATATATTTAAAGTTTTCAAGCTTTTTAGTAATAATATTATTATCTATTAGCTAGGTAGATAGTAGACACTTACATTGTTTCCTGAGAACATCGAAATTCTTTTTGGCATTACCTATAGATAAATTATGTTTTTTTATAATAATATTATTATCAAATTAATAAATAAAACCATGAAGCATAAAAAATGCATGAAATTAACGAAACGCAACATTTACTATAAAGCTGTTTTGTCTATTTAAACTATCGTATAATATTATTATTTTTCAAGCTAAAAAAACATTCAAAATGTACCTGAAGCGAATCCGGCAAGTCTAATTTCCGCTACATAGGTATTCAAAAACATTAGGAAGATATACAATTTCACAAATTATTTAATCTTGTTAGGTTCGGTTAAAGTTAATGTGTCTACTGTCTAGGTAAACGATTAAATTGGGCCTTCTATACTCTATACTGCGGGGGAGTCCAACCCACGGCCATACCCACGGTATGGCCCTCATTTCAATTTCAAATCATCAATTAATTATGTATAATATAATGAGAAAAAATATGTTTTAAGAATATAAAACTACAAAATATTAAAAATAAAAAAAGCTTTAAATATTAATTAATAGTAGAATTGATTTTATAATTTGTTACAAAATCAATGATAGTAGGTATATACTATTATTTGAAAGTTTTATCTTTATTGGGATTCAATTGCGCAAAATGAACTAATGTAACTAAAATAACAATAGAGTTATTTTTAAATTTTTTTCTTTTAAACGTAAATAAATTTATTTTTTCTTGTAATTATAAATAAAACTTAATTGTTCGTCAAAGTATTTCTACTCATTACTCACTATAATAAAAATTATAAATAAAATGTGTTGTTATTAAAATGTGCGTGGCCCACGACAAGCGTCTATAGAGTTTATAGTATTAACAGATCGATCTAACATAGAATCTATAAATGAATCGAAAATACATATTTAGTGATGTCCTTTGTAAATTGTAGGTACATTGTAGGTATAAGGTACCTATTTAGTTGGAAGGTACGAGCACTTTACAAAAAGAGTACCGTAAAAATCGAGAAAAAATCTAACGCTTCCAATTTTTTTTTTTTTTTATGTATAATTTAAATAGAGTTGAAATTTAATTTTAATAAAACGTATGTTCAAAATGTATCAAATTATTTTACAGTAAAACCAAGTACACCGATTCAAATTCGATCACTGTAGTGCTCCACAAACATTTTTGAATTTAACACAGAAAAAAACTTAACTAACTTGGAAAATATTTAAAGTTAAAGACGAGAAAATTATTTTCGTAGAAAATTATGAAAAACCTAACAAATGTATGCATACATATTATGTGTGTGCCAGTGCCTGTGTTACGTCGAACTCTCAATTCTTATAATTCTGTGAAATTGCAGAAAAATACTCTATTTCATGAAATAAACAACGTCATTGCCGAGTATGTGAAATCGGCAACTTTTCTAGCAATTTTACGGAATCGGCAGAATTTCAACACATTCTTGGATGAGTTTTTTGAATTCTTGAATAGTTATGTACCATTCACTATGTGCGAGATCCACATAGATAGTGTGAGTTGCACATCGAACAATTGCACGTGTCAAAAAAATAGCATGGTATGTAATTTAAAGTGTCAACCAGATCGTATTTGCCACAATACGGAAAATTTGGCTTAACACACAATTATTTTAAATTTTGTTCAATTTATTTATTTATATTTTATGTACAATATTATTGTAAATATAGTTTGTATTTATTTTAAATTTTACTAATTTTTTGTAAATATACTTTAATATAATATAATTTAAATATAAAATACTAGTGTAAGTGTTGGTTATGCACAACATTTTTTCCTATGGGTAATATATAATTATATTTATTTTTACTTTGTCGATTTCGCGTTTCATGCGATTTCGTGCGATTGCAACAGCGTTATTTATTTCATGAAACAGGCAATTTTTCTGAATTTCACAAATTCGGTAAATCATATATTTTATAATATTATTGCTAACTGTTCAATCTTTGAAAACTAGCTGTAGATAACTACTCGTGGCCCTTAAAATAATAATACGAGTATATCAACTATCCTTACATATACAACCTGAAATACAAAAAATAAATTATTATTAATACTATTATTATAATATTATAGAACGATATACATATTTATCATGAAAGAATTCCGTCTGGTTTTTTCCTTGTATCGCATTATACAAATTTGTACGAGAAATGCAATTGCTTTAATACTTAATATTTTCGAAAACATTTTATTTACTTTCAAGACAAAATTCTTGCGGAGTCATTTCTTTAGTATGGCCGCTTGGGGCTTCTGAAGGCGCTCCTGGCATATCCATTCTACCTATAATAAAATAAAATATAATAAATATTTTCTTTAGATACGTCTGCGTGAGCGTTTTTTGAACGTAAAACTTTCAAGCAATCGTCTGATTTAATCAGTATGTCATATATATTCCGGATTGTTGCCTTTAATTTTTACAATAAGATAAATTTTTAAAATCACTTTGAATGGGGGACACTTGTTTTAATTGACGTGGACATGATTTGAATAAATTTCACGATAACACAATAATTTATACGTACTTATGTAAATAATGTAATGTGGACCAACAGCCATTTTTAAATTTATATGAAAGTACACTTGAATATTTTAGAGTTCAGCAATTTTGGTTTGTTTAAAAAATTCATTAAAATTGCGTTTTAGTCGGATGGTTTAAGTGGTACCTTGAAATAGATTGGTAGTGTAATCACTCCTGTCGAAGTTCATAAACAACTAAACTGCACATATTTAAATAAAAGTAATAGTTTTAATCGTTTAAAAAGTTTTTGTTTTTCAATTTCCAATAGATTTACCAATAATTAGTAATTTCGACGAAAACTAAACAGACTTCGTATATCAATATTCGTGAAAACTTTAACATTTAATATACTCTTATTTCATCGCATTATATTTATTTAAATATTGTAATACCCAACTTCAAATTATGATTTATTGTAAAATTGACAAGAAATTTGACCCGTAGTTAAAATAATGTTGTACATAACATGATCAAAACTATTTTCTATGTAAAAAATATAATATACAGAGCCGGATTCAGGAAGATCAAAGAACCCAGGTCCAGAGGCTCATAAAATGCGCAATATACAAGGTGGGCCCAACGAAATAGATACTTATTCACTATTAAGAAGTGAGTTTCTCCACATATTTTTATGTTAATTTGTACAAAATTTAAATTTACCAGTCTTTTTTTCTGATATGGGCCCTAGTAACCCTACAACCTTAAATCCAGCCCTAATAATATATTATTAACGATTATTGTACTAGGCATATAATAAGTAAACTGTTTAAAATAAAACGAATTTCCTACTTATACTTACTTGTAAACCCAATTAAGTAAAATGAGTATCTATGAGAAAAACCTAAAGGTTGTCAAAAATATTATTATATAATAGATATTCGTACCTAAAAAATGTATTATACCTTATTGTAACGATTATTTTTACGTGTCATATTTTCAAAAAATCTATTCTATCTATTTATCTATCTATTATATTAGTGGTTATAGGTAAAAATGTCGAAAGAAAATATGTCTGGCGGTAAAAATGTCCGGCTTGTACACTGTAAGTATAACTACATAACAAGAACTATCCCAAGTCGATTGAAACGGGTTTTACTTTAACAATTACAATGTTAAGGATTTATAATTTATATTGGTTTTGATTTTGAATGGATCCGATAGTATGAAGAGTTTTTGGGTTTAGTATTAGTAACTACAAACAATTCCTCACGTTGATTCTCGACAACCTTGACTCTTTGAATATATGTATGTATAATTATATAATTATATTATAATATATAATATAAGGCTTCGTACGCTAAAATTCTTGTCATCCGCCCCCTACAAAAAAATCCTAAATACGCCACTGCTCGGAGTATGCGCAGTCATCCTCAAGTCGCCCTTGATATACGTTTATAATTATTGAGGGAACAGGGTGTACTATGACATAAAGTTACACCGCTGTTGTAATTATTACAAAAATAAATGGAACGTGAGCCCGGACTGATATGTCTATAATTTGTTGATTAAGAGTTATCATAACCGAATGTGATTTTTCTGCCTTACTTTAGCTGATAAGACAAAAATAGGGAAATTACGTTACTTGGATCATAAATTGTTTCGTTTCGATTGAAAATGTAGTTTAATCACAAATAACATTTTTAAAAATTGCAACTATTTAAAAAATGCAAAAACTAACATAAGTGTAACTTTGTTGAATAACAATTTTTCTTTTAGAAAAAAATCTACATGTAGGTACAATAGTATCTCCTTTAAATTTTATAATTTGTGTTAAAATACCAATTTTAACATAAATGCCAAAATTGATGTTCTAATTATAAACAAAAAGTGTCAGACATCATACGGATCTGGTCTTTTATATTTAAGATATCAAATGTTAGTTACCGATCATTTTCAATTTAATACTTAATCTTATTGTTAAAAAAAAAATAATTAAACTGATTTTTTTACTCACTTCCAATTTCATACATTAGTCTTGGAGCTAAATAGTAAGTAAATAATAAAAAATGTTCTATATTATAATACTTATATAACTGTACATTCAAAAATGTGGTACTGTTTACTAGGTAATTTTTTTTTATTATGAACCATCAATTTTCTCGGAGGATTTTAAGTGAGTTTGATTTCTGTTTTTGTTTTTTTATCATTAAAATCATCATGAAATTGGTAAAGCTTTATTTATAATCGAGATCACAATTTATGGAAACCGTTATTGCATAAATATTCTGGTTTTTCAGACATTCTTCAACATTTTCCTATTATTAAGAAAAATATAAAGAAAATCGAAAAATGACCTCCTCATTGCTTGACGTTTTCTTCTTATTATTAGGCCCGTCCTTAAAATACACGGATTTTTAGTACTAGAGAAAGTACTTATTTTGTTAAACGTTTTTTTGAAAATTCTGAATAATTTGGATAAATTATTCAGATCGCACCTTAAAAGATATGGATATTTTAAATGGTAACACTTATTTTATTTGAACACATTTTTGATTATCAACGATTTTTCTATAAAATGTTATAAACTAACAACAAAAGTCGGTACATCAGTTCAATTTTTGTTGATTTCTCGATTATCTTGGATTATAAAGGAAAACATGACTTAAATTCCTATTACGATTCCGCTCAAAATTGTTTTTTAGTTACAATCATTTACCTTTGATTTCATAAAATAAATTAAATTAACCTATTATAATATATATATATCAGTTAAAGGAGTAACCAAAAGCTCCATTAGACATTTACTTTCAAATAAAAACTTTTAAATTACTTATATGATAAGTTGAATTAATTTATTAACTTTCAAACCTACTAAGTTGGAAATACGTGGAAAAATTATTGTTCCCACTTATAATATAAAATCGAAAATAATTGATTCTTTGTAAGAAAAATACTCACCTTGAGGAACTTTTGGAGCTGGAGGTATTTTAACATGACCTTTAGGAGGTTTAGGCGGTTTAGGAGGTTTACCAGCTGGAAGCGCTATATAGTTAATAAACATTTATTAATATTAATATAAAAATATTATATTGTAGTTATGAAGTTTCTTAAAAAAACGATATTGTTATGATAATTAGAGACCCAAATTATATTCTCTTATAGGTAATCTACAAAAAGGCACTTTAAAACGTCAAAAACATCGCTGAAAAAAAGCATTTACAAACATTTAAAAAAGCAAAAATGATAGAAGAATTTAAGTTTCCTCACTAATGGTTCTAAATTATTAAATTAAATTTCTTAACACCACAAAATTGATTCATACAAAATTTCTTTTAAATAAAGTCGTACGTGTTATAAAAAAATGAGTTACTTTTTATTGATCATTTTTGTAGTGTTAGAAAATTGTATTTATAAGTTAAATCCGTTGGAGGTGGAAAATTTTGTTGGAAAATACCGGTCAAAATCAAAATTAATATGTATAGAATACATAGTGACGGAAGTTGGCATCGCAGTTCTTTGTATGCGACAATAATGGAGTTTTCAATAAAAACAAAAAAATACCATATGAAAACGGCCCAAAATTGTTGTTTTTATCATTTCGCACAAACATATTCATCACAACAACAATAAATTAGTCATGTTTTAAAAATCTTTGTTGCCCAACATCAAAAATTTCATTATTAATTTATTCCCACGTAACAAACACTATCATTAGGTTTATCGGGAAAAATGAAATATTTACACTTTCAAGTTTCAACAAAATTAATTTTGACTATTTCCAATGAAAAAATGTAATGAAATTGTTTAAAAGCTTTCAATTAACGTTTCAATCATTTATTCTTGATTTACTCAAAATATTATATTATTATTAAATGTCTTCATGTCGCATTATGAATACCCATAATTATTTCATTAATGTCATAATAATATTATTATTAGGTAATTTTTAAGTTGTAGTATTGATAATTTCTTATAAAATTAGGATTAACTTTCGGTTTATTACATACCTAAATGTAGACAACATATTAAATGAACATAGAGATAAGAAGAATATATTTATATATTCTCTTCTAGATACTAAGAAACTCAATAACAACTAACTCACGAGGTGGATGTACATGTTGCTGTATTGACACTATAATTACGTAAATAATAATACTTAGTATAATATAATGATATGTATTAGGTAGGTAGGTATGAGTATCTATTCTTGAATAGATTTCAGGGATTATAAAGCTTTTGAAACTTACAGGTAAGAGTTTTAGCAGTAATATGATCTTGTTCAATATCCTCTAAAAATAAATAATGGCGCGTTATTATTTTTTTTACGTCGTATAGTATGTTTATGTCTATGTTTCATAGGACATGATCGTTGGTTAAAAAAACAATGGCATACATAAATTACTTAGACAACAATTTATTTACTAGACTAAATTTTCTGTCAGAAAGATGCTCTTGTAACTCGGAGCAAGATTTCTGGTACAGAACAAAAATAGAACAAATTTAAAATAAATAAATCGTTAACATTAACAAGTATAATATATAACAACTAAAAAGCTTAAAAGAAATATTATATCATATTACAGCATTCCTATTTGGACACTGATTTAGTAAATAATATCATAATTTAAAATTATTATTTTCCATACAGGTAATTTAACAGCTTACCACCAGTATATCCTAATTCAATTAATTCACCTGTTAAAATAATTTTTCATAATTCATTCTATTAATTAATACCAATAGTATTTATATTGTAGGTACATATAAATAATATGTGCAATCAATCATTGAACTCATTCAAGAATTTTTATTCCCAACTAGGAATCGTATATAACTGTGGGTCCCCTGTCGAATTTAAGTACCTGCAGGGAATGATAAAATCTAATGAAGCCATCGCTTCTTATCTGAGACAACATTATTAAAAACAAATTATGAAAACTTTATTTATTTCTAATAAGTTATTTTCACATTTCTGTGTAATAAACATATAGGCCATAAGCATAAACTATGATTTTTGTATTTATTTTTCAACGAAATTACTTATTTTACGTGAATTTCATCATTAAAACACAAGACCGGTATAACAGATGATTTATAACCACCGTAATTATTACTTCGGTGGGAATGAATCGCCAAAAATATGTAAAGATTCGTGTTACATTATAATTCATTGAATATAAATAATTGTATTCATTATTTTAAAGTTGGTGTTTCACTATTTTTTTTTTTAATTATGCGTGTTAATAAAATGTTAAACAATATTTCCCTTACTTTCTGTATATACCTACAGAATAATATAAAAACAAAGTCAAATATAACTTAATATTACTTTTTCAAGTAAAGCAATCAACCGAACCATTTTTAACAATTCGTCCCGCGTTCACAGGCGATGGCGCTCATTCAATCGTCTAAAAATAAACTTCTAAAATTAAACAATGTATTTCAGATTTCCAATTTGTATAGGTATTAGTCGCATGTTTAATTAATAATTGCATAGGTATTTTAAAATAAAATATGATTTTTGTGACCCAATGATAGATAATTTATATTTGGCTATATTATTTTCTATTATTACCTACCTTTGGCGACGATTTATACCCACCGAGATAATAATACAAGTGGGGTACAAATCGCCTGTTACTATAGTCGATTTTTTCCTACAGGCGATTTGTACCTACTGAGGTAATAAAACACTGATACACCGGCATTAAAGTCCAAATATTTGGTCTTAATATAGACTGAAAAAATGCAACTCAATTAAATTGCTCATTCATTTATACCTATTATAATGTTAATTTCAGCTTAGCTTAGTTATTTTTGTTTATAAGATAACTTAAGTTAAATAAGTATACGTTATACTTACTTAAACAACCTGAAAAAAAAAAATTGTACATTTATAGTTAATTAAGTTTTATCTTTAAAAAAGACGGACATACTTCACACGTGGGTGAGCCACTGTTGTAGGTGAAAAGTTGGGAAGTTAGTAGAGGGGAAATTAAAAATATATCTGTAAACAACGATAAACCATCGCTAGCAAAAAAAATGATTCTAAGCGGAGTTCAGTCGATAGTGTTGCTTTGTCAAAAATATAATATCGTCGATATGGTCCGAAATAATAGGATTAGTGTCAATTTTTTGCATACCGGTATGTCCGAAAAAATTTCTCCGATTCACACTGATTTATTTTAAACACACCGGTTTGTACCAATGAATTTCTAGAAACAAACAACAAGTGAAAATTTACATTAACAATTAATGATAATTTATATCAAATATACCGGTTACTGTTACTATATTAATTTTTTGTGTTTCGTGATGACTGATGTCTGATGAGTAGTGTCGCGTAGTACGCGTTGGGTTGGAAGCCATGATTCCTTGATGACATTTAATGAATTATATGTTTTATTACTTAATGCACTTGAAGAATTACAACATGATACAAACATTAAAACGTCAATTAAAGCATTATTGTACTTAAATTCTATAACTAAAGGTGAATTTCTAGTGGCTTTTGATGTCGTGGTGCTTAGCCTTGAATTTACATTACAACTTATTGTTGCTTTAAGATCTAAACAACAAGACTTATCAAGAGCATAATCCGATGTCATGGTAATAAATCAATGGATACACGGTTTGATAATAGATTTTCTAGTATTATCCCTCTCGAAGGTTTGATTCCAAGTCATTTTGATGTGTATGACGAGGAAACTATTTTATAAGCTGCCAAAATATATAGCCATGATTTATCTATTCATATGAATTCTACATTCAAAGCTGAGTTATCTTTATGGAGACAACAATGGAAAACGAACAACATCTCAAGGCCTGTTTCAGCTATTGAATCAATGTCCCATTGTACTGACCTTGTACCTAACATTAAATTATTGTTACAGTTGTTTGCAACCTTACCTGTAACTTCTGCAACACCAGAGAGAACATTTTCTACCTTGTCAAGATTGAAAACTTACTTACGATCCACAATAACGGAGAAAAGACCAATTGGTTTGACAATGGCAAATATAAACAAAAAGAACTTGTCAAGGAAGCAGATAAAATACAAATTTTTGCTCAAAACGCTCCAAAAAGTGCATTCTTCTTAGAAGGTTAGAAGATTGTAGCCATAATAAATAAATAAAATGTTTATACCTATATAATTTGTTGCATGATTTATTAAAAGCATGATTTTACAAAAAGTATAAATAAAAGAAATATTGTAATTTTTTTTTTTGAGACCTAGTCCCCCCCCCATACGAAATTCCTGGCTACGCCACTAAACTGGCATAAAGTAAGATGTAGAGTTGAACGAGTATCGTTTTTGAATGTCGAGTCGAGTCGAGCTCAAATGTCGAGTACTTGAAAAAGTTCGAGTACTAAAAAAAAAGTCGAGTACTCGATAATTGCCGAGTCGAGTCGAGTAAAGTTCAAATATCTAGTACTAAAAAAAGTCGAATACTCAAAGACATAACATAATTTGAAATGGGTCGAATACTGGGAATTGCTGAATTTATTTAATTATGCTCGTAAATGATTTAAAATTTTCCAATCTTTCATAAAAATCTTGCCCTAACAATTGTAAACACAACAAAAAAAAAAAAAAACAGCCACATCGGCCATTCTCAAGCGATGATCTTTCATATACATGCTGCAAGTANATAACAGTCCATTGTTATTAAATTAAACCTCACTGGATAGTGGATTCTTATCGGACATATTTGGGTATTGGGTTATTTCAGTTATTTATAGTTTTAACTTTTAACATTTATTTTCCAATAAAATTGTGAAACGAGTACTCGTTGAAGTCGTCGAGTACTCGTATGTATGAGTACAAAAAAAAATTGTGTCGAGTCGAGTTGAGTATTCGAACTCGACTCAAAAATTTTTCCAATTTCGAGTACTCGCCCAACTCTAGTTTATAATAGATATTGGATAAACGAATAGAAATAATAATTGACTTACTCTCAATATTATGCGCGGCTGATTTTTAAATAAAGAAATGAATAAATTACAAAAATAATTATAATTTTTATAAATATGAATTTCTCACAGTTTTTGGGAGATGTGTGATTAAGCTATGAATGGAGAAAATAATATTTTAGAGATCAAAAAAAGATTGTTCATGCATGGAAAAATCAACATCAATTAGGACAGTGCTGGGACAGAACCTAATAAGTAATGTAGGTATTAGTTAAAATATATTATGACCTTCTTTTTTCTTGTGAACAAATTTACTACAAGCAATTTGGCTCCGATTTATAACGATAGCAACTTTTCTGAAAGAAAATTTTACTGGGGAGGTACTTTAGGGAGATCATTTTTCAATTTTCCCAAGAGTTTTTCCAGCATATGTGAAAAACCAAGATAGAACATGGGCAAACCGGAAAAACGTAGGAAAATTGGGAAAATCGATACAACATTAAACAAATATTATAAAGGAAATATATAAAGCCGATTTAATTATTTTACTATAATATAACATATATATTATTGACAAAGCATCACTATAAACTGAACTTAGCTCAGAACGGTTTTTTCGTAAGCAATCGTTTATCTTTGCTTACAGGTATACATTAAATTACTCTAACAGTGGCTTCATCCCTCCCCATTATTTTAGGATGTCTTTTTTCTTCCGAAGCTTTTCGTGGTTCGTTCAACTATTAAGTAGACTACCGAGGTAAAAAAAAAAAAAATGTCTCCCTAATTCACTAACTAAAACACCTATCACAGAAAGGGACACTGAATGGGAAGTTTATAAGAATTCAATCTTTTTTAAAACCCACCGACCATCATAGCAAGTTCCTATATATTAATATGAAATGGCCGAGAAGGGTAAAATGCTTCCCAACAAAAAATTTCTGGTAAATATTAATTAAATATACTCAGGTCCGTGCCCAGGGGGGTTTGAGAGGTGCCTACGAACTGAGCGCTATGACCACAGGAGCGCCAATAAAAGCATTTCAAATTCTGTAATTGAATATGTTTACAGTAAACGTATAAATGAACTCCCAACGAAAAGGTTTAGGTTCTTTTTTTTAATTTTTGATCATCGGTAAATTTTTCTGGCTTCGGGTGCTGATTTTGCTATACATGGCACTGGGAACACCGGGATTAATGGTCAGTTCCTAAATGATGGTAGAAGTAAAATTGCTGGTAGAAAAGTTGTCTACGGACGGTAAAATAAAATGTAACACGTTCAAAATCTAAAATAAAATGCTGCCCTAAGATAATGGGGATATGTGCAGCTATTGTTATAAGTAATTTAATGTACAATGTTTAACAACAATTAACCATTGCTAACGAAAAAAACGATTCTGAGCGGAGTTCAGTTGACAATATAGTTGCTTTATCAACAATATATATGACATATTATGGTAAAATAATTACATAGGCAATATATATATATTTTTAAATATTTGTTCAATATTGTACCTATTTTTTCGTTTTCTCCACGGTTTTCCCATGATTTTTCCCGGATTTAATGGAAAAACTGGTGAGAAAATCGAAAAATGACTTTCTCCCTAAAGTACCCCCCCACACACTGATTTCATTTCAGAAACGGTGCTACACTTAAAAATCGGAGCAAAATTTTAGGTAGAAAAGTTGCGCACATAAAAAAAATATAAAAATTTGTGTAAAATCATAAGATTCTTTGCTCCATTTAGAATCTAAAATACTTTATACAAGAATAGTGGAATATTATTATTCTAAATATTTACCAAACAGTAAACACCATTGACGAAATTTGAGTGCACATTCTGTATTATAAACAATATTATATTAGTTACGTGTTACTCCGTAGAATTTTTACGATTAGCTATACTTACCTATTTTACCTAAAATATTAAATTAAAACAAAAATATATTGTAAAAAATTGTTTTAAAGTAACCATTATAATTAATATGACAGGACGTATTATACTAACCCAATGACGCCTGAATATAACCTTGGAATAACATTTCATAGCCTAAAAATGTAATTTATTTATAAGATAATATTTTTTTTAGATTCTAAGCGGAGCGAAGAAGCTTATGGTTTTACAAATATGTTTCTTTTTTAAATTTTTTTTTATCTGTGCGCAACTTTTCTACCAAAAGACTTGATCAGATTTTTAAATGTATCACCTATTTTGAAAGGAAACCAGTGTGGGGAAGTAATTTAGGAAGGACATTTTTTGATTTTCTCAAATAATATTATTGAAGAAAATATAGAAAGCCTGTTTAATTATTTTAATATAATATGACATATATATATATTGTTGGCAAAGCATCACTATCAACTGAACTCCGAACAGAATCGTGTTTTTGTAAGCAATGATAAATCATTGCTTACAGGTATACATTAAATTACCTATAACAGTGGCTGCACCCGTCCCCATTATCCTACGACATCTTTTTAACGTTTATTTTTTTCAATTATTTAGATGGTTGATTAACTATCATTTAATCCATAGAAGTACGTTATAGATATAGATATAGACATATAGATATAATATTATGATGTCATAATAATCGCACGATACGAACATTGGGATTGATGAATAAATAAAACTAAACCTCGTAATAAATTTCCAAGCATTCTCGACAAAATAAGTATCCACTTGAAACTAAAAAAAAAAAATAAAAAATTTCAATATCGGTAGAATTTTTTAAAAATTCTTTGCAAATTGAAGTTTTTACGATTAAGTTTAACCAAATTCCAAAAAAAAAAAAATAATAATAAATTTAATAAATCGGAACTGTTATTGCGTTCATTTTTCCTATTTTATTTGTCTAAATCATTATAAAAATGACAAGGAATATCAAATGACCTTTTAAATACATTAACAAGACAATATTTGTTTTTAGAAAACGAGCTACACTTTATGTTAAAACATATCATAGTAAAACCAATCCGTTTCTCGCTGCACTTAGAATCCGAAACAATTTGAGAAGGTATATTTCCGAATATCATCTCCTTCTCAACGAACCGAGTACAATTTATTTTTTCTCGCAAATATGGTTCATCATAATTTAATGTATTATTTCAGAAATATTAAAACCCAGTAATCTTAGATGTTATACTTAAACGGTATTCAATCCCACAGTATATAACTCACCATGATCCGTACTTGGTTTCATAGCTAAAAAAAAATTGGTGATTATTTATTAATTTATTTTTAGTTACAAACGTACTTATGCCCAATACTACAAGTTAAATGAGTGAGAATAATGATCACAATAGTAGTACAATATACTGTGATAATTACAGTTTAAAACGTGTACGTTGATTCAACGTATACAACATCCATGTATGCGGATTATAGGGGAAAAGGCTGTCGGAATTCGTGTGGGAATACCTACATAAAGACTTAAGGTTATCATGTTAATGTGTTGCTGCTCAATAAAAGCCTTCAATCCATAAAAAGGATAAGTATAGATACTTTCGTTTAGAAAATTACATTTTTGATAATAATAATAATATTTATTAACACCTACAAGAGGTAAGATACAACAATATTACAATGCTTACAAAAATGATTTTACATGATGAGATACAAGATACAATTGAGTAATTGCTGGTATTACAATTAAGTAATTTTAATTTAGATCCAGAATCAAAATTAAAGTCAGAATTGACGAGTTCATTACATGGCTTAGGCAAGCGGTATAACGGACTGTTTATAACGTAATTTCGATTACTGGGGGAAACATGAAAACATAATATATTTTTAGGGTTAAAAACAGGGTTTTTAAGATCAATTTTAGATAAGAACTCCGGACAATCAATCATACCGTTTATTAACATTTACACAAACGTCAACTGTGTGCCAAATTTCAGCCCGATCCGTCCAGTGGTTTAAGCTAAACGATGATGAATCAGTTAGTCAGGACTGTTATTTTATATATAGGGTTTATTTATTGACTAGTTAAATTACATTTATATTTGTATTTATTCTTTGTTAATCTAATTTCTAACTTTCATGTTATTTATTTGTTTAATAATTATTACCATTTATTTTTATTCTTTACTACAACTTATGCCGATGCCAAATGCTAATATAATATATAATATGGAAAATGAATTGTTTTCACGCCAATTTTTTAGGAATTAAAATAGCAATTACTAAGAGACTATTGATCGGATATGAATGCATGTTACACCAAAATGTTTGGAATAATATCTTTTACAAAATGGCTGTTTTGAAAATTTTGAAAAGTGATAAATAAAAAGTTTTTTTTTCAATAATTAAGGGATGAAAATAAAAATTTAATTTTTTTGTACATATGCGTCTTCCTTGCGCAAAACCTATTTAAAAAAAAAATATGCATATTGACAGAGTTATTCACATAAAGATAACACTGTAGGACATCCTGAGTTAAACGAGATTAAAACTTTTCGTTTCTTATGAATACTTAATGGGGTTTGATTACTTACACATTCCTCGGTAATGAATACAATTAAAATCAGGTTCTGTAGATATATTTTGATCTGAAACACCAAAACAATTAAAAAATTACAAATTATGTATGAATGCAACTACACAACATTATGAAAAAAAACAATCCAATATTGCGGGCGTTAGGCTCCTCGTACATAATAATGTAAATAAGTATTAATTTGCAACTATACAAAATTTCAATAGTCCGTGGTTTTTCGTTCGAGTGTCTAAAATTGTTGAGAATTTTTCGGAGCCAAAATGTTGTATTCACATAAATGGAAAGTATACGAGTAAAAAGCTCTCCTAGAATAATGAAGATGGGTGCACCCACTGTTATAGGAAATTTAATGTTTTTTCTTCTAATGTTTACCTGTAAGCAACGATAAACCATTGATAACGAAAAAACGATTCTTAGTGGATTCAGTTGATAATGTTGTTTTGTGAACAATATATGTATAATATGTCAAATTATGGTAAAACAATTCCATAATTACATTATTATATATTTTCTTTAATATAATAATATTTGTTTAATAGTCTGATTTCCTTTCAGAAAAAGTGCCATCATTGAAGATCGGAGTAAAATTGCTGGTAGGTTCCCACAGAAAAAAAATAAACATCATTGTACTTGTAAAACCATAAGCTTCTTTGCTTCACTCAGAATCTAAAATAGTAGAAGTAGTATGCAAAATGCCTTGATTTTTAGGATTTTCATCATAATTTAAACCATATTAAGCAGTCATAAAAAAAAAATGACACAAGCTCCTTTTCTTTTTTTTACCAAAAAATGTAACTTATAGTTAACCTCACACAGATTTTAGAGTATATTTTGTACGGGTCCAAAACAATTCACATAAAACCGAAAAAATCGAAAATGTCAAATAATTATAAAGAACTCAAGAACGAGATTCAAATAAAGATAGAATAGTTCTGAAATTTTACCTTGTCTAGAACGTACTAATATAATATTCCTTGAAAGTCTGATGTATTATGTACAATTACTTTTTACCGAATTACGATAAATAAACAAAATTACTGGCCAAAAAATTGTTTACAGACGCACAGACAAATAATTTTTATAAATTAAGTAACTACTACTAAATTTTAATGCTTACTTGTGTTATGGGATATGCTCTGAAGTTTTTCTGTGAACACAATCAATATTTAGTATTATAAAGGATAATCAAGTGCATTCATGCCGACCAATTTATACAATACTGCAAATCTACAGTTAATATTACAAATTTACAAATTTAGAATATAATAGTGTTTTAGTGTTAATTCATATTCTTTAAATAACATTCGTGCCGTCGTGCGTCGTCGGGAGACAAAAAAATATTAGGGAAATAATATATTATTATAAATTAAACCTATTATACTTACGTAAAATAATACTTCATTTATACGATTATCATAATAATTGGGTTAATAATAATGATGGTAATCATTTTTTTTTCGTAAAGTCCGAAACATAATGTGAGCAATTAAATTTTTTTCAGAAACAATCTCAGAATACGGAGTGGTCTGTACTTTTAAGTTTTGGTTGGAGAAGAGTAGTGGTACATTATTAACAGGCCGTACCACCACACAAAATATGATACTCACAAATCCACTACTCTCCTCCAACCAAAACTTAAAAGTGGAATATCTCGTCAACGGATCGACAGAAATCAAAAATGTCATCACTAAAATTTATTTTAACTAATATTCCATCTATTTATGGACTTTTAACATAGATTTCCGTTTGAAAATCAAAAATAGATAGTGGTTTTACTCATAAAAATAAGTGTGATAAAAAATAACATAAATTTAAAATTGTAGATCTTCTCGTTTCTTAAATGTTCTAGAAAACAAATGCAGAAAAAAGTTAATATTTTTCAAGATAATGAGTGTACCCACTTAAATGGATCACCCGGTATTAGTAAATAGCCATAATATAAGTATACAATTTATATTGTGTTTATACTTACCCATACAAACTAGAAACAAAAATACAATAATTACAATGATTAATATTTACTATTTTCTACCAAGAATATTATTTAAAACATATTTTTTTTTGTAGGTAATATAATATTGAATTAAAGTGAACTTTTCAAAATATTTCTCATTACGATAACTAAAAATATATTAGGTCTACACAATAAAACAATATCAGTTTTATCGTGGAAATACTATAGACGTCAAACATTTTGTTTAACACTTAATAAGTCGAATAATTCAGATTGTTCTTTCTATTTCCAAGTATTGGATTTTTAAATGATTAATAATTTGTGATGTACAATTTGAAGTAGGAGGGCAACTTGGACATTGTGCCAATCTAACTTGTAACTTTTAGTCTTGTCTTGTTGACATCTCTGGCTTTTGGGTTTGGTGTAGAAATATAAAAACGACAAATGTGTCATACTATTAGGTATCCCTTTTTTTAATAACTTTCTTTACAGATAAGTAATCTGTGATCAATTGTTCAATTCATTTTCACAGATTTACACTGAGATTTTAGTTTCGGAGCGTTGCGAAGAATGCATTGGTTTTACAATGGTGTTTATATGTTTTATCTGAGAAAAACTTTTCTACCAGAAATCTTGCTCCGATTTTTATGTTTAGTACCTTTTCTAAAAGGAACTTTTATCTGGGTGGTACTTCGAGAAGATCATTTTTTTTAATTTCCCAAGCGGATTTCACAATGGAAAAAACAGAAAAAACGGAAAAATGTACGTACATGTATTATGTATACAAAAGAAACTTCGCTCCAAATCGTTTTTCGTTAGCAATGGTTTATTGTTGCGTACAGATATAAATTAAATTCGTCTCTATATCTTACCTTCCCAACTTCCCACCTACAACATTGATCCACCATTGACCCATCGTGGGAAGTATGTCCATCTTTTTTACTTTAAAAATAAAGTATGAAATGTAAACACCATTAAAGTATGGATTAGGTAAATAACATAGTTATATTCTTTCAAAACAAAGACAAATCTGAAATACCTAATTATAAATGAAGGACAATATTTGAGCGAATCGAGACAATTATTTTTCTGTTAACAACTTATTTCCTAATTAGTTTACGAATTTGGTAAGTTCATCTCAGTTTACCAATCATATTATGGCAAATAAAAACATATACCATTGTTTATCTATCTATACGAATAAATCAAATTTAAGAGTCTGTCTGTCTGTTTATTCCGCCTAATCTCGGAATGGCTCATACCGAATTCAATGGTAGGACATCATTAACCACAGAGCATGACGTTTTCACTCCTCGGCAATGGCGAGAGAGCAAATGATGGACATTTACCTGGTTAATATTTATTTGAGTAAATACCAGATAAAGAGTTTTTATGGCTAATGACAATAGACAAAATCGACTTTAGCCCTTCTTCCCTAGGACCAAAGATATAATAACTTATATTATAAATACAAATGTTTATTATGCAGTTAAATACTTACCATCTGGTTCATAGTCGATAATAGCATACGTGTAATTATCGAACACACCGAAAACTATCACGGTAGTCATTATTATTGAATTGAGTGAAACCATTATTTTTTCGAGAAAACAGAAAAACCAAAAACACAATACGATTGCTGACAAACTATTATCAATGACCAACTATTATATCGAAGATTAAACAAGGCGGAATATTAAGTATAGACAATAATTATTTAGGTCATATTATAATGTTATATTATAATCACTACATCAAATAAAACGAACTTAACAGCACGTGCTGATGACGTCAAACGATTAATATTATGGTTTTTACAAAAAGCGTGAAAACCGATATTATAATATACAGAGTGCTCAACATAACATGAGACACCTATTGTCTCCGAGTGTTAACTATTTTCAGAAATTATTTTTTTAGATAATTCAAGAAACAAATATCTCTAAAATGATACATAATTGTTATTTTTGTTACTTTTATTTTAGGAGTAAAATCTACCACTTTTGATTTTCAAATAGATATTTACATTAAAAATTTCATAAATAGATGAAATTTTAGTTTAAATAATTCTTCTCTTATCCAGAAAATGACAAACTTAAAAGTGGAATATCGCGTAGCTAAAACGGTTTTTATAATTTTTAATATTAGTTGCTACTTAAAAATAAAAAGTGGCTACATGAATTTTTAAGTGTAGTTAAAGCCTATATTTTCGAATACTTAGATTTTTCACAACGTTTAAGAAGTATGCTGATACATTTTGGTGTTAAAATTTATTTAAAGTAACACTCCGTCTATTTATGGAATTTTTAATATAGGTTCTCGTTTAAAAAACGAAAGTTGTCACTGGATACAAATTTAACAAAAAAAAAAAAAAAAATGGGATGAGCACCCTTAGTGAATCACTCTGTATGAACTGAATATTTTATTTTACATAATTTTTTCTAATATTTAAACAATATTATTGACAGAATTATAACTAAATAATGTAATAAAGAGGTATTTTTTATTTTTTTTATCCGATTTCTTCTATAAAATGTAGTAAAACAAGCTGTCTAGTGATTTTTCGCACTGTGTACCTATCCGTTATATTTCAATGTTCTCATTTAATTATTAGTTATATACAAATATGGAATTTTTATTAGGTTGCACTCAACCGCCACTACAAAATATTAGCCATATTACAATAATTTGATAATAGGATTAGAAAACCGTCACAGTAACATTTGCCATCGCTATCTCTTTGACGGGCAATTAATAAAGTAATAATGTATATTAATGTACTAATTATAAAAATGAACGAAAAGGCCTGTTGCTTACCTGCACGCTTCTCACGAGTGCATGTAAATCCAAACCGAATCTAAGTCCATATTGCACCTAAGTACACTGCAGTTGGAATATTGTAATAAAATAACATAATATGCGGTATTTAATATTATTTTTATAACAAACAACTTTGAAGTATTTTAACGTTCTCACGAACGAGACACATATAAACCAAAACAATCACTAGTTAGCAATCCAGTTTATTATCTATATCTGTGATTAAATGAAATGGTGAAAAATCTGATAAAAAATATCATGATAACATAACATCAGTTCCGTTTATATCACAAATTGAGATATGTCTTAACGTATATAATACATACCGTATATCTTGATTCGTGGTTTACACTTTATAATTTATATTATGATATACAGTCCATCTATTCATAAACCGTTTCTAAACATTCAAAATTGTTTAAACTTTGAAATTGTTAAAATTTAACCATCTTGTGAAAGGTTTATTTTTTTTTCAAAATGATTTTAAACTGTTTACATGGCCCGGAACAATTTTGAGTTCAACATGTTTTAACTTCATTATGTAGTTTTAATACTTATGGAATGGTACTTACCTACTTAACTATTTTAATAATTTTTTTTATGTTTTCAGTGTTCAATAACAATAAATTAAGATAGACATATCTATCATGGCAAAAAATAAAAATATTGAAAAATGTCAGAAAAATTTAAAGTGAGCAAATATTTTAATATTAATTATTTATTAATGTTGGTGGGTTGCGGTAGATATAATGGTTATAGTGAAAAATATTACCTACTGCCAATCCAAATTTTGTATATTTTTTTACAATTTTTGTATAACCAGGCTAATTTAAATAAGTTCTATACGTTTTTAAGTATGTAATGAACAATGTAATATGTAGTAAAACGATACAAAATGTATACATAATTGATTTACAGCAAATGTATACAATTTCTTTTATCTTCTAAAAATTTATTATTTTAAGGTTTTCTATTTAGATATGATATAATTGTATAATGCATACAAATTATTATGTAAATCTTGAGCCCTAAATGTCACTTTTTTCAGATGTGATGATCCAATTCTAAACAGAACATTGATAGAAGAATTTATTGATAACACCGAATCTCATAATCTTTATAATAAAAATAAAGCAATAAAATTAGAGTAAGTGTTATGCAATTTTAAATTTTACTGTATATAGTACTATGCAAGTGTAAGTGAAATGAAAGTGTTTTTATTATTTCCATATTACTCTGTTCTTCTAAATGTCAAATGCTTATAAATTATGTCAGTATGTATACATCTAAATTTTATCATAAACATAAGAAATTGACAGAATGAATAATTATTTCTTGACAAATCACATTTTTAATAACGTCAATGTACATGCAAATTAAATAACTATACCAATAATTGTAATTAATTTGTGTAAACTTGGGAATATCAAAAAAATATTTTCAATACAGGTGATTTATGAACTAACAGTTTTATCTTAACGTTTTGTAGGAATATGAATTGTTTTTTTCTCTTTTAAGCTTTAATTGAAAATATATTCTAAAAGATGTGTTATATTAATTTTAGATTCTTTTATGGATTATTTAATACTTATTATTTTATTTTGAAAATTCTAAATTTTCCTATTTTCAGATTCGATAATCAAATATTACCAATAAAAGAAGAAATTATTGATACCACCGAATCTTATAGTATTAATGAAGAAAATAAATCGATTCAATTAGAGTAAGTATTGTGCAATGTGTTTTTCTGTCTGAGAACTATTAAAGTTTAATGGGTTTAGGGTGATTGTATACCAATATTTTCTTTTTTTATCAAACACATACTTAGCATAATGGTTAAAATTAATTAATGCTGTGAAGTTATTCTGAATACAAAATTGAGTTCATCATAAAGTTTACACACAATTTTAGTCCTTATACCCAAAAATGTGTAAAGAAAAACTTGAATTAAATTGAAAAGGTGGATTTTAAAAATACACTTTTGTATGCACATTTTAAACAGTTGCTTATAAAACTTAATAAATTACTGATGTATACAAAAATATTTGTGTGCTTTTTACAATAAGCTGGTTTTCATTTTATTCTGTATTATATATTACAAATGATTTATTTCATTAGAAATTAAAACAGATTTTACTTAGAAACTATTGATCAGATATGAATTTAGAATGTATGGTATATTTCATTTTAAAAAAAATATTTTTTTAGAAATGGTTTTGTTTTTAAATTTTGGAAAGTGAATAAATAAAAATTGTTTTTATTTTTTATTAATTAGGAGATAATTACAAGATAAAAATACAAATTGAATATTAACAGAAGTATACAAATTTGTAGAATAAGATGGGACACCCTATGTAAATATATTTATGCAAAAAGTGTTTTAAAATTTCAATTTTTAATTAGATACTAAAAGTTCAATTCAATTCAGCTTTGATTCTTGGGTTCCCTTGGTTATACACAAAAAAAAAAAAAACAACTAATAGTTATCAATGCAACTAATTAACCTACCTTTACTCATAATCATTTTTTTTTGTTTTCAATTTTGCTAGAAATACAATTTATTCTGATTATTATATTTTTCAGATACATATGCAACTCGAAAGCAGTAGAAGAACAATTAAATACCTATATAAAAAAAGAAATTGATTTTATTGATGGTTTAGTTTATACAAGTGAAATAACTATTGAAAATGATCCTTTGACATTCATTTTAGATAAAAAATATAAAGAAAAGGATTTTATATGCAACACTTGCCATAAATCATTCACTTCAAAATCAAATTTGAAATCACATATAATGAAACATTATATAAAAAAGACGCATGTTTGTATTAAATGTAATAAATCATTTAATCAGGCATATAATTTAAAATTCCATATGAAAACTCACACTAAAGAAAAACTTTACTCATGTAAAGTGTGTAATAAATCATTTTCTCATTTGACCATTTTGAACACACATACAATAATTCATAGCACGGAAAACTCTAACCAATATAATAAGTGTGGGAAGAAATGTTCTTGTTTATACAATTTAAATAAACATGAAGAACAATCCTACCAATGTGATGAGTGTAATAAAGCATTTTCTAAATTATTCAAATTAAATAAACATAAAAGAACTCATAATGGGGAAAAACCCTACCATTGTAATATTTGCAAAAAGACATTTTCTGATGCATCCAATTTAAAAAAGCATACAAGAACTCACAGCGGGGTAAAACCTTATCAATGTAAAGAGTGTAATAAAGAATTTTCTCAAATAACCAATTTAAACACACACAAAAGAATTATTCATCGCCAGGAAAAACCATTTCAATGTCATATATGTAAGGATACTTTTTCTGTTTTATCCAATTTAAAAACTCATACAAGAATTCATAGCGGGGAAAAACCCCATCAATGTCATGTCTGTAAGAAGGCATTTTCTCTTTTATCCAATTTAAAAAGACATACAAGAATTCATAGCGGGGAACGACCCCACCAATGTCATGTCTGTAAGAAGAAATTTTCTCAATTGTCTCATTTAAAAAAACATATAAATATTCATAGCAAGAAAGGTAAATCTCAATGATAATTTTAATGTTGTAGACATTTTTATTATTTAGACATTTTAAATATAATTACAGAACTATTTCACTAGCCATTTATGTTACCATAAACACATAATGTACATGGTTACAAAATTGATATTATGTACAACACATTTAAAATTATAGTGGCCACCTTCACTATTCTTCAATCACCAAATACCAGTCTAAATTAATGTTCTGATGTTATCTACAGTCAGAGCAATTGGAACTTTCAATTCCAGATATAAAAATACCCTTAATGAACACTGAGACAGATTCTACATTACCAGATCCATTTAATAATTCTGAAATAGCCTCAACTAAGCCTACAGATCCTTCGCTGGCCACACATACTTGAAAATAACCAAAATATACCTCCAACTTATAATCTGTTTCATTTTCAAATAATAAAAAAAAGAAATTTTCTATTTTTTTAAAATTAAAGTTTTAAAAAAAAAAATAAAATTTTAAGAGAAAAATATTTCAAGAATTGTAAAATTCACATAGCTTTTTTCTAGTAAAAAATGCAGGGCCAACGGAAAGGGGAACAAACTGGGCACCCGCCTAGAGCCTTGCACTTTACGTAGTCTCTCGTTTTTATATTAAATATTAATGTTTATTTTTATGTTAGTTTTACTGTAATGTATCAATTTTTTTTAAATTATTGTACCTATTTCTGAAATACTTATCTCGCGAAATAATTCTATACATGTGCCTACTGTTGGATGTACATTTCATGAATTTCTAAATTGTTTACAGCTAAATAGTTATAATAAATTATAATAATATAGTTTTGATAAAAAATAATCTTGAATTGATTGATAATCGTGGATTTTGTTCAATATTTGCCTTACTTGATAAACACGAATAAAACTAATTCACAAGTACACAGTTTCATTTTCTTATAAACTGTTGCAGGCATTGCTTGTCAAAATTACGGAAGTATTGCAATGATATTATAATATTATAACAATTGCTTGAATTGTGGGAAGGACTGTGCAGAGGAAAGGGCTCCTCTACTTTAATTTTCCCAGTTCGAGCACTGATTATAATAGATAAACGAGTACATATACAATAATATTATAATACACCTATATCATTTTTTTTTTTTCAAACGTTTTTTTAGTTCCTACCAAAGTAGTTGTTATCAAACTATTTTTTTTTTTTTATAAAATAAATATGGTTTATAAAGTATTTAATCCAATGATTTAAGTTTTAGTTTAGCCAATTATTTTTATTAATTTATGTACCTACTTAAATACTCTATTAAATCAACCTTCGAGCGCTCGCGTATTTTGATGTTACGTCTTTACTTTTTTGACGCTGCTTATTTATACCATACATTATACCTACATAATATTATATAACCTATTATTTCTATAGTAAAAAGGGCATTCTTACATTTATTTAGGGAATATTTAGTAATATTGTGTTAAAATAATAATTAGTTTTTATTATTATTCCATTATATTTCTATTATTATACAAATTGGTAATTTATTGATAATTTTGAGAATAATTGTAAAATATTTATACACTAATTTTTTAAAATTATTTATATAATATAAGGTATAAATATTTGTCTTTTTAAAAAAATGTGGTGTAAATGCCGCAAGCGCGATTGCTCGAAGAAGTGAGTCAACCTTTTTATTAATAAATTATTTTTTATATGTATAAAATGAGGGCATAATAAGCCACCGTGATGCCTGATTATGGGGGTGAATAAAATGTACCTGTTTTCCCTATATTGATTTGTAAAAGATATTTTCAGGAACCCCTAGAATATTTACAATCCTGAGTAAAATTGACACCCAAAAAAGTTATAGTTATGTAAATTTATTAGTTTTGTATTTTTTTAGTAATTATTTATTTCTTTGAAATTTCGTTATTTGTGATTAAACTCTGATTACAATCCAAACGTCACAAGTTATAATTTCAGTCACATATAATTTTGCTGTGCCATGCGTTAGTAAGTCTAAGACAACACATGAGGCTATGACATCCTCTTAAACAAAAAATTGTAGTTCTCCGATGTCCTACATATTTATAACTGATTAATTACAAATACAATTTAATTTTGTGTGATAATGCACATAGTTTTAGATTCTGAATGGAGCGAAGAAGCTTATGGTTTTACAAAGATGTAAATTATTTTTTTTTTTATTGGTGGAAAACTTTTCTACCAGAGATCTTGCTCCGATTTTTAAGTGTAGCACCTTTTCTGAAAAAAAATCGGTGTGGGGAGGTGGTTTTTCGATTTTCCGTTGAGATTTGTCAACAAATGTGGAATGCCAAAAAAAACTGTAAAATATACGAAATTTGTTGGTCAAATATTACAAATATTACAAATTTTGCTCCAATTTAAAATAATAGCACTTTTTCTGAAAAAAAATCTGACTGGGAAGGTTCTTTAAGAAGGTCATTTTTCGATTTTGCCAAGAGTTTTCCCAACAAATGTGAAAATGTGAAAAACCGGGAAAAGAACATGGAAAAACTGAGAAAAAATTGGGAAAAATGAGAAAATCGTTTAATATTATTAAAGAAAATATATAATACCTATTTTATTACTGTATTATACCTACAATAATATGACATATATATTGTTGATAAAGCATCTCTTAACTCCATCAACTCCAACTCATCAACTAAACTCCACTTAGAATCTTTTTTTTTTTTAATAATAATTTATCGTTGCTTACAGATATACATTAAATTCCCTTGTGTATCCTATCTTCCCAATTTCTCACCTTCAAGAATGGTGGCGTTCGTCCTCATTATCCTAGGATAGCTTTTTTAAATGTTAAATGCACACCAAGTGTATTGGTTGGTGCATTTAACGGTTATCAGATGATTGTAAGTGACATAGGTACCCGCTATAAATTATTGTCAGTTAATCTTTAATCATTTAGCATCATTTACCGATAAGTCGGTGAGTAGTTTTTGTACGTGATAATGTTAACAATGAAATAACATTTCGGTTAAAACGTTCAGGTTAAATAAAACAATGTTCGTTTTAAAGATGTGCATCATTTGGATTTAGCACTAGTCCTTTTAAACATTTCTATGACCATTTTAATCCGTCGTATATGACTTCCATACAATTAGTTTTATATTACAATAGGTGTTTTATGTCCAATTTCAAAAGCTTTTTCGTTTGTTTTACGTGAATGCATTTTAGCCATTTCGCCCGTTAAAAAGACACGAGATCACCAATGTGTCTCATAATAACATATTATTATATATAATATATGAAACTATAAATACTAAAAAAAAAAAAAACAATAAATATTAAATTCATAAAAAAAATAATATTAGCTACATATAAATATATTTTAATAAACCTCGTGGCATTGCGCCCGCAACAATAATAACATATTAGGTACCTAACAAATTAAATTGATTATTATTCCGGACGGTGTTTGCGATATTATCGCTGCGTGTCTTTCGACCCGCTGACGATCGTCGTTGAAAATAATCTGACGATATTTTGTTTATTTTCTACGTTTTAAAGAAGTACATTTTTTAACGCGAGCATTGACGACGTGAATAACAAAGCTCCTGCACCGAAACCAATGCCTGCCCCTGCGCCCGAGACACTAGCGGTGTACATTTCGAAAAATGTTTTGGACTTGTCGTCCGGCAAGTCCAAGTACACCCGGTTAGCCCCGACGGTGTTGACCAAACTGACCAATTTCGGATAGTCGATAACGTCTCTCGGGTCGCTGCACCAGACGGTCAGAGTCGATCCGGCCGGCGACGTTTCCAGCAGATATTGTAGCTCGTGTATTGAATTGGCCGCGAGCGACGCCCTCACCGCGTAAGTGACCGGTTTCATATACTTGTTCTTGAACAGTACGTCCACCATGTCGTCAATATATTTTTCCGTATATTTGTCTGTGAATGAATATTTATACAAAAGGTTAGACCAGGTGCGATTATGCCACACACTGCAGCGGTCTGAAACCTGCAACTTTCAGCCGACCAAACGTACCGTTTGTAAAATGTAAAAAAATGGTAAATATTATTTTTCTTTGGAATATTTCGACTTCAACTAGATAAAACCTTTTTGTAGAAGTTTTAATCTAGTTGGTACATTGAAAATGTATTTTATTTTTGATTTCCCTTAGACTTTATTTCTTAATAAATGGGAAAAACTGGCAATTTTCGGGTTAAGAATACTTTGCTCAGAATCGTTTTTCGTAAGAAAATCTATCATAATTTTATGTAAAACAATATAATGAGTGTGAGTTTGAGTGAAAAAAATTAATTAAAATGTTTAGAGTACTGGTGGAGAATAATCCGATAAAGACGTATATACATTTTTCTAATCAAATCGCTCTATCCCACTTGAGTATTAAATAATCGATTTCAAATTTTAAATTTATTCTCAAAATATTCCAATCTAAAATAATATTATCAAAAACAATTGTCTTTAGATTTCACAACAAATAAAAATTGGTTTCAGACCACCGTGTGCCGTAGCGATGTCGTCAGTGCTCGAATCGGGGAGGGGTCAAGGAGACGAAGTGCACTATTATATTATTTTAAATTTTTTTTAGCGTACACTCATTATTTATATTGGGACGAAGGGACGGGACGGTATGTCTTTTTCCAAAAAAAAAGAAAATTAAACAAAGAAAAAAAAAACAAACTAATTCGGGTGTATATTAAATATTGTAAATATTTTGTTTAGAACTAAATAATATAATATAATTAATGGCGTAATAATATACATAAAAAAAAATGTGAAGAAAAACGTAGCTTGTAAGAGTATTGGGTTTTTTTTTTTTTTTTTAAGTAAAATATTAATTATTGAATTATGTTTGAAAAGTGATGTAAGGAGGGTATTAGGGGTGAGTTCAACAATTTTAAGGGACGCCAATTTTGTTTGGAAGTCTCACAGTACATTTTCTTATAATTGTCCAATATTTGAGCACTAGACATCTATCATAATATAGATTATAGGTATATGTACTAACCGTCAATGTTGTCGTTGCGTTTTGTAGTCCAGCCCAATGATAAAATCGAGTCGGGAAAATTCTTCGACGAAGTTCCGAGAAAAATGTCCGCGTTTACTCCTGGACTGTCTCCCGGACCGGGGCCTGGTAAGATGTCAGCGTTTAGCCAAGGGACACGATTTGGTGGTTTTAAATTCTGTACGGAGATAAAATGCATTAACGCATCAAAAACTGTAGAAAATCGTTTTATCTCGGAATGTGTATTATGATTTAACGTAAAATGGCTTATGATAAAAATTAAGGAAGAAGAATTTAACTAAAATAAAGAACCACTCTGAAAACATATCACTTTAAAAGTTATGAGTGCTTAGGTAATTTGTTTATTAAGTTTTATATGAATACTGGGTTTATTAAAAAAAAACTACGATTGCATGATAAAATATATAATATTCTTGTAATAATTTTCAGTTATATGAAACTTGTACTGTTATAAGTTGAATATCCATGGTCAAATTTTAACATAACACGTCAATTATGTGGTTTGGGAGGAATAAATACATTGATAACTAGAGGTATTTATAGGTGAATTCCGGTTTCATATTTACATACCTGGTACATATACAAGTGATCTCATTAAATTAGTAAAAATGTTTACAAAAAACCGTTTTGCACGGGCAATGAACGTATTAAGAAACCAAATTTTCACCATAAAACAAAAAGGACTTTGCATCGTAAACGTTAGTTTTATGCAAAATGGTTTCATTTAGTGTACAAAACTGAAAAAAACACCATTTTCCCGTGAAAACTTGGTTCAGTTCGTATTGAAATTTAACCAAGATTTTATCACTTTAACCTACCTATAAAAAATACCCGAGTTTGAGCTCTTTTGGTCCAGAGGGAGTCGCTAAAAATATTAAAATGCACCTCGAAAAATGTATGTATGATAGATACAATAGAGTGTAATATAAACTATAGTCTCTATTTTGGAGGAAAATTTGATAAAAAAAACCATTTCAGTATTTTTTTATACTTATTACAATATATTAAGGTAAAGACTGATCTTTTAGAAAAAAGTAAAAATAATACTTACTTTAAACGATTTCTCCATGACCGGTATGGCCGTCATAAACGCGTCGGTTGACTTAAAATCAAGTTTTAACGTTTTACTCGTATGATTCCACGCGTCCAAAAATTCTTGAAGACTCAAGTCCGAAGTTATCGCAGGCGGGTGTCCCATTATTGGTATCCGATCGACTTTCTCGCCTTCCACTACTGATTCGTTGATCAAGTGGCCCGTTATTACGTCGGCTTCAATCATTTTAGATTCACCTGAGGAACAATAATATACGCATGTATACAAACAGTTACGGCATAGATGCAATTAGACCACCAACTTTGAGGATGCTAAAATTATGTAAACCAGTCTAATAGGACCAGTGATATTGTATGGATCCAAAACCTGGGCACTAAGGAAATCAGATGAAAATAAATTCTTAGAAATACTAGAAAGAAAAATATTACGGAAAATCTTTGGATCAATAAAAGACCAAATCGTAGGAGTGGAAGAGAAGGAAAACAAAGAGCTATAAAAAATGTTTAATGAAACATAGGACAGGACAGGGCAGAACATGCAATGAGGAGTGAAACTCTATATTAAGAATGGTATTGGAACAGAACCTGGAAGGAAAAAAGCCTTAGGGAAGACCAAAATTGAGATAGGAAGATATAGTTAAGAGGGATGTAGAAGAATTAGGAGGTGGAGTAAATTGGAAGGATTTGACAATGAATAGTCGGCTGGAGAATCGGTTATGAGACGTGGTCCTAGAGGTCGGGTAACCTAAAAAGAAGAAGAAAATTACGGACACATAAAAGACCAATGGGAGGTATGCTGGGTATGATCCAATAACTCCCTTTACACGACTCTTACAATAGTCAACTACACCTTTTATTTATAATTTTGTAAATGCAAATTTATCATAAATATTTTAACATTATTTTTCGTACACTCATGCAGTATAAAATTCTGTTGGGAAAATGTTACGTATATTTTATCCTGCTCATTAATTATGAAATACACGAATAAAATATTTAATTATTACTATGAAAAACCTGATTGGGTTTTTTTGGGGGTGCTAATTTTGAACTTGGGGGGTGCTAAAGACTCTCTAGCACCTTCCTAGTTGAGCCTATGGTGAGTTACCTACTATTATAATTATAATGAAACCTTAGGTATTGATGAAAAACTTTAGTTATGAATAATAATACAGTTTCGAACATTATGATTATAAATAATTATTATTATTTGAAGTACATATGTACGCATTTTAGTCAATAACAAAATAGGCGTAAATGCAAAAATGGTACACGTTATTATATTTATGAATAATAATTTATAAAAAATCAAAATACTAAATGGTATGCTTTTCAATGTATAACTATTACCAACATGAAAAAAGAAAAAAAAATTAAAAAAATACCTACATATAATATTGTAAGTAAATATGAATAGAATGATGTCATTATAATTTACCGTATTATCTACTTACATTGTTGCAGTATATACAGTCTAGTTTTTGGAGTATACATTTTATTGTGGTTTTTTTTGAGCAGTTACAAGCCCGAGTAATGACATTCAGAAATCCCGCGGATAATAAATCAAAGAGGCTCTTAAAAATAATAATGACAAAAAAAAAATATCAAAAAATATTGAAATTCTAAGTCAATGAAATGAATACACTGATAAAGAGACAAACTTTGGCAAAAACCAAGTTCCTTGAAGTCTTGTAGCTCGGTACCCATGACCTCGCCACACTCTCCTCCTATAATCTGAGCTTTATTAAGTTGGTATACTGTAAGTAATAGTAATAATATGTATTTAAATATTACTATGCTTAATATAATATCAAAGAGAGTATGGCTTTTGTGAAAAATATTGAAAAATTCTTCATACGTTCATTGTTTGTAATATATATCATCCACTATACAAGTCCGTGGTCAGATTTTCTATTTCCCAAAAGGGGTTTGACAAAAATTTAAAAAAGTACAAAACACATATTTAAAAAAAAACACGCCTACATATCATTATCTACGTAAAAGTGCCCCATGCTTAAATGCTTAAATGCTTAAATGCATGTTATTGTCATTTGTATTCACACTTCCGGACTTTTTACTGGCCATTGCTATTTTCTGTTTCATTTTATTTTAAACGAAGCCAGGATTTAATTTTTTTTTTTAATATTCTGAACTCTGAGTGAAACGAGAAAAGTATCGGTTTCACTATATGATGTTTGAGATTGTATTTGGTGTGTGTATATTTAGAAATATTGTTCCAACCAAAAAGTTACAAATTAACTTTTTTGTTGCATTTCGCATGTAGTTGGAGAAATTCCAAGTAGTTTTCATAATAATTCGGAAAACCTGGGAAAAACCGTTTAGAAAAAACGGACAAATATTCAAGGCGTAAACGATTTCATTATTTACATTTTTTCGATTTTGTGTTCTATCAGAAATATTGGTCCAAATTTCAAAAGTAGAATTTTTTCTTAAATAAAGTTTTGTCTATTTATAGATAGTGTACAAGAAAAACATTTTTCTTTCTTTATTAATTGAGAAAAAACAGGAAAGTTTAAGGTATTAACCGTTGCATTATTTTCGAATGTATTTTTTTGTTGTAATTTGATTAAAAATAATCGTAGAGAATTTTCACAGAATATACTTCTGTGGCTCGGTGCAAGAAGGGCTAATGTCAAATTTTGTGATTGTTGAGAAAAGGGCTTTAAAATTTTAATTCCCCATAAGGCTCTGTGTATTTTATTAAACGTAAATTACATTGTTACACTCTATGTCAGTTTTTTCAAACAACATTTTTTTGTACATTTAAATGTAAATGTTTGTGTAATTTTCAATTTTTACAAAAACTTTACACTTTTTCATTTTTTATTTCTAACTGATGTTTTCAAAATATTGACATTGTCTCTTCTTGCACCAAGCCACAAACTTATATTAATCATTTATAGACGTGGTATAGTTTTTGATCGTCTAAGATTTAATAATGTAGAAGTCTAGAACTATAGACTATATAGTACATTGGACGCCGCTCAAAAGACTCACGGATATAAGGTTCAGTCGCTTATTAGACTCAAAATCATTTGGAACGGCCCAAACACATTCTACCATTTCTCTATTTCGCCTAAAAGGTTTATTCGATTATAAAATTCACTTTGTGCTGGTCCTAAAGTGAGTTTTATATCACATTTTTCTGATCCAAAATCTCTGTTTCTGTATACGACTAATAATACTAATAAAAATAGAATCGTTTTTTCGTTAGCAATGGTTTATCGTTACGAATATGATCAACCTACATCGAATTACTTTAACAATTATCCCTTCAAACTTCCATGCTAAAACAGTGACAAATCCATGTCAACAGTATCAGCCTTTAAAAAAAAATACAACGAATTGATGTGACAGACGAAAAGTTTAACGCTACGAACATCATTCTGTATACACGCGTATTTAAATAGATATATTGTATACAATCAATGGGAGCACACATCACCCGTTATTATTTGCACACGCAAACGCGGCGAATTTTGAAAAACAAATAAACGCCGTACCACATGTACACGTTGTAGCTGGTAACTAAATCAGTGCGTTTGAAAATTGTTTAGCGCGTCGCAGTTGGCCGCGCGTATCCCGTGTTTAGTTCGCGTTTGGGTTTATTATTTTTTATTATTACCGCTATCGGAAAACCGTGAAAAAAAAAATGACGATTTCGTTCCGTTTCGTGGTAATCGCTCTGCTCGTGGCGGTAGCCGCGTTGACCGTTGACCGGGCCCGCGGCTCCGTGGACGAATTCCAGTGCGTGTGTGCCTTTAACGCCTGGAATTACGTGCAAAGAGTGTGCATGATGATCAAGTTCATGGACAACCGGGTGGTGGACCTGAGCGCTAAGTACGGGGTTCTGGTGACGCGGATGCTGTTCGTCGCGAACAACCAGCCGGACCCGACCACCCGGTGGCTATGGCTGTTAAACCTGTACACGAACACGGCACGGCAACAATTTCGGCCGAAAAACAACCAGACATGGGAGCTAATGTCCGACGGCATCGAATTGATCAAGTACGATTTGAGTCGATACCTAAAGGTTTGTAAAAAAAGGCGACAGCTGACCGGCAACGAATATACGCAGGAGTCATTCGAAAAATACGTATTGGAAAACATGACGGAGATCGTACAGAAAACGGATTCGAAGGACGACTATCAGATCCATGAAACGGACTTGGAACCGCGTTGGCTGTATCTGAACGATGTCGCAGCTAACGGTACCGAAAATCTGAGCAAAATGCTTGTGCGAGATATCGGCGTCGATTGGAAAACGTCCGCTGGCCAGCTGTCACATATTTACAACTTGTCGAAAAAAAATTGGGTTTCCGGCACCCGGGAACTGGTGTTGTATCAGAAAAAGTTCTTGTCTACAGTGGCCGCGTCACTGATGGGCTACGTACTAATTCACGTGACGTATTGCAAAGAGCACTGGATGTCGAAATTTAAGGACGGCGTGAACGGCGACAACGGTCTGGTGGGTGAGTACGAACGGATGTGGATGTCCATCGGTAGCCTGCTGGACAAGTTCAAATCATACATGGCGTTGGACTCCCAGAAATATTTCAAAACGCTAACCGAAATCGTAAGCAACCCGTTGTGGGACGAGCAAGAATTCCAGCGGGTGAAGAACACGATCAGAACGAACATCGCCGACATTGGCGGCAGTCTGTTCAGTCTCGAAGACATCAAAGTGAAGGCGAATGGCGACAAGGACAAACCACTCATCGAACTGATCGCGTTGGTCGACAATAACATCAGCTCAGCGGAAAAATACATACAAATCATCAAAGGTTTGCTGAAGGACGTTAATTTTAAAATTATAAATAATTTCATGAAAAGTACGCACATTTGGTTAGTATGAATACACTGGAATTAGTTTTACATAAGGTGCGTATTATGATAGCTGACTGACTATAATATCGGAATATATCATATTTAAATTACATATTAGAAAATATTGTATTCTCTACCAATAAAAGATAGCAGTAAAAAAAAAAAAAACAAGAGTGGAATATTGTAACGTGATAATGTTTTAAATACCTACATTATATTGGAATATTTAAAAATATATATTATTTGAACACACTATTCTACAATATTTTTATCAATCTTTTAAAATGTCATCAATGTTTTATTTTTTCAATTTTCTGGGTCGTTAAAATATAGTGGTATGTTATTTGGTATTGCAGATTTTGTACAAAAAAAAAAAACGATTCAGAAAATATAATATCTTTGGAAATTTCGAGTGAAATTGATTTTGGTCCCGGAGAGAAAGGTCTTAACTCAATTTTGTATATAGTTTTTAAAATATATTTCCGAGAATTATTAAACTGGAGTAATTAAATTAAACTGGAACCTAACCTAACTGAACCTAATTAGCTGAATGGCTTAATTTCTGGCCAGGTTTGGCGTTAGAGTAAGGCAAGTTGGGCTTACGTCCAGGATCTAGCGCTTTCAGAGGCCCCGCACTTGTGGACCCATAAAAAAGGGTAGCATAAATTTATAATGGGTGTAAAACTAAAAAAATAATTTATTTTAGAAATGTAATATTTTGGGAGAACAAGTACACGCGCGTTGCTTTATCAAACAGTATTTCAAGGCCAAGTGTTGGGTATTATTATAATTATTATGCGGGAGGAATGGTACGCTGAAAAAAAAAAATTCTTACAAGAATAAATTTATCCGGGGCCACGCAAACCGTAACGCCGGCCCTGTTGTTGACTATGATGAGAACAATATAATCGCCAAAGGTCTAAAAATTATATATCATTTGCACCAAAAATAGTAGGACATAAGCGTAAATATAACCTACCCAATATATGACAAAAGCGCTAATGATATAAACAATACATATTATTTGTACTAATATTAATATTTAATATATTCCCAAATAATTAAAAAGTCAACAATCAACAATAATATAATCTTGATGATAAAATAATAATATCTACATACAAATAAATAAATAAAAAAATTATAATAATTTTTTTGTAAAATTCAATAACACATTATCTAAGTTTTTGTAAAATTAATTTTCAGTTTTGCTTATGCGAATACTAAATAAGTATACAACACAAAACTGTATCTATCTAGCTCTATGGGATTCTGATCTGACAAATAATACATTTTGTCAATTAAGATTAAATGTTTGGAATTTTTGAACTAAAAATATTTAAAATTGACATTAAACGATTAAACGCTTGACGGTTTTGAACGATATAGTTTTAAATTTAATGCCACACAGACACATGGGTGGATAGACATATCAGGAAATCGGGATTTTCCCGGTAGGCCCCAATCAATATTACACTCAGAGGCACCAATGACTCAATTTCGAAAAATTAAAAAAAAAAAATTGTAATTTGTATAATACTAGTGTACCAACTGGCGGCTGTACAGTATTAATGCGTATTTGTAATATTTGTATACTCCTTTAGGAGCCTCTGTATAGTACACGCTAATACCCGTATACAGGCGCGTATCCAAAAATTTATTACGAAGAGGGCTGATCAAAATGTATAAACATTGTCATACAGTAAAAAAAAAACCGCTGCTGTCCTAGGATAATGGAGACAGGTGCGTTATTAACACGTCGCCCGCCGTACCGCCACACAAATGATGCTCCACTGTTCTCCTCCAACCCAAACTTAAAAGTGGAATATCTCGTCAACGGATTGACGGAAATCAAACATTTCAACACTGAAATTTATTTTGACTAATACTCCATTTATAAATGGAATTTTTAACATAGATCGCCGTTTGAAAATCAAAAGTTGTTAGTGGTTTTACCCCCAAAAATAAGGGTGACAAAAAATAGCATGCATATAAAATTATAGAGTTGTTTGTTTCTTAAATGGTTTAAAAAAAAAAGTCCGACAAATGTTAATACTTTCCGAGATAATGTGTATACCCACTTAAATGGATCGCCTTGTATATGTCATATTATGGTAAAATAATTACATATTTCTTTAATATTGTACCTATTTTACCGTTTTTCCTATTTATTCGGAAAACTCCTGGAAAAATCACAAAATGATTTTCCTGAAGTACTTCCCCAGGCAGATTTCCTTTAAAAAAAATTGCTATCATTATAAATTGAAGCAAAATTGCTGGTAGAAAAGTTGTTCACAAGAATAAAAAAATAAACGCCTTTGTAAAACCATAAGCTTCTTCTAAAATTGTTATTTTAATTAATCTATTTTTTTAACAATTGATTGTGTTACCGAACTTCGCTCCAAATCGTTTTTCATTAGAACTGGTTTATCGTTGCTTACAGGCATAAATTACATAACCTTATGTATACTACCTTTCCTACTTTTCATCTACAACAGTGGCGCACCCGTTCCCAGTGTCAACTTTTTATTTTTATTATGTGACAACCTATCTATGTACATTACAAATTATTTTATACCAAAAATAATATTCACCGTATACGTATGCTATGACATTTATTTTTGCCTTTATCGCCGAAATAAACGTTGAAAAGTCCCATTTTTCTATTGCCTAGAATTTTGGCGCTTTTGTACAATAAACGATATAATTTATTTTTTCTTATCTCGTTTTGGTACCTAATCTAAATAATTTAATTCATATAATGATCGTATGACTTGTCCCTGTTTTTTGTTAAATAAAAAGTACATTAATACATATTTGTATAGTATTATATAGATTGTGTCTTAAGCTTTTATAAGCTTTATATGGCTTTTTTAGCCATTAAGACTAAAAAAAAAAAAAAAGAATATTTCAAAAGAAATATCTATAAAAAATTAACTTAAGCCCTTACTCCTTGAAAAGATATATGCATTCGTTTAATAGTTTTCACAATCATTTCTAAATTTTACTCTTATTTTCTACGTACTATAAATACACGTTAACTTTTGATTTTTAAATAGCATTATCCCTCACCCTTTCCCCCTTTTAAATCTCATTATAATTTATTTTATATCTGTTACTATATTTAAATCGAATTGTACTCGAAATATGCGTAGGCATATAAATAGATTCAACCAGTGGACCGCAATCAAAAAATTACACTGTATATTATTTTGTACTTTATCTATTAAAAATAATTGTATTTTATTGGACACGTTTGAAATCGATTGTTTATATTGTTTTGTGACATTTTGATTTGGAAAATATTATTGTTTTTTTTTCTTTTCTTATATATTATTATACATTTATACTTAATGACTGACGCAGCACTTCTATAAACTGGCGATGAATATATTAATTTATTTCTCGCGTGTCACAGAGTACCTATCTAGCATGCATTTTTCGACACGAGTATTTGAATACCTATACTGCAGTTAAATATCACTTTTGTTTACCAAAAACATCACACACTAAATATGAAATTATTTAAATACATCTAAGCTGACAAGTGTGGCGACAGGATTGATTGTTTACATTCGAATAATAATATTATTGTCATTTTAGACGGTTTGTAAATTATTACGGTCTTAATGTAGAAATATTTTTTTTATTATTTTTACGCCTTTTTTTTATTTAAAATTTAAAAATATTCGTTAACATAAAATTATATTATACTCGTAATACCCGATGTTTTATTTTTTCACGTGGGTAGGTATTGTTTTTTTTTAGTTAGCAATTGTTCCGATTTTTTTTTTTTTTGCTCTTTTAATTAAATTGTCGTTTTCTATTACTGAAGAAACGTGTACATATATGTATATGCAGAAACCATGCAATTCAACGAATTAAAATCAAATCATATTAAAATAGCGATTTCGATATCCAACTCAGATTTTCTAAAAAAAAAAATCAACCAATCGATATTATTTCAATTCAGAAGCGATATATTTTATTGTTTTAATATTTGATCAATTACGTATATGCATATGTAAACATACAGAGTGATGCTACGTTGGATACTATCATTATTAACGGTTTTTGTGTCTAATTCGTTTTTCAGAAAATAAAAAAAAACAATAAACAACTCTTTTTAGTGTTGATTGTCACATTGTCATTGTGCGAGGTCACATTATTGTGACCTTGCCGTTGGCTTTTGTTCCCCTTATATTTGAGTATGAAACCATCATCATCCACTTTTGATTTTCAAATAATAGCAATTGAAAATTCAATAAATGGTTGCATTTTTAAATTAAATAGATGTCGGTGTTTAGGTTGCTATTTAAAAATCATAATCTCAAAAAAAAAAAAAAAAACGGTAATTAATACATTATTTCTTAATTTTTTTAAAAAAACAAAAATGTTAATACATGCTTTTATGTAAAGTGTATTACTACGTTATGTTGATAACCCTATATATTGGAAATGATATCTAAATATGTATTGTGTATACCATGATGTCCCTAGGACACGGTAACATGTCGTTAAATTGTATAATACAAATATTGGTTAGAGAAATTAAAAATATAAAAAAGGGCGTTGCCAAGAGTCTCAATAGAATTAAAGGTTGAAATTATACACAAACAATGGTAACCAAGTAAAATGTAATATGCAGCCGAATAACAACTGCTGCGGCAAGCCGAGTTACTCATTTTCGAAACACAAAACACAATATTTGCTTACGTCGAAAAGTGTAAGCAGCTAAAACTTGCGCATAATAGTTTACTTGGTCGTCATTTTATACCGAGTATGTACCTATAATAATATTTGTTATCCGCCAGTAAGTTGTATTGTCGAATTTTCCCGAAAATAGAGATTATTGCACTGTATTGCGTCTGTTACTTTTTAACGGCTCCCCCGGCAACCAAAATAAGCTTTAAATGGGAGTTCACATAACACAGTGTAGTGTCATGTCGTGTTTTTAATGATCATGTGCCTTTGTTTTATATGCTTATATCAAAACGCAATATCAATGATACCTAAGTCCTTATCGATTATATAAATATTGTACCTGATGATAACATTTTACCTTTCTTTTTAATTATAATATTTCTGCAGATAAATTTAAACAATTCAAAAGTTGAATATATTCAACTATGCGGTATAGTTTGATTACTGTGATATCGTGTGATGAAATTACGGTATACCATATGGTTATAATTGAATGGAACCACGTGGTTCAGCCAATCAGAGGAAATTTGATTACACGAGACGGCACGATGTAATGTAAACCCCCCTTAAATCGAAAATTAATGTTGTTTTATAGGTAAATTGAAATTTTAAATATTTTGGTTGAATTTCAATATGATTTTTACTAGGTTGTTGCAGTAGGAGGGTATTTTTTTTTAGCCTTGATTCCCCTCAGATCCCTAAAATAATGCTAGATCTGAAATAAAATTGTGTGTGTTTGTATAATTATATTGTTGTCTGTTATAAAAATAATATTTTACTTAGGTTGTATAACTGTGTATAAGATCTGTCTATATACAGATCCAATGTGTGATTCAATGTTACGATTCTATAAGAAAATAATATTATTTTAGATGTATTTCTTCAGCGCATTTTATCGAAATGCCTTTTCGGTTATTGTTTTGGAAATTTTAAAAATGTTTTTAATTAGTTTTCAGTGCATTAAATTACAGTCCTACTTGAGAGAATATAAACGGGGGATATGGAGATTTAATCACCCATATTACCCCCCTCCCCCCATTACTTTCTTTTACTATTATTATTTCCAGTATCGAATGAATTAAATATGTATGGTTCAATAATGTTAAATTTAATGAAAATTTTGTTTTCAATGTAGGTAACAATCTTAACGGTTTTATACAATATTTTTATTGTTTATATAATTGAATTTTTGATTTCGATAGAAAAAAATCAAATAACCATTACCAATATAACGATAACATTGTGACGTTTTTGCATCTAATACCTAATAACTGTATGGAATTCAAAGTACTCGCCTAAAACATTTACTCACTTGTCAAGGCTGCCTGCAGTTTGGCCTTTGAATTTACCGCATGATCCCACGTGGCCGTTATCAAACTCATTCCTTCTGGAAAACAGATAAACATGTACGCCGGCGGTTAGGAGAGCTCGTATCAATTGTGATCACGGGTTAAATTACATTAACCTTAACCTAACCTATAATGCAGTTTTCGGATGGGCAAAGTGAACAAATGGCCACTGGCTCCACAGCCGTAAGTTAGAAAAAAAAAATGCAGCCTCTGCAAGACCGAAACGAATTTATAGAATATTTTACTTTTTTTCACTACTTATTATCATATTATTACATAGATGTATCAACGTATCTACAATCATACCTGGTAAAAGGACCCGTAATGGTTAACCGTTCACATTCAGACCCTCTTGAAAACGGAATTACGGCGTTGGGGTGGGTATATACCGCGGTACGGACAATATATATATATAACCGCATCAGTGTGTACCGATGGCATCGTAACTTTAAAATTCAAATTCGGCCCTCGTCGAACGGTCGTATAAAAGATGGATAATAGTTTATAGGTTAGATTGGGTTAGGCGCTGGTGCAGTGTATGAGGACTTTTACAAGCGCGGTCATCGCGGACGATGAATTATGCTTATAAATACAACAGTAAGTTTGTTGCTGGTATACTCACCGACGGGGCCCTTGTGCGGGATGAACATCTGCAACACGACCCCCAACACCAAATCGACGTAGAGCGAAAAGTCCATTTGATTTCGCGTCACGGGAAACACCGCGGTCCGGTCGTTGACATTCCCGTCGTCGTCGAATCGCTCCCGTGTGCACGTCGCCCGCGATGCACTACACTGGTTCGAGCCGATCGTTTTGGGAACCGAACAACACACCGTTTGTTGTGACGGTGCAGTGCGCACGCGCCCCGTTTCGTACGTATGGTGGTGGCATGTATTGCCGGCACTCAGTGTTGTCGGTGTTACATATACACCGTATTATTATACACTCGCCATTCCCGCGGTTCGGTCGTCACAACACTTTGACCGCTACAATCGATACGCTCAAAAGTATACTTCGGTCACTTAATGATTGTCGAGCTAGGATATTATGCGGAGTTGTTTGTACTTCGTTTACAATAATGCTCATTAATCCGCATTTACAACGGTAAGATTAGAACCAAAACCGTATACCCTTATATAATATACCTACGTAGGTAGTACTTATTACAGCCCGTGACGTAAATCTTCAATATATATAAGTGCCTATAGACATTTTAATTTACATAATTTTTGTTCGGTAGGTAATCTATGGATAAAATTGTCAGACCAAACAGAAATACTTAAAACTTTAACAGGAGATTCATTATAAGTTGTACTTAGTGGTCAATTAGAAAAAGTGAGCTTAATGTACTTAATATTTTTTTTTTACAAATTTTGATGAAAATCATATATATACATATATTACAGTTTTTTAAATCAATGTATAAGGTATAACCGAACTCCACCCAGAATCGTTTTTCGTTAGCAATGGTTTTATACAAAAATACAATTCTCCTCTACATCCTACCTTTCCAACTTCTCACCTACAACCGCAGTTCTCCCATCGTACGAAATTTGTTCGATTTTTACAATCAAATTAGTCGTATTTTTCTGATAGAATCATTAAATTGATAATTTAATAAAAAAAAAAAATTGATTTAAATAAAATATCTAATAAATATACATAAAAGTTCATGTGTCACATCAAATTTATGATTTTGGATATAATAAGCCAAAAATAGCGGTGTTAATAATTATTTTTAGACCAAATCAAGTGACCCCTTTGATTTTGTAAAAAAATGTCGCGAGAAATTTTCTAGTATGGTTTAATTTAATTTTGTATTTTTTAAAGAAAACTGGTAAAACAAAAGTTTTGACATTAAAAAAAAAATTCCAAAAACCTATTCTTATAGCCTGCACATAATATAGAGTAACACCCACTCTGTAGAGTTGTCGATTCTTTTTTGGGACACCCTGTTTGTATATTACGAAAAAAGTTATTCGAGTTTGATGAACGTTTTAAAACAACGATAAATTTTAACTTATAGATTACAAGCGTAGCAAGGGAGCTATTGGTTTTACAATACTGTTTATTTTACCTCTAGAAATAGGTCATTTTTTAAATAAAAGCACTTGAGTAGGAAAAAACGTAGGAAAGCCTACAATTTCACGATTCCATTGTTTTATTAAAATACGGACGACGTTTTCTACCAGAAAAAACTTTTTAATCAAAAAATCAAGACACATTTTTTGTGGCCTTTTTGATTTACTTTCTTACTGTATCGTTTTCAAAACTTTTGAGCCACATTTGAGCTTTTAATGAATTTTAATTTTTGGGAGCTTTTTGCTGTAATTCGGTTATAAATACAAGTAGATACTTGAAACTTAGTAATAATACTTATAATAAACTTACCTAGACGTGGTCAAATTTTCAAAGTCATCAAGTGACTTTTTTTCCTTTTTATAAATTTTGTATTACAGAACTGCGCTTGAAATTCTCTTTCGTCAGCAATGGTTTATCGTTGCTTACAGTTGTAAATTAAAAAAACCATATGTATCCCATCTTCCCCACTACCCACCTAAAACAATGGCCGCACCCATCCCATTATTAGCTATTTCTTTTTATTTGTGATAGTGAAAAATATAATGGCATTATAAACAGTGTAAGTTTTCCGTTTATTATTATTATTTTTTTTTAAGATACAAATTGTCTTGCTTTCGAAACAATAGACACAAATATACATAAATCAATCATAATTGTTTCAAATACGGCAGCCTAATATAATATATTATTGTGCATTGTGTATTAAGTCGCGTTCTGATTAGAAATCATTGATCAAATGAACAGACTATCACGCGTTTTCACTTTTCCTGCGAACGTGATTTATTCGATATATTAAACAATTAAAAAATACCATTTTTTTAGTTACTTTTTACATACAAATTAACGCGTATAGATACAAAAAAACGTAAAATTAAAAAAAAATAATAATAGTAATACGGCCAAATCGAAACAAAATAATACATTTGCGGAATAATATTTGAAATAGTTCTAAAAAAGTACCTATATAGAAGAATAAAAATGAAAACGAAAACCCTGAAAAAAACCCTAACATTATCACTGAAAAAAAACCTTTGATATTATTGATATATATTATATTTTGAGAGATGTTCCCTAAAATTAAACCTATATGGGCACCAGTGTAAACTGTGGCTCCAAGGAAGTTATAGTTAAAACTTTTTAGGTTTACACTTAGCCCATTATAAATTTAGTGTTCTACTTAAGTTTTATCCTAAAATATAATCCATGAAAATTCCGGTTAAGATCAAAATGTGGGAGAAATGAAAACACTATCACTATTATCGCTATTTTATTTTGATCTGAAGTTGTCCATATACTGCCCGGAACACAAATTGCCTAACAATCGTAAAAGCAAAATTAAGTAATGGTAATCGTAACTAGGTATATTTATTTAGTAAAACCGCATATGGTTTATGACGTCGTGATGTTTATTAGTGTTCATTGCAGTTATTTATTCGTGGTATTACATTACCTAACCTATAACCAGAACGAGTATCCTAAGTAGCTACCTAAATACTCGTCGTATTATATATTCACAAATGCAATAATATACCTTTCACCAAATTTTTACTTCAAGAGGTTTTCGGAGATATTTACACAGCGTTGTCAAGAGATCGCCGCAATGGCATTTGCCGTCTCTGGCTTTCTAACCGGCAAAATATTAAAATCATGTTAAGTAAAACAATCAAAAAGGCGTTTAAAATCGGTTTCAGAAATAAACTTACTATAAAATGTGTATATAATAGCATTTTGAAGAAAATATCGTTGGCGTTTTATACAATTTTCTTAATTTTCTTTAAATATTTATTTCATAATAGAAGGTACAACAAATCGTATTTTACATTTTTTTTTTTTTTAACTGTTATTATTATCAATTAATATTTTTAAAAAACTCTGAAGAGTTTGTCTTCAAAATACTGTCATCTAAAAATTGTATAATAGGTATATTATCTATTTTCGTTTGTTTAACAAATTAACGTATTGTTGATATATTACAGTCCATTGAAAACCACAAAGGCTGCATGCCACTGCAATGGTCTCTTAAACAATCAAACAGTAACGTAGTTCCCATTTAATCAAGTGTTTAATACCTACATCGTAACTTAATCATATATTCTTAAGAAAATACACAAAGTGATCGCAAAATGTTAATCTATTAGAGGAAAAAGTACAACAAAAATTATTGGCTTAAGAGTAACTTTTACAAGAAGACTTTTTTATGCCGATCAAAAAACACTTATTAGGTAAATTTTCTAAAGAAATTAGAATAATAAATAACTACAGAAAACATCACTTAACTGACGGGAAATCCGTTAATAAATCTGGTTAAAAGGGTCTAGAGAACTAATTATTATTATGCAAATAAAGCATATTTGATTACTTTTGTATGCTATAATAAATTAAAAAGTTGTATTTATAATTTATAATACTTCAGTGTTCTAGTTTACACAATTTTGTAAGAACTGTGCCCACTGCTCGTTTTAATTCAATGACCCAAAACGAAATTGCATAAAATATTTTTGTTGGTCTGACATCAATGATAGACAAATATACTTTTTCGGAATCGTTTCTTACTGATAATAATTATTGATGAAAATTACTTCTCACCGAGGGAAGACCACATGGTTGTAATATTGGGGAGGTAATGAAATCTTTAAAAAGACCGGACACATTCGGAACATTTTGTCCGGTCCGCTATTTGGAGGTGTCCGGTATTCAGAGGGTTTTTTTTCTTTAACAACTTAAGGAACAAATAATTCTAAAATGATACAGTATCATTTTTTTTCTATCATTCTTTTTCTGGGGGTGAAACGACTTTCTAAATTTTATTTTCAAACGGCAATTTATGTATTGAAAATGCGTTAAATAGATGGAGTATTCGGTATTTATAATTGGAATTCATAAAAATAGTAGCAGAATGGCAATTCGGTGCACGGCGCTTGAATAAAGTGCTCCACTACTCTCTCCCTACTTAAACTTAAAAGTGAAATATCTTGTCAATTGGCGGACAGAAATCAAGAATGTCAAGACCAAAATTTATTTTAACTAATAATCCATCTATTTAAGGCATTTTCAATAAAGGTTGCTATTTGGAAATCAAAAGTAGGTAGTCATTTTATGGGCCATAAATAAAGGTGACAAAAAGAAAAATTCGAGATAAAGAGTGTTTCCAGTTGAGTGAATCACTCTGTACAGCTAAATTCTAATAAAAAAATTGTTTGTTATTTTTCCCCATGTATATTGTTCACAAATCATCACTATCAACTGAACTCCACTCAGAAACATCTTTAGTAAGTAATGGTTCATCGTTGCTTACAGGTATACATTAAATAATCTAAAACAGTGGCTGCACCCGTCCCCATTATTTTAGGACATCTTTTATACCAATAATGTTGTTCCAATTTTCATGGAAATCTGACTGGGGTGAAATTTTAAGGAGTTAATTTATTGATTTTCCCAGGATTTTTCATGATAAATGGAAAAATTAGGAAAAAAAGTTGGAAAAATTTACGAAATGTATAATTTTCAAATCGTAAATATTTCAGCCTTTCAAAACATGTATATCCAAACTCCGGTCAGAATCGTTTTTTGTTAACAAAGATTAATCGTTGCGATTAGACATACATTAAATATTACCCTCTATATCCTACCTACCCAACTTATCACTTATTACAACAGTGTCCTACCCATTGTACGAAGTATGTCCGTTGGTTTTTTTAGTTTAGTTCACAATTACGAATTAACAACCATAAAAAAGAAAATTTCATAAACATTTTTAAAATATAATTTTTGTGTTTGCTAAATTATTAGGAGCTTACATAATTACTGTAAACAGAAAAATATGTACGAGATATAATTTTAAATAATTTGTTATACTGTACTTGTTATGAATACTCAAATGTGTTTCAAATGTTATTGTAAAACATCTAATAATAATCATATAAATATTAATTATAAGAGTTATTTAAACGATAAGATAAGATTACAAAAATAATCTAAAAAGATTGTGTGTATTTAATCTTAATGAGATGCGATTTATTTGTTAGACGAGCAACACGTACGTTCCGTTCTCTCGGGTGCCAAATTTGCGCTTATTGTTTAATTAATATTGTTATGTTAAAAATGTTTTTGCTGACTTCGAAAAAGTATTAGTATTTGACAAAAAATCTAGGTCACGCGCGTGCAACGGGGACTTAGGCCATTTTTCTTAATGGACACACTTATGCAAATATATCAAAACATTGACCAAATTTCTATGGTTAAAATATAAAACGAAAATGAGAATCTAAAAAAATTGTAACTGAATTACAAGAGAATAATTAACTATTACAAAAACAATTGTCAGAACTTCAAGTAAGTATTATTAATAATACTACTAGTAAAAACATCATAAAAACATTTGATAATCCAAGTCCTAGATCAGATGCTAGTTTAAGCTCGCCAAAAAAATTCGTGAAAGTGACAGTAAAAAGCATCATTAAAAAAGTACCTACAATATACAAACCTCCATCAATAATGGCTTGTGGTATCCAAAATATACAAAAATTAGTGAGTTGTTTAACTCCAGAAGAAGCTACTGGCCATAAGCAAAATTCAAACGAACGTTAAAAGTTCTAGAAGAAAATAATATTGAGTATCACAGATACCAATTAAAATCCGAAAAAAATGTTGGTGTTATAATTCGAGGATTACATGTTGACACTGATATTTACGAAAATAAAAGAGATCTAGCTGATTTAGGATATTCTGCAAGTAATATTTCTAATAAATAAATAAAAAAGAAGTTGAATCCAACAGACAAAAATAGCAAATGGATGAGGATAAAATTACCTTTATTCTTTGTGGACCTAGAACCACAAGCTAATAGTATAGACATCTACAATGTAGACAGTTTATGCTACCATAAAATTAAATTGAGCCACCAAGGAAGAAAAAAGATGTACTACAGTGTAAAAATTGTCAGTCCAGTGGGCATACCCAAAATAATTGCCATACAAAATCTGTAAAATTTGGCGAAGATCACAGTACAGATGACTGCCAAAAGTCAAAAAATCAAAACCAAAATGTGCAAATTGTGGCGAAACACACACTGCAAACTGAAAGGGCTTCTCTGCCTACAAGAAAGCAGAAGAAAGAGCTCATCGAAAAAAGGTAATTGCGGTACAGCGTATTCAGCAGAAACCAGCGAATAAGGCCACAGCAGACGTATCTTTGGCTTAAATGGCAGGTTTTTCAAATTCTATAGACAAAACGTCCAATTACGTTTATGCAACAGTCCAACAAAAATGATTCCACTTTAGTGGACATCTTAACTGCATAAAAAAAAAATGAACTGCACACTATAGATTATAGCATGGAACGTAAACGGGCTAGTATAGCGCAATCAAGAACTCGAAGACTTTTGCATCTAGAAAATATTGACATCACTCTCATCTCAGGAATACACTTTACAACGCGAACTGTTCTAAAAATAAAAAATTATACCATTTACACTCTACAACCAAGTGGCAAATTCATTGTCGGTGGAGATTATGATGCTTAGCACTTTCACTGGGGTTAAAAACTTATCACTCAGAAAGGCCGTGCTTTATTAAAAGTAGCTAACACCATTAATGCTAAAATAATATCTACCAGGAAGCCAACCTACTGGCTAACCGATCTGAATAAAATCCCTGATCTACTAGACTTCTACGTAATTAAGATATCTTTTCTAATTATATTGAACCTGAAGGACTAATAGAATTAACATCTGACCACATCCCTGTGTTACTTACGTTAAGCTCAAATGTTATAATGAAAGAACGTAAAATATTTCTCACAAACAAAAAAACAGGTTGGGAACTCTTTAGAAGTACTCTTGAAAAAACAAAAACTCTTTCGCTAAGATTAAAAACATCATCTAAAATCGAAATGGCAATACAAAAACTGTGTAATGACATTTTTGAAGCTGTAAAAACGTCAACACCTGAAACTTCTAAAGTCAGTAATCGTGACATAGACTACTCTATGGAAATTAAAGATATAGTTCAACAAAAGCGCAAAGCAAGAAGAACCTGGTATAGACCGAGACACCAAGCGGATAAAACCTAATGGAACTGTATCAGTAAGATACTGCGTCACAAGATCAGAGAAGTAAAAAATAAAACATTTAAATCATATCTGAGTAACTTATCTGCAACGGATAATACCGAATACTCATTGTGGAAAGCCACAACCACAAAACACATGAAAAGACATTGTATCCATTTACCACATATTAGAAAAAAAGATGGAACTTGGGCATGCAGCGGACAACATAAAGCCAAAGCATATGCTCGACACTTTACGGAAGTATTTCACGCAAACGTAATTCTCCGAACGGAATACGTTTTAGTACAGTGGAAAAAGACACAAGTCATGCTAGATATGCTGGATCATACAATAATTCCACAAAAATATTCAGCTAAATACCTTGGTATGCATTTCGACTCCCGGTTAAATCGGAAACACCATGTCCGCCAAATAAATTACAAATCAAAGAAAAAATGCGTAAATTGTACTGGCTAGTTGAAAGGAATTCACGCTAGACCTGACAAACAAACCCCTCATATACGTAGTTATCATCAAACCGATCTGGAACTACCAAAAAAACGTAGAAAAAACGCGATCCATTTTAATTTTGGAATTGGAATAATTGGAATTTTACCATAATATAACATATATATTGTAATCACCAATTTGTATAATAATAGAAATATAATGGAATAATAATAAAAACTAATTATTATTTTAACGCAATGTTATTAAATAATCCCTTAATAAATGTAAGAATGCCCTTTTTACTATAGAAATAATAGGTTATATAATATTATGTAGGTATAATGTATGGTATAAATAAGCAGCGTCAAAAAAGTAAAGACGTAACATCAAAATACGCGAGCGCTCGAAGGTTGATTTAATAGAGTATTTAAGTAGGTACATAAATTAATAAAAATAATTGGCTAAACTAAAACTTAAATCATTGGATTAAATACTTTATAAACCATATTTATTTTATAAAAAAAAAAATAGTTTGGTAACAACTACTTTGGTAGGAACTAAAAAAACGTTTGAAAAAAAAAAATGATATAGGTGTATTATAATATTATTGTATATGTACTCGTTTATCTATTATAATCAGTGCTCGAACTGGGAAAATTAAATTACAGGAGCCCTTTTCTCTGCACAGTCCTTCCCACAATTCAAGCAATTGTTATAGTATTATAATATCATTGCAATACTTCCGTAATTTTGACAAGCGACGGCCGTGACCAATGGCGTACCCAGGGGGGAGGCTTAATGTATTGATTATAAATTGACTTTTTTTTAGGATCTAGCTTTTAAATTACCAATTTTCATTGTCGAGTTGGGTAGAGAAGATAATTTTACTCTTTTTACACGATTATTATTTGTTACATCCCTTCCCACTGAAAATTTCTGGGTACGCCGTGACAGTTAAAAAGAAAATTAAATCGTGTATTTGTGATTCAGTTTCATTAGTATGTTTATCAAACATTGATAAAATCTACGATTACGATTACAATTATTTAGTTGTAAAAAATTTAGAAATTAATGAAATGTACAACCGACAGAACAAAAATAGAATTATTATACGAGACAAGTAATTCTGATAGGTGCAATATTAAAAAAAAAATTGATACATTATAAAATAAAATTAATATGCAAATATTAATATTTAATATAAAAATGCGAGGCCCCATTAAACGCGAGGCCCTAGGCGGGTGCCCAGTTTGCCCGCCACTTTCCGCCGGCTCTGAGCATGAGAAAGGTAGTAATTCAAAATATTAGATTTAAGGTAGGTATCAAAGTGAAATACTCCGTTTATCTTATAACATTATCATTATTTATCATCATATAATTATCCCCCCCCTCATTATACCATTTTTTTTGTATTACTACAATACTATAACAGTATTATATCAAAAACTCTTAAAAACGAGTATAAATAAAAAAATGTTATTTTAAGTCCATAATAATGGGACCCATTAATTAGCTACAGTTTTTATAACACTGTTATTATTTATAATTTTTTTTTTTTTTACATACCTATTATGACGTGACCTTGTTAAATACGGATCTTTGAAATAATATGTGAACTATACACGTGCACAATATAATATACTAAACCGTAAAAGGTAATATTTTTATTTAGGTAGGAATTCCATTCAATGTCACCGTACGTTATGTATTTTAAGCAAATCTTAATTTTCATTATACACATATAATATTTAATATAAGTACCTATCTATATTGTATAATCTACGCAACGTGATCTCGAAAACACTAAATGTAAAATGATAAATAAAATAATTTATAATACCTACTTATGTAGTACATAATTATCAATTTTAGATTCTGAGTGGAGTGAAGAAGCTTATGGTTTTACAAAAATATTAATTTTTTTTTTTATTAATTATTAATTTTTTTTTATCTGTAAACACTTTTTCTACCAGAAGACTTGCTCGGATTTCTAAGTGTAGCATCTTTTTTGAAAAGAAATCTGTATGGGGTGGTACTTTACCGACGTCATTTTTCGATTTTCTCAGGAGTTTTCCCGGCAAATTTGAAAAACTGGGATAAAACATGGGAAAACCGGGAAAAACGTAGAAAAACTGGGAAAATCAGTACAACATTAAACAAATATCAATAAAGAAAATATATAATGCCTATTTAATTATTTTACTATAAAATGATATATACTATTAACAAAGCATCACGATCAATTGAACTCTTTTCAGAATCGTTTTTTCGTAAGCAATAGTTTATCGTTGCTTACAAGTATACATTAGATTATCTATAACAGTGGCTGCACTCGTCTCCATTATTCTAGGACGTTTTTTTTTTTTACATAACTTATAAAACAAATATGATAAAATTGTTATAGCAAGTAGCTTTTTCAGTTTATCATAATATGGCCATAGTGTGCTATAGTTCTAACATTTTAAATTACCGTTATTATTGGGGATGAAATCATTAGGCGAATCTACTTTTGATTTAAAATAAAAACCTATACTAAAAATATCATGAATAGCTTAGTGAAAATACATTTTGGTGTTGACATTTTTAATTTCCGTTAACCCATTGACGAGATATCCCACTTTTTAAGTTTGAAGTAGGAGGAGAATATTGCGCGACTATTTCAATTCCGCAAGCCGCGCCGCTTCACAGATGATGCTCCACTACTCTCTCTCGACACATACTTAAAAGTGGAATGTAACATCAACAGAAAATAAAAATGTCTGCACCGGAATTTATTTTAACTAAAATGCGTCATTTATTTATGGAATTTTTATAATATAGGCGACTATTTTAAAATCAAAAGGTGGTATTGATTTCATTTCCAACAATAAAGGTGACGAAAAAATAACGATAATGTAACATTTTAGAACTAAGTAATTACTTTATAAGTTGCCTTATACTGTATTATTTATGATCAAAGTTCGAATACTAGTAAAAAAATTAAGTAAAATACGTATTTACAGACGTCAAAATATGCAATTATGTGTTTTAAACATGTTTTAAATATAACTATTTTCAATTATAATATTAATAAAAATAATATTCAACATCAAAACGTATCATAATCCTGTAACTTCTAGTGATATACACGAGTTAACGAAAATTTCGGGAAATCAGGTATATTTTTTACTAGAAACAAAATAAAAATATAAATGTATAATATAAACAGAACCTGATTAAAAGAAATAGACACTATGCACATAGTTACTTTGGAGCCCCTTTCAAATAAAAAAAGATTGAAAATTAAATACAAGTAAATTAATTGTTTTTTTCTGTTGTTAAAAAGAACGCATTCGCGTTTATATACGTTTAAGTGCAGCAAATAATGAATCCATAACATAATAGGCTTCCAACTAAAAGCTGATCATCCCAATATTATTATGATCCAGTCATGACAGGAAAATGTACGAAATATATAAGTACAACTTTTCTACCAGAAATTTTGCTCTGATTTACAATGTTAGCACTTTTACTGAAAGAAAATCTGACTGGGAAGGTACTTTAAGGAGGTAATGTTTTCATTTTCCCAAGAGTTTTCTCAGTAAATGTGAAAACCGGGAAAAAATCGGAAAAAACTTAGGAAAACTGGAAGAAACAGTATAATATTAAATACATAATATTATATATAATATATAATGCTTATTTAATAATTTTATCATAATATGACATACATATTGTTGAAAAAGCATCACTATCAACTGAACTCTGCTCAGAAACGTTGTTTTGTTAGCGGTGGTTTATTGTTGCTTACATATATATATAAAATTCCCTTCTGTATTCTACCTTACCAACTTTCCACCCACAACAGTGGCTGCACTCTTCCCCATTAACCTAGGACAGCTTTCTTTTTCAGTATAGTTAGAAGGAGGCCATAAGAACTTGGAGGTTTTGTGCTCGTTTATCGTGTACATGTGTAAAGCAGGTCCTGAATACAAATATGAAATAGAAATAATGAAAGAACAGTATAGAGTTTATAAATATGCTACAAAATCAATAAATAATCAATATATGCATTGGCAAAAATATAAAATATGCAAATATATGCAAAATAATATGTTTGAAATCTAGATTTCACGAACTAAATTTATATCATATTATTCGGATATAATTCTGGTTACACTAAAAAAATAATAAGGAAAGTTATAAACATCGTCGTTTTACATATGATTAACCTAGTGATGCACCCAGGAATTTTCAATGGGTGGGGATATGTAGATATTGATCATAGAATCTTTTTTGGTTGTATCTAACGTGACAATGAGAATTGAAAATCAGCCAATTTTATTCAATAAATCAAAATGTTTTCCTTGTGATATGACTGGAATATTTAATTTAAAAGTAAATATTCATAGTTATATTTTAAAGTGAATGAGAGGAGGGATAAAATCCTCCGCTCCCTGCTCATATCACTGGATTAACCAATGCAAAATTACCTAAGAGTACACATCTTATTGAAAGTAATTGCCTATATTTAAGTATAATTATATGGTACCATGAACACTAAATCGACACGAAGTGCACATAGAATAAATAAAAATATAAAACACTTAACCTAGATTTTATTTTATGAGACTTTATATAAGTTTAAAATAATTGTTCAACTATCTATATTCTATATAAATGTAGATCAATATTCGTAAATACTGCGTTATAGATAATATGCGTAATTAGGACATAGATCCAAAAGAAAATAAATAAAAACAGACATATTTTGTACTGTGCCATGGGTAGGTCATTATAATATAGATGGGAAGTTAGGAAGATAGAAAATATAAAGTAATTTAGTTATTATGCCGAATCGTAACATAAATTTTAGCTTAAAACAATGATAAAAATGAATGACTACATTTTTATCCCTATAAAATCGGGAAAAAAAAGATCTATTACTACTCATGAATGTACAATTATTGTTTTAGGTGGAAACTTAAGAAGGTAGGATAGAAAGAGTAATTTAATTTCTGTATTGAACAATAAATCATTTCTAACAAAAAACAATTCTGAGCGACGATCGGTTAAACATGTTTTTAAATGACATAATTTTGTATGACTTACATTAAAATTTGAATTCAAATTGCTTATAAAAATAAATTACTCGCTCAACTTTTTTTAACAACTTAGTAAAACTTAAAATATACAAATTTTTACAAAACACAAATTTTAAAAAAACTCAAAAGTTTAAAATTCCTATCAGTCACTTAAAGATAGCCAGAATATTTTGCCACGTGTAGAAAAAGTTAATACCTATATATTTTGTGAAAATGTCAGGGTTTTTTCAACCGAATTACGAAAAAAATAATGAAAATGAAAAATAATGAAACCATGTTATCGTATTTGCTGTTTTCCATATATTTTTCATTTTTCCCCAATTATCATGAAAATACAAAAAAATCAAAATAATACCCGCTCAATACATCAATTACAGACCACCAACTATAGACAAAATTTGTTCTCTATTCACTATACACATGATGATCAGATCAAGATTTATGGTTGAAAATTTGATTACAGGCAGAAAAAAATATACCATAGTACAATTAACTCGTTTCACTCAGAATCTAAAATATGTCCAATAGAAAATTTGTTATTATTTGCTATGTATTGACGTGCATTTAAAGTAGATCTGATGAGGTCGATGTGTCGGGTTCTTGAACATGACATAATTGTTTAATCGTTGAATAATTTCCCTGTAATCATATTTACATCAATGATTATTTCATAATTGTTTATAGCACATCATACCTACCTACTCATTTTCTATGTTTTTAAAGACTAGATTCATAATAATAATAGTAAAGAAAAAAATAATTTTGTATACGAGTGTAAAATTCTAAGATTGGATATGTAATACAATATATGTAATTAAAACTTCATTACATGTTCACCTTTAATTTTTTTTTTCTATAGAATATTATCATTTAATTTTAGATTCTGAGTGTAGGCAAGAATGTATTGGTTTTACAAAGATGTTTATTTTTTTTTTTATACTGTATACAAAAATTCTACCAGAAATCTTGCTAAGATATATACGCGCGGCATCATTTCTGAAAGAAAATATTGTTTAGATGGTACTTTTGAGAAGTCATTTTTTGATTTTCCAAGCGGTTTTCATAAAATCTGGGAAAAATCAGGATAAAATGTAAAGAAAACAGGAAATGTACGAAAATAATGCTTTTATTATTTGTTGTAATTCAGTAAAAAATAATCGTAGAGACTTGAAATTTAAACATAAAACTTAAATTTGTCTTTTATAAACGAGGTAAAATTTTCAAAACATTTGAGCCATTTTTAGACTTTTTACAAAAATTTTGATATTTTTGTTGAAATTCAAATAAGAATAATCATATCGGATCTATGGACTTTTCATTTGGATAAAACTTATGTTTACCTTTTTTAGGCGTCATAAAATTTTTAAAAAATTTAAACCATTTTTGAGCTATATATAGACATTTTAATTTTACGAGTTTTTTACGTAATTTTTATTCGGTAGATACTCTGTGTTAAATTGTTAGACTTAATAGAAATGCGTGAAAATTAAACAGCATTAAAAGTTTTAATTATTGTGGTCGAAAAAAAAAAAATTAGTATAAAATTACCTAAAGTCTCAAGTCACCGCTTACTCGCTTTACCCAGTAAATGTGAAAAACCGAGAAAAACGTAGAAAAAACGGGAAAATCGGTACGTTATTAAACAAATAATCAAATAATAAAGTAAAAACAAAATTATTAAAATGGTTAATACTCGTAAATAAATAAAGTAAATAATAATATAATAAATGTAATAAATAAATATTATTAAAGAAAATATATGTTTATTTATTTTACCATAATATGACATACATGTTGTTGACAAAGCATTACTATCAACTGAACTCGTTCAGAATCATTTTTAGTAAGCAATGGTTCATCAATTGCTAAAATGGTTCAATTACAGATATAAATTAATGTCGTCTCTATATTCTACCTTCCAAACTTCACTAACAACAGTGACTGCACCCATCGTGCGAAATATGTCCGTCTTTTTTATATGTATATATTTCTTATATTTTTATAATGGAAAACTAAAAAAAGACCGTTGAAATATTTAAGCAACACAGAAACACTAGAAAAATGTTTTATTCGTATAATTCTAAAATATTCATCCTACAACTGTTACGTTTTTGGCGATTTATAATTTAAAAAAAAATTCTTGGCTCTTTTTCAGTTGAGTAAATAATATACAATTGTATTTTTTCCAAATCATTATGTTTTATTTTCGTTGAAAATTTTGGTGTAGTAGGAACTATATTGATAATAACATGTTAGAGTCACTGCGCCCGAAAATCTTTTTTTGTTTTTTTTTATTCCGGGATCAATCATCCCGAGAATATTATTTAATTAGGAATTCGAAGGTCGAACGAGCATTGTGCGCGGTTATCAATCATCGCAGTGACCACGGCGGTGGTAACCCAGACCAGGGCAATCGGCCGGACATCACACGCCGTCTTCGTCCACTCAGTAGACCCGAGACGCGCTGGTCGGACACGCGTGTTGACCGGTCCTGTATAATATGATGGCGGAACTTCGTTTGCCGTCCGGAGCTGCGGCCGTCCTCGTGGCCGGACTGTTGTCGTTGATATTTTGTTCGCTGCCGTCGTCAGCGGTCGGCGTTCTGAGCACAGTGAGTACGCAGTATACACCCTACATAATTATTAGGGAAAATGTTTACATGCCCTAAAAACCTTAAAATATCTATGTACAGATAGACACTAAAAATACCAAAATAAGCAAAATAATATTTTGTTTCTACAGAATCGTTGGGTCATGAAAGGCATTTTGATACAAACTAGCTATTTACTTGATCGATCAATACAAATATACTAAAGCGTATAAATATCTGTTTTCATAATAATTATAATATATACCTATGCATAACACGAACCATAAATTTCTGATTTAAACGACCGACCAATAGGTTAGCCTATCCACTAACCTATCATCCACAAGCCTCTGCCTTGTCGCCTCACACATAGAGGTATGCGCACAAGAAGAAGAATACAACACAATAATAAAACTATAAGGTACATACATCATCGAAGATTGCCCCAGAACACGTTTTGAAAATTAGCTAAACAAATTGTATGTAGCAGAATTGAACAGTTTCAAAAAGTCGAACGGATTAAAAATACTAACAGTTAATACGGGGTAGAATGTCTTGATATCAAGGCATTCTAATACGGGTTGTGTAATTGTTATTGTGTTATCTATACATATATTTACTATCTATTATTTATAAACTTATTTATCTAATCTACAGATTGAACTATTCAGTTTATTTTATGATAATTGTTTTGTTTTTTTTACTATTTACCAATGTACATTTATAATTAAGATATTATACTTAATTTTGTTTTTGCTGATTTAATAATAAAGCCATATGCTAGTAGTAGTAACACAATAATAATATGCACGGATTTACGGGTTGAAAATATACAAATGGATTAAATGGCAACAATAAAAATAAATTCATTGTTTCGGATTTGACTCGAATTATACGTGAATTTCGTATTATAATACGAAAATTGAATTTTAGATTCTGAATATTGGTTTCTCTTAAAGTACTTATTAATTAATATTATTATATGATGTTTTTTTTTTCACTTCCCAAACGATTTCGACCGGAAAACTTGCTCCGATCATCATACATTTTAGAAACTAGGGAATTCCTAGTAGCAATTTTTATTTAGTCAGTTTATTTGGGAGGTAATTTATCGAAATTCTCAATACTTTTTTTAATAGATTATAGGAAAAACTAACAACACAATATAAGTTAAAAAGTATATAAACTATATAAAAGTTGGATTTTGAAAATTTAAATTTCATTTCCATACAGGGAATTATTGTTTAATTTTTATTGTTTTTATTTCTGGATTTACCTTCCTTGTAAAGCAAACTTACGGATAACCTGCAGTTAAACTAATTCATTTTTTTGTTTACAACGATTCATCGTTGCTTTCCATGTATTTACTTATCAAAACTAAATTACAAATACTAATTCAAATTAGATTCTATCCCTTAAACAACTTTCCATCTACAAAAGATACCTATCCAAAGTGTGATATATTTCTGGCTCTTTTTTTTTTCTAAAAATCTAAAACACTATAGTTTTATTTTCTTATTTTGATTTGGAAACCGTACCACGTAAAGATAAATTACGATAACTCTGTAAAACGTGTAAAAAATACCATTGCTTAAAACTGTACGAGTACACTATGTCTACCGAAAAAAAAAAATGAAGCGTATATAAGTACGTTTAATCGACATCTATCTAATAGCCGGTGATACATTAGGTACATATTGTACGTCTCGGAGGAATTTTGTGTACACGCTGAACTCGTCTAAAAAAATAATCAAAAGCTCGTATTACATTTTCTTTAATTAATAATAGACGTTTTGAAAAATCTCAAAAAGGACACGAGTTGTCGTAGATGTTTACATATAAAATGCTGATACCAATGATGAGTGTGTATGTTTTAACGTAGTTGGATGATTTAACAGGAGAATATATATAGAATGATACAGTGTATTGCCTAGTTATAAATTCCCCTTTGTTACCAAAATAACCCAGGGATTAAAAACATTTTATAAACAATTACCAGTGTTTCCCATTAATTAGGCAAACAATAAGTAAAACTACAAAAAAAATGACCTCTTCGATGCACCAATTAGATCAGAAATACTACAAGAAAGTTTGTATCAAGTTTTTAATTGGAGCAAGATTTTTGATAAAAAAGTTATTGACGGAAATAAAAAACCAATCATAGTAACACACCGATACATTTCCTTACTTCGCTTAGAATCTAATACTGCCACTATGATCATAGATTGAAATTTAATAATTGTATGTTTAATCTATATACTATTACTAAATTCCATCTCCACAAGCTCTTTTTTTTAAAATTAACGATTTCCTGATTACGCGTTTATAGAATAACGAATTAATTTCAGCCTAGTCAATTTATAATTTACAACTGCATACATAATAAAAATAATAATTATAGCAGAGTTTTTATTTGCCACGGTAAATAATTACTATAGTACCGTCAATTTCTTTTCAAGGGTCAACTAATTAATAATCACGGTCATCCGGCGTACGGTAAGCACACCGTATTCACCGAAGATGGTTACCTGATCAACTTGTTTCACATTGAAGGTAACGACGGCCCACCGTTTTTGTTGCTTCACGCGTTCATGGGAGCGTCCGACCAATGGTTTCTGAGAGACGAAAATCACGATTTACGTAAGTATATGTATATTATAATATAGAGGTAATTATTGTGTATATTACAGGGGCTATACTAAATAGTGATTGGGACAATAATGGTTATTTGTGAATCCAAAATTCTGTTTCACAAATTCAAGAATTAATAATTTAAACGATTTAAGGTGGCATTTTGTTTACAAAAGTATATCGAGGAAGGAGGTGGTTTAACAATAAATAATATTTCTATAGAGGGGGTGGAGACATACAAAATCTAGACACGCCACTGGTCATATTTCACATCCTCACATCACTATAATATTATAGTTCACAATATCTATTATACTGGGACAATCTGTTCATCAGGATTAGGAATAAGCGATTTTCTGGGAGGAATTTAACTTTCGATTTTTTTTCAGTCATTATGGAATCGCTTAAGCTTTATTCAAGCACTATTTTCAATTATTCAACTCCTTTCTTCTTATACCTTAAATGAGTATATAAATAATTTGTATTGACAAATAGTACGTCGAAACTTAAATAGCACTTTAAACACTGTAGATTCGGTTTGAGAATATTTTTAAAAAAAATCTTAGAATACACAATATTACACTAATATCAGATTAACCGTTTATGGGTTATAACAGTTTAGACCGGTGAAGTGGGACGGGGGAAAGTATAGAAGGACGAATCCTCCTACCTAACCCAACCTAGTCTAAATGTTTAATAATTTTAAATTTGTCGAAAATTGTTTTGTTAAATCAAATATTGAACTGAAAAATATTTTTTCATTGATAATAAAGAGTTAATTTGTATTTATATTCTAATTAATTGTAATGTTTTTATTTTGTTTTTTTGTTTTTATATATATTACATTGTATGTTCGGAGACCCCCCCTCCTTTCACCACAAGCTTGTTTAAATAGAGGGTTCATCAACTGATACATTATATCGTACTCATGTTTACATTTTGTTATCTTTTTTAGTTGAAATAAATAAATAAATGAAATGTAGTCATATTTTTAGATTCTGATTAGAACAAAGCTTATAGTTAGGTTTTTTTTGTTCTGTAGACAACTTTTCTGCCAGGAAAATCTATGTGGGGAGTTACTTTGAAGAGGTCATTTTTCGATTTTCTCGAGAACTTTCTCAACAAATGTGAAAAACCGAAAAAAAAAACGGAGGAAAAGCGGGAAAATGTAAGAAATGTAGGTATTAACTAAAAATATTATGGCCTTAATTTTCCTGTGGACATCTTTCCTACCAGCAATTTTGCTCCAACTAATAATGCTAGCAATTTTTCTAAAAATAAATCTCACCGGGGAGGCACTTTAGAGAGGTCGTTTTTCGATTTTTCAAGAGTTTTCTTAACAAATGTGAAAAACCGAATAAAAACATAGGATAAACGGGATCCATTTTAATTTTGGAATTAGAATAATTGGAATTATACCATAATATGACATATATATTGTTAAAAAAGCAGCATTATCAACTGAACTCCGCTCAGAATCGTATTTTCGATAGCAATGGTTTATTGTTGCTTACAGGTGTACATTAAATTGCTTATATTAGTAGCTGCACCCGACCCCATTATCCTAGGACGTCTTTTTCTCAATAGTTTTAATTTTTATGGAATTCGGAAATATTACGGCTTTTCAAATCATGTATAAACATGTTTAAGCATCGTTTTTCGTTATCATTGATTTATCGTTGCTTACAGATAAAATTAAATAACTTTATGTATCGTACCTCACTATCACCCCACCTAAAATAGTAGCGCACCCATCAGAAGTATCAGCTCATTTTGTTAATTTATATTATACAAGCGTTAAAAAATATGTACAGTGAAATTCTAAGGAAAATATTAAAGTTCCTATTTTTTTTTTCTTACATGTATTTATTAATTTTTATGTAAACACATTAAAAAAGTTATTATAATAGACAATGATATAAATAAAATAAAATAAATGTTACTATTATATTCATATAAACAATATGAATTATTTTAAAGCAAGTATCAGTTTTTTCAAATTTTTTTTGTTTGACAAATTAATGAATTATTTTTTCCTTAAATGATTAAATGATAATTTTTTTTCGGGACAATATATGAAACTTTCAAAATGAAATAGGAATCTAAGTACTCTTTTCTATTTTGCGCTACTTTATGTCTTCGGAAAGGGTTATCATTTATCAATTTTAACATCCGAAAATGGATATGAAGTAGTTAATAACTCTTTCCTATTCCTTCGTTCCATTTAAAAATAAAAAGTTTATAATAATTTTCTTTATACCACTGTGTTTTATAGCTTCGATTTTAATGAAAAATGGATATGACGTTTGGTTGGGCGATTTCAGAGGAAACTTGTATTCCAAGGGACATTCACGCTTCAACGTATCCGACCCGGAGTATTGGAAATTCAGGTAGGTACAATATTCAAATAATGAAACATTTGTACTCGATATACAATTCGTCACGATATAAGAGCAAGGTCGCCAACCTAGAACCGAAGTTCGAAAACCGGAGTCTGGGATTTTTGTTATGGTAGAAAAGGGAAAATTACATTCATCTAAAAAAACACATGTTTTTTTTTTTTTGGGGGGGGGGGGATAATGAATAATTATTTTATTAAATCATTAATCATCAAATAAAATTAGAGTTGCGTTGTTGTGACAGAAAAGCCCATGGCATAAAAACTGTCAACCACGAGAAAGTGAATAATAGATGAGATTTTACATAGGTACATCGATAGATATATACATAGAATGATAGGCACATATGTTTTAAATACATAAATATATATATATAGGGTGACTGGAGCGTCAACCAGTCTGATGACTTATAGTCCGGACGCATGTATTGATACAACGGGAGCGTGTGGGCCGGGACTTACTACTGGTTATTAATAATAACGAATTCACATCCACGTGCGCGTAGATCGATATATGTATATTTAGAGACGGACCTCCACGTGGAATTTCGTGGACACAGTATATATTTTGGGAGACCCCAGCAGGGATGTGATGTTTGCCAGATCACACATATTACAACCGGGAAGGGCAGCTGAGAGCTTTTATTCCAGATTGATTGGTCCGCGGTTATGGTGGCCCTACGGGTTAACCTGCGGGGTGCGTCCGAACACGGATCGCGGGATGGGGAAATCGATCGATATTATATAGATTTTTTAAATACGCACACACACACGTGGTTGCGAAGCCGAGTGCTCCAAAAGAGAATACGAAAAAATAAAGAAACGAAATGCGGAGGGGGGAGTGGGTTGCCTGTTGCAAATAGGATGTGGAACGCGGGGATTACTACACTGAGACGGACGAACAGACTTAATTAGCGCTGGTCGATTCCCGTAGGTATAACGGAAGAATTTAACATGGGCAAAATATTGTATCATACACGACATACACAACGCGTATACAAACGGGAAAGCATTGTGTTGGGAGGAGTGTATATGATGTTGAACGATTGTTCGAGAGAAAAAATAAACATTTTAAACAAAGTATTTAAACGGGGGACATTAACTAAACTAACTTAAAACTACCTAACTACCTAATTGTCCGGTTTAACTAGACGGGGTATCGGTCAATTATTAAATTACATATATATATATATATATATATACATTACCAATCATCTCGCCCGAAGATGTCCGCTCAGCGGACTAGATCGCGGGACTCACTTCATTAGTTCGTTTTTGAGGCACCATCAGGACAGGAAACATGCCAAGGTATACGACCTTTCTTAATGGCAAACAGTATGCGAAAACCCGCACAGTACGGGAGTGTTTTACCAAAGAAAACTGTATTAAGTGACCGTCTGATGACGAAGTCTCGAGACGAAGTCCGAACACGAAGAGAGAAAAGGACGAACAACAAACCGGGCAGCGGAGCGCCGAGACGTTCGTGACACACGTCGCCGTGGGCCGACGTTTATAGCGATAAGGGGAAACGTGATATGATTGGCCGTTAACCCGTAGTCAGAAATATAATATTATTGTAAATTACGAAAGATTGCGATCGCATGGACCTTTTCTCGGGGGGGGGAGGGGGATTATTGATCACGGTTACATAACATGTACGTCGCCGCGGGCCTAATCTATTAACCGGTCGATTATATTGATTGTAGTTACGTTCGTTCTACGATAACGGATAATGATCGTTTTTGGACGTTACAAGATACTTAACTTATTAGCTTTTAACGCGTTGATGCTCAACATTGCTTTTATTCTACCAGTTTTACATTCTTGTCATCCCACACGTCTCTCTGTATAGTGTATCTACCGATTATCATCTACCATTCTCCTCTAAATATCCCCTTTTATAATATATACCTCCCCTATAAAAACCTCTATCCGGTTTTTTCCCGGGCCTATACAATTATTCGCCGCGGCTTTCGTCTACACTTAGGTATATTAGCTCGCCCACGTCTCATCGCTTTTCCGTCTCTGTCACGACCTATAGCAATTTTTCTCGTCTTTTGCAGCGTGGATGAGTGGGCATTTTACGACGTGCCGGCCATGATCGATTTCGTATTGTCGCGAACGTACGGCCGACACGATCGTCTGTACCTGGTGACGTACTCGTTGAGCAGCGCAATATTCCTGGCCACCGCGTCAGCCAGACCCGAGTACAACGAAAGGGTGATCGTTAGCTATCACTTGGCCCCGTTCATGGCTTTCTCCGGCATCAGGTCAGCCCTGTTGCAGTTCGGCATGCGTTTTGGGGAAATGTATTTGGTCAGTATTTATACTAATACTATTGGTTAAGTAGGTATTAAAAAAAAAACTAAAATAATTGTAACATTAATAATAAATAAATCATAAGTCATAAAACATTATACAAAATAATCAAACAACTCAACCTATACCATTATTGCATCGGGCGGAAATATCCATCTTTTACGGTAAGTACTAACAGCGTGTAAAAGTTTAAGAGGATTTTTACTAACTGAAAAAATGGTCACAGATATGTACCAGTAGAAAATAAAACCTACCAAAGCCGATTGTGAACGACTTGTAAAATAGTATTTAATTGTTTCAGACAATAGCACGAAACAAAAAGAAATTCGAATTGTTTCCGCGAAACTATTTGACGAAGAATTCACTGTCGCTGTTTTGCGGTCAAAAATCTGTTTTCTTGAACATGTGCGTGTCCATACTATCAGAATTTTTCGGATTTGACACTTCTGGAAATTCTACTGTGAGTGTATAGGATTTTCTCTTTGATATCACGTACGTTATTGAACATTTTCTCGTATGATTTCAGATGGATCTAGATTTCAAATTGATTTACTCCAGGGCTGGCGTATCATTGAATAGTGTCGACCATTTGCTGCAAATGATTAGAAAGAGTGAGTATACATTTATAATTCAATACCTATATTATATATAATATACCGATTATAAGTGAACAACTGATGAGTACCTAGTGAATGCACAGTTTGACTAGAAAACTACTTATGAATCTATATTTTTTAGATAAATTTCAACGTTATGATTTGGGATATGAAAATAACATGATAAAATACGGCCAACCAGAACCACCGGAATACGACCTACGAAAAGTCACGTCCCCCGTCGTATTATTTTACAGCAAGAATGACAGGGTCGTTGACGTAAACGTAAGACATCTCATAATATTAACATTATTATTATACATGTCCTTAGATAATAGACATTTTTTTAGTAAAGTGCTTTTACTTATTTTAGAGTTTTGTTGGGGCTATAGTTATATTATTACACAGAATATCTTACAGTGTTATTCATTATGGAGTTATGTTAATAATTCTGTCAATATTCATTTTTTTTTCAATCATGGTTTGTGCGAGGAAGACACATAAATAGAAAAATATTAAATTTATATTTTCATCCCTTAATTATCAAAACAAAAAAAAACCATTTTTTATTTTAGCACTTTTTAAAATTATTAAAATAGCCACTTTATAAAAGATATTATTTTAGAAATTTTAATGTTACATACATTCATATCCGATCAATAGTTCCTTAGTAATAGCTATTTGAAATTCTGGAAAATTGGTGTGGAAACCACTAGTTTTCAATAGAATAATACGCGTTAAGCGATAGGGAATCACAATCAGCACAGTAATTCCTTATCTTCTATTGAATATTAATGATTGCTTTCACGCTTATTTTCTATATATTAAAATCATTATAACTAAGAAACAATTTATCGGATATGAATGTAACTTAACAATTTATAGAATAATATAGGTATTTTACAAAATTACTATATTGAAAATTTTAAAATGAGGAAAAATAAAAAAATTTTCTTCTTAGTGATTAAGGGATGGAAATAAAAATAAATATTTTTCTCTACATATGTGTTCCCTTTGCCTAAAATCCAATTTAAAAAAATGAATATTGATTAGTTACCATAAGGATAACATTGTAGGATAATTTATATTTGACTACTAGATTGTATCTTTAATATTCAATTAATTCAATTTTTTTTTTATACAGACTATATACAAACTGATCTCGGTTCTACCTAACATCTATCAAACAATAAATATTCCTCATAAAACATTCGGTCATATAGACTATGCGTTTAACTCGAATGCTAAGAAACTAGTATTTGATTCAGTTATAAATATCACCAGACAATTTAGAACTGCTCAAAGTCATGTTCAAAGATCTTATGATTACTATTATTATTAATATGTGGACATTGTTTGTACAACTTAAAAGTACATAATGTTGAACTTATATTTTTCATTTAGCAAATATCTTTGCTGCAATCGATCATGTTTGTAGCAATAGCTTATTATAATTTATTATTATTAAATATAATAATTTGTGTTAATATTACATTATTTTAAACTTTAAACCGCTAGATAATAAAACATAATATAAATCAAATTAATATTAATACATAATTAATATCTAGAATAAAACCGATAAATTAAATAGGTATGTGTGTGAAATATTCTAACTCTTCGAAGACCTGAGAATATTGTTTTAGATATTTTACAATTAATACAATTAGGTACTTCATTTGCTAAATATATTAAAATTGAATATAATATGGAAAAATTCTTGTGATATTTGTTACAAACAGTTAATAGGTATACCTTATGCACCCAATGACTTTACAGCAAATGACAGTAATACCCATACATAATACATAATTGATAGGACATTCGACTTTAAACCATACGCAAAAGAACACCAATGTAAACTGTATGGTTTATCTTGGTTACCGAATGTTATTATTTATAATTAATGATTGTACCCATAGATAACTCAAACACATAAACCCTATAACTCGGGTACAAATTTTTCAAAATTTATTTTTAAAATGATCTTATTATTATTAAATAACAAATGCTATGGTACCTACCTATAATGCTTTCAATATATCTTAAAAATGAATTATTGTAAATATTTATGAGTTTATATTTTTTATGAATGGATTTTTTTTACATTGACAATCATTTGTCCCTGTTCAACTACAAATCATTAAAAAAAAAAAAAATAGAAAAATTAAAACTCAACTTATTTTTTTATTGATGAGTATTTTAATTTACTTCAGAAAAAAATTATACAATATTTATTTATTACTTATTAATCATAAAAATACAAGAGCTATAATCAAGTATTTAAGTATCATAATTTTTCTTAAAATATACAAATTTAATGACTTAATAAAATAAAAAACAAAAATATGTAAAACTGCAAGAAACTATTATTTTTATCATAGGTAATCTAGTGCAATAGGTTAATAGTTTATATTCAATTTCCAATATGCAAATTAAAATGTATTTTTATCAGTGTACTTAACATAGTAGTTATTATGATATAATATGTACTTAAAACTATATTAATTAAAATAAAAACAAAAAAAATATGAACATTAAAATTTTCCTTTTCAATGCAACATATCAATCCATGAAGAATCATCATTTGGTGTACATTCTTTGTCTGATGTAATGGAAGACATACACAATCCATAGAATACTTTCGGTGTAAGCGTAGAACCTTCATCAACTGTAAAACGCCAACCTAAATGCTGATTACACCTTGGACACATAATTATTGTCCATTTATACCTGTACAAAATAAACATTCATCTTAGTATTATGGTATTGTGTAGTATAGAAATTAATTATTATACCCAGGAAACCAGGAGCATTCATCTGATGGCTGTCCAACTTTCACCACACCTAGACCGGGCTCAAGTCTATATACTGTTATCATATCATGGATCTGTCCCCAAGAGTTGCAGTATGTTCCCTGTGGTCCATCGGGAGACATGGGAAAGACGTTTCCCATGTCACAAATGCATGCGTAACAGTCTTCGCTGTTACATATGAATTTTTTCTTAGACACTCTTGCTTTTTGCTAAACAAAATCAGTGATATAAATTTAGTGTAGTTTTACTTTAAGTTTTTGTATTTCTTACATTTTCATCCAAATAAAACAAAGCCTGCTTAAGGCGGTGATTTGTTGATTCGAGGCTCAGTAAATGATGAACTTGTTCTGGATTAAACATACCCAGCTTAGTTACTTGCAGAGACAATAAATATGGATCTTCTGTGAGTTTGATTTTGTCATCTTTAAAGTAAAGTTGGAAAATAAGTTGGGAGGTAGAGTAGAAATTTAATATATATTTGCACGTGATAATTAATCATTGCTAAAGAAAAACGATTCTGAGTGGAGTTCAGTTATACATATTTTGAAAAGCTATATTTATTATTTTAATATAGATCGCCATTTGAAAATCTAAAGTAGGTAGTGGTTTAACTCTCCCCAAAAAAATTATTATTTGTTTATTTATTTATTTATCTTATGTTATTTTACCAACATTCATTATTAAGATAAAATTAATAATATATATATAAAAAAAAATATATATATATATATACATTGGCAGTCTTTTTAAGTAACGATCATAAATTGTAGGTATAATTTAGGTACTACTAATAGATAGAAATATAGGTATATTAATAATATGTTAAAAATATAAGAATATTATAGTTATTTAACTTTAATTAATAATATTAAAAATTTAAACTAACCGGTTAAAATAAATATCTGTGTATAGAATACTAAATGATATAAACTACCCTTTTAAACGGGTTTTTGTTTTAAATTTTAAATATATGTAAAAATAAAAAATATAGTTATCTACTAAGGTTGGTTAATATATCATGTTTGGAAGCCTGTAACTGGGTATTACATCTATTATATCCATGACCGATTCCTTTTGAATTTGTATTATATCTTGAATACTTTTTTATTGAAGTTTTATGATAGAAACAATCATATTTTGAGAGTAAGTTGTTTGATTTGAATAGACCTAATATTTTTTTTATTCATGGGTCAATTCAAATCAACTAACTTATTAAAACATGAATTGTACTGTAAATTATATTTCACTAAATTTAAGCATTTCTTTTTTAAATATTATAATAACTACTATTCGCACATGGTTTAATTCAAAGTAAATCATCATAGATATTCAGATTGAAAATATTAATGAAAATAAATTTTGATTAAACCTCAAAAAATAAATAACTGATTCAAAATATATTAATAATTTTAGATAAAAAAAAGTTGTAAAAATATGAACAATTTTAGATTTGTATAACCAAAAACATTTAAAAATATTATATACCTACCTAATTTTGTTGATGTTTATTAAAAATAAATTATTATTATTATTTATTATCTTAAATTATTTTATTCGTAAAAATTAATATATGTATATACACAAATTTTCAACTATTCTTATTTGGTCAAATAATTTTGTCCACTGTGTACCTACCGACTAAAAATTACATAATAAACTCTTAAAATTAAAATGTCTATAAATAGCGCAAAAATTACTAAAATGTTTTAAAAATTAAACTACTTCTAGAAAAGGCAAATATAATTTTTCTATTCAAATTTCAAGTATCTAAATATATTTTTTACTGACATCAACAAAAAACAAAATTGAAAATAATACATTTTGTAAGTTCCCTTCTCCCCCAATGATTTTTTCCAATTATTATGAAAACTGCTTAGAAAATCAAAAAATGACATCTATAAGAACCACCCATATAAAATTACCTTTCAGAAAATGTACTACACATGAAATATCTGATCAAATTTTATGAACAATTTAAAAAAAATAAACATCATAAACATCATTTTATACTAATATAATTCTCACTTCCCTCAGAATCTAAAATATGAAAGGTAAAAATTTAATATAAAATCAAGATTAATACTATTTATCAAATATTTAACATTGCTTTAATACTATCAAAATTTAACTTTTTAATATAATCAGATAAATCTGATAATAGCAATGTTTAACTATAGAATAAAAGACTCTAGGATAATGGGGATGGGCACAGCCACTATTATATATAATTTAATGTATACAAGTAAGCAACGACAAACCATTGCTTACGAAAAAACGATTCTGATTGGAGTTCAGTTGATAGTGATAATTAAATATTCAACTTGCAATACAGAACTTCTTATTATACATCACAGCCATCTTGATAATGGTGTTAATCACGATTAGTTAGGTTAATCAAGGTTACCTTAACATCATGATTAACATGAACATAGTGAAATTCAAATATTGATAAATTATGATTAACTTTTAACTCTGATTACTTTAACAACGATTAGTGGTTTTGGAGAAATAGGCCTTAAGTCCCAAGCTCTATAATTTTTTCATTAAATTATTATTAGTCAAGAACCAACTACAATATTATTATAACCATTTAGAATTTTTTTAAATTTATTAAAAATATTATTTTGATTTTTTATTATAATCAAAAATGTTATTGGTAGGATTTTGTAATATTTTTTATTTTAGATATTTGTGAATTTTTTTATTAGTTTTTAAAGTCAAAATTATTATTGCAAGCTATGTTACAGTTTATGTTGATAATTATTTTTATTAAGTGAGAAATACTCTAATTTATTAATATATAATTATAAATATAATAATTAACATTAATTTGGTCTTGTTGACTAAATTAAATATTAGGGTGTAGTAATTAATTACATTATAAAATTTCAACTTACACAATGTTTTAACTTTCTCCGCAACTCTCGATGCTAACTGGTGCACATCAAACTGTTTATATACCCAATTTGGCCACTGAGTTTGCCACATATCTTTTGTACGGCACCTGATATAACAATAAATATTATAATTGTACTAACTATTAAATATTGAAACATCACTAAATGAATACAATATTGTGTTACTTACAAATTGTTACCATGATTTGAATGACGATTTCTTGGATTCAAACACAATTTATGATATGGATTTGGTAATGTAATATCAGGCATGATTCTGATTTTAGCCAATGCAATATTTGGAGCATTACTAAATACACACATTTTATATAAAATTATACAACAATAATAAAAATGTAATATTTTAACTTCAGAAATAATTTAAAATTACCTTTCTGGAAATGGTTCAGTTTTTAAAATTTCATATCGCTGATGACCCATAGCCTTGATATAAATCTTGTCAGAGGTTTCAATATCCCCAGAGTGTGCATAAATTTCAGCAATTGTTCCATATGTACGTGTATTTTTTGTGCCAAAACTAATTTTTATAACAATTAATATAACACTAAATATTGATTTTTAAATAATTGATAATAATGATATATTGTATGGTTTACATTTTGTACGAGACTCCAAAGACACAATTTCTAGCTAAAGAGTATTTTATCAGCTTTTTAAGAGAATCGCAAGTAGCAATCAATGGAAAAATTTGCTTGGGAATTAAATTTGAAGTTAAATATATGACAGGTATCTGGTGGGTAATACCTTCTTCAAATATAGTTCGGCCATTAGTTTCACGAAGTCCTTCTCCCATATACTACAAATAGATACATAATTATTAATTACCAAATTATAAAAATTAAATTTAAATGGTTTATCTAATGTTTAAATATTTGATGTTATATGAATAATATAATAGATAATTACTTTTTGAACATATTTTTCTAATTATAACTAATAAACAAAACTAATTATTGATAAATAAATATTGTAAAATAATTATGTTTAGAATACCTAAACCAGTGGTTCCCAACTTGAGGGGGAATTTAGATATGCACAGATATTATTCAAGGTCTGTGCTTTCATTTTTGGACCCTAACCTTGCAGACTGTAAATCCTAGTTCAGACTAAGCCAGTATTTTAATTGAGTGGCGAGTGTTTTAGTAACTAATCGTGTATGAGCAAACCGATTTAGTTGAGTAGTTCATTAAATAATTTAGTTTAGTTGATTCAAAATATCTTATTTTTCTTGTCAAGTAGCGCCCCTTTCTCCTGACTATGTTATAATATGTTAATAATACTATACATGTTAATTTAGTTTAACTTGTCACTGTCAAAATGACGTTTAGTTGGAGGAAAAACACAACATTCAAATTCCAGTTCTTTAAGAAAACTATTTGTTGCTCTTAATGAACTCCTTTTAATCTATTGCCTAATCAATATTTGCTCTGACTTTTTAAATTCTTATTAAAAAAAATTAATTCAAATATAAATATTTGTAGTCTTCTTCCCTGTAAACACATAGAATTTGATTATCTTTATTATCTTCGGAGATATTTAAGGGGTATATTTTCATGGGACAGCCTATAAAATATGAAATTGTGCTAATCAAAATTTAAGTTCAGTCTGCACTGATTAAGAATTATTGTTGGTAGTTATTAGTCTGAGTAATAGATTTAAAAAAATTCATATTCATAGTTTATACAATAATTTTGGACTTATTTACATAATAACAAAAACAACCTATTTGCTATACTTGTCTATGACATTTATCAATAATACATGTATAATGGTTGGTATAATAGTTGCCAAATTTTGTAACAGTCTTTCATCACTACATTATTTTAATTAGTTTGTATTAATCGTTGCTCATAGATTACATTAATTATTTACATTTCTAAACTAAATCAAAATATATATTAATGATTGCATAGATAATCAATACTAAATTACTTGATGCGCTGAAGTCAAATTTTGGTCGTAGTTTGACTCAATTGGATTATTGTAATGCAAATCTGAGACTAAGAAATATATATTGTATACAAAATTAAAATTATTATTAATTTTAGAAGCACAGATAGTATTTAAAATATTATGTATACTTACATTCAATAGCTGATTGACTATTTTGAAATTCATCAAAATTAGACATCATAATAACACCATCCAGACCATCAGGGCGCATAAAACTAAAATAAAAACCAATATTGTTACTTAGACAACTGTAACACCCTAAAAATTATTTCATTTTCAAACAAATTGCATAGTAAAAATTAAACTTATATCAATAATTATTATAATATCAGTTTTGCTTGGAATTTAGGATTTGAGCTAAACTAAATCTTTACTGTTATAGTAAGTAACCAAATACAATATGTATTGCAATTAAATTTATAAGGTAGGCAAGGTATATGCCATTTATCTCATACTTGTTGTCAACGGATTGGTGTTTAATAAAGTACATCAGAGCACATTTTAGATTATGAATAAAGTGAAGAATATTTTTGATTTTTGATAGTCAATTTTGTATATTAGGAGGGGAGATAATTTATTGAATTTTATTAATAATAAGAACCAAAAAAACAAGGATATTTATGAAATAACAGTTCCTGTTATGTTAGATATTGTATTATTTTTAACTGGTCTCTGGGAGTGTCTCAAACAGGTTCTACTGTACATATAACTATTAGAGTGGTCCAACCTTATAAAGGCAAAAATTTAATTTTAGAAATTTACTAACAACACAAGAAATACAAAATAATGTTTCTGTACAAATTTGGATTTGATCATTCAACCCTTTCACGTGCTCCATAAGGGATAACAAATGACCTATTGAAGTTTATTTGAATTTTTTTTAAACTCAATTATTAAAATTACAAAATAATGAAAATAAATTAATTTGTACTTGTAGTTATTTTGTTTAATGAGTATACCAAGTATTTTTTTTTTAAATTATTATCAATTACAAAAAATAAAAATATATTGGTACTTTGGTAATATTTGATTTTTCATTATTTTTTACGTTAAACAAAATTATTTTCTTGAAAAACCACAATAATTTTGTTCGAAATATATATTATACATACTTTTATTGATACCTATAGTTGACCATTTCACGTGAAAAAACCGAAAAATTCTAAATCTTAAATCTTATTTCATTATTTACGATTATGCCTAGATTCTAAGTAATAATATTTCTTCAATTATCGTAATAACTATTCACCATTCACAGTTGTAATAAATTTCTTGTCTTTTGTGTGGTTCCATTATTTTTATATATGCTGAATCAAAATATCTATTCAATTGATTCAGTAAACAAAATCAAAGGTAAATTTACAGGTAGTAAATTACCATCTAAAAGGATTGTTTAAGTTTTTTTATTTTATAATGTGGTTTTTTAAATTAAACTTTCACACGTAATGATTACAGAGAACTTTTGGAGCTAATTAATCATAATTTTTTTGGGAAATAATATAGTATATACTAATATATAAGTAATATATATACTGAAACATTTCACGATATCTTTATCTATTTGATAAATATATTAAAATAACCATACAAAAATCATTTGTTCTAAATATAGGAAATATTTTGCATTTTATTTTTATTTTTTTTAATAATATAATGATTTTATGAAAAATGTTGTAGATACTATTTTTATAAAAAAATAATATATTCTAATATTAAGGTATCAAACATTAGTGTTACAGTTATTGACTTAAATTCAAAAAACTATCAAGTCTGAATTTTCACAAAATCATTATTTTGTATATCTTAACAAAATAAGAGTGTGCTGGTAACAAAAATCTGAAGTTGACATTTTTGAACCACTCTAATAACTATATAAATAAATTTGTTTGATTTTTATTAGTAAATTGTATTTATTAAATTAACTTAAGTAGGTAACTGAATTTTAATAATTTAATAATTAGTTTTACACTTAATTTGGTTTTAGATTAGTGAATAAACTTAATTATAATTATATTATTATAGCAATTTTTGTTCTATTTTTCTAGTCCGTATTACTTCAATAACTAGTTATTCCTATTTAAATACTTTTTTAAAAAACTAATAGTTGGTTTTTTACTTCAAGCTGAATTTAAACTATTAAAAACTTAATAAAAACTCTAATTTAAACTAAAGTGACGCGGGAAAATTTTTAATGTTGACATAAATAAGCATACATATGCATGAAATATGGTTGAAAAATGAGTAAAGTAAATGCCCCCTGATTTCGCACAGGCACTGATGTGAGCTGATATTATGTGCCTGCCTGAAGGTTAAAGCAAAGAGTTAGTACTGAATTAATTACCAAATTTATTAGGATCGGAAATTCCTAGCATGCATAAAATGTATACAATATAATAAATCTATTAATTTTTTTGTTTATTAGATATAATATTATACATGTATATACTGATGAGGCTCTTTTTTACATAATAGAGTATTAATAAATACAATGGTAAATATATGAATAACTGAATATATACATAGGTACAAAAAATAAGAAGAAAAAGAAAATTATATATGAAAATGAGAGTATATAATGTATATACTTAAGTAAATTTTAAAACTATAAACATTGATTTATTTAAACTATTAGTTATTACCAATCAAAAACTGAAATAACGACACAGGTGGTAGATTTGATGTTAACAAATGAACTGTACTAATATAAAAACTGTTATGAATGTTTAATCGATTGATCCTATTTGTATATTGTATAACTTTATAATATAATAAAAATAAACCTCAGGTAATTATTATGAGCACATATATACACAAAAATTTGTGCACTGAGAAAAAAAAAGCTATTAGCTTTTGTAATAATTATTAGATAATCCGATGTAAAATTAGACGTAGTACTTAAGTAGGTACTGTGTTTTAAACGAACTCACTAATTCAATAACCCGAGATCGTTCCCTAGTGAATCTTGTTGGTCGCTCATGATGCCGTAGAGTTCTTGTAAATTAATGTGATAATTACTGTTCGCCAGTTTTGCTTCGGAAGTCACAACAATACAAAGAAAATAAAAACTATAATAAAACAACAGAGGAATGAAAATATTAAATATTAATATTGACCGAACCAATGTGTATTGATTAATATACCTTGGAAAGATAATGTTTTTACTTTATATTCGTATTACCTATTATTAATCGCGTTGTTTACCGACAAAGCAGAGTCGCGAAGATACAAACGATACAATAAGTGACCGTATGACCGACGACCGTCATAGATAATACATAATTATATATTATCTATGGTGACCGTGACTACTGGAACTTAGCGACGAGGCGATACGAAAGAAACGCAACTACAGTAAACCCAGTCCGATCAGTTTGAAAATCGTACGTAACTTCTGTTTGTTCTCATTTTTTTTTTTATTATAAAAATCGTTATTCCGCACGAATACGAATTTAATTTGAAATCACATCACACTACGTTAAAATTTTTGGTAAATTATAATTTACCAAAAATTCAAAACTCGTTGTCAATCTCATTATTTAACGATTATGGCCACGGGGATGTTTGGAAAATGCGTCGTCAAATTGTTAGTTGTAATTTCCGTAACTATTGGCTTACACTTTCTAATCGTGTCCATGCTCGGGTTTGGTCGTTTTCTGGCTGGTTTCAGCTCGCCGCTGTCCGTTTGTTTGCCATCGGACATTCGTAAGTTGATAAAAAAAAATAAGAAAACAAATTTAACTATTGTATAATAGAAGTGGTGGTAGCTTGTGAGCCTCTCAAGTGGCGAAGCAAATATTTTGAATATTTCAAGAGGCGGAGGTGTTAATATACCTACTTAGATATTATATAAATGTAGGTATACCTACCTACTATTAAAATATGATGTTATCATACGAATTATTATATTATTTTGTTGAATTTAGATATCAGATTACTTATAAGTAATTAATTTGAGGTCCTATTTTAAAATATTTAGTTAATTGATAGTGAATCATTTTGGTGGTTACATACTCAGTAACCGGTGACAACGAAAATATTCGTTTAAAACTAATTCTAACCTTACCCCCCCCCCCTCTTTCAACCAATCAAAAAGGTTTGAATATATTAGGTCTTGAGTTTAGAATAAAACATTTAAAACAAAATATTTCTGTAATTAAATTAATTATTTATTATCATGATCACGAAAATGGCGTGATATATTAACACGTGCTTTGCCAAATGTATTTAATTTTAAGTAATAATTCTGGAGATAATAAAAACTATTCGAGATAGAAATGAAGTTAATTTAATTATTTTGTAACTGATTACAATTTTGAAAGGAAAATAGTAAAAACTAGACTATTACTATTAACGAATTTGTGGTTATATTCTGACTATTCACAGTTTAGTGAATATTAATATACATCATTTTTAGAATGATTTTACTCCGATCATCAACTTCTGAGTGGTTTTGGATTTTGGTAGAAAATAATGTCTTGTTAATCCATTGTAAGGTTGTTCATTAATTAACAAATAATATTAATAATAATGATTTATTAATTAGTTCATATTTGAAGTTTTCAGACCGGGTGCATTTTTCAAAATATTCCGACGATTTTGAGATATTAATAGATATTTAACATTTTTAAGTTGTAGTTTCTGAGCATAACAATTAAGAATAGATTGGTTTTACTTTGGTCTACGAATTCTAGTTTTTTTTCCTGTCTGTACAATTGTAGGTGTTAAGATATAAGGTACTCGTTCAATATGCTACCTACCGCACGTTTGGTGGTTAGTAGTCTTTGGTATGCTATCTACTTATAACTTGATTATTTTGGAATTAAGATTAGGCTTCTATCAAATTTGGATTTTTATATACTATAAACATTTAATCATTTGGAAATTAAGAATTAGATTTTTTACAACAAAAATGAATCAACTGTAAGTTATTTGTGTCGATATATAATTCAAAATAAAGAAATGTGTGTAGGTACGTTTTTTAAAAAACAGTGATTTATTATTAAATTACCGAATGAACAAACATCTACTAAAATTAAAAACTAAACAATTTATGGTGGTGAATTGAATGAAGTTCTTAAAAATAGTATAGGAAACGAGATTCAGTAAGAATTTAACAAAGTAGAAATAAATACCGCATTATAAAGGTAAGACAATTTTTATTTGTCGATAGGTACCGTATTAAATCAATATAAAATTATGGTAGATATATTAAACTAGTACTTACCAGATTTAATTTTTACAGAGATATTTGATGTAATCATAGGTTTTTCTACGATGCGCCTTTTTACATACAGTTCTATAAATACTTACCTAACAGTATTTAAAAAACTAAAATATTAACTCTGCATAACACAGTGTATAATTATTTAATTTTTTATAGATAACATTTATTTTCGGATTATCGTGGACTGGACATTGGCGTCGTGTTATCTATATTCACCTAGGATTGTTGGTTGTGCTGTACAGCAGATCGTAAATTTGTCTGGATTACCTAGCTGTTATTTCAAATTTACCAAAATCGTCTTACTCGTGTCTATTTTGAACGTAAACATTTTGCACGTATATAGTATTTTCATTATACAATTTATAAACCTGCTTAATCAGTGAAAATAATTTATTATTTTTAAGGGAAAAATTACACTTTGGCAAGCAATTCCCGAAATATGTTTATGGCATCTGAACTATGCTGAACATACTCATTTATATTTACACTGTTCCATGTGGATTATATGGTTGATGATTGTGTTTGCAATAGATATTATGGAAATAACGGGAGTCAAAACGGTAATGTAAAATATGATTATAAGTTTTAAATTATTTTTTACGTTTATCTGCAGTACCTACCTAGATAAAATTTATATTCAAATCTGTACGAGTCAGCTGGTAAGGTACAGAATTTATAAATGATTAATTACACGATTTTGTCAGAATGTCTGAATGTCAAATGTCTGCGGTGAAAAAATATTATTTTTGATAATTTTGATAGTGTGTGAGCTCACAAAAAAATACAAGTGCTATTGTTTAAAAATTAACTATATTGATAATATTTCAACAATTTTCAATAGTTCTGATAAATTACCAATAATCTTTTCGGAATAGAATTTTTGTAACGTAATACAATTTGTAAATACTTCTCTAATTGAATTATGGAACTTTAGTTTGCTATTATAAAAATGATTTTAAGTAAGAATTTATTAAAGTAAAAATCCATAGTCTAAATTATAAGATCTATCAAATATATTTTTTAATTTTCTTGGACATGATTTTTTTACGTTCATTATGTATTATAGCATAGGTACACTTACTGTATAGTGTACAAGGTTTTACAATCTGAAGTAGATTAATAAACAATATTATTCTCAATAAATAAAATATACTCATATTATATGTGAAGGATGCCATGTTGAATTAAGAGACTAATACTTTTTTTTTTTTCTGAATATTTCACCAAACAAAGAAAAGAAAAAATTAAATAACATACTGTACCAGAAAATGTTAAATGTTTGATATAATGGGTAAACTACAATGAATATTTATTTTATTTTCAATGAAAAATACTATCCAATAATTTAGTTGTTATTGATTTTAACATATGTGTTTATATATATATATATTATAACTTGTGTTTTATTATCCAAAGATTTTATATTATAGTTTAACAAACGGAAATTGTTGTTCATTGAAGTCTCAACAATTTGATCAATTTTTGTCAAACATGGGATTACCAGGATCCACATGTCTCATAATCATTTTATGGTCTCAGAAAGTAATGAGGTACTTACTTACCTAGTGGCGCCCAATCTATATGCGAGGTGTACTAACTTCTATGTCTTTAGCAAACAAACTAAATTATATTTATTAACTAGTACACTAATTGCATAAAAATCAAATTGATATATTATGTACCACTTTATATTTTTGTTACAGTTTGGATAGATTTATTCTGGCTGTAATTTGGACATTAGGAATATTATCCAACAATCAGACGAACAATATTGATATTAAATACGTTGCCAGACAGATGGATAAAAAAAGGTTATGGATGTTTTTTTCAGAAAGAATAACTTTTTTACCATTGAAATAAAGTCTAACGGTCTCTAGATTAATATTTTAAATAAAATTAATCATAACTTTGAGTTTAATATTATAAAATGTGTGTGTTCATGAATTTACTTTTAAATTTCTATAATAGTTATTATTTTATGTAAATACCAGTTTCTTCTTCTTTTCATGTCTGTCATCAGCTTTATATTCTCTTACCTTTCCAATAAGTAGTGATTTGTATCACCTTATTTGTAATATAATTTGTCATCATAAATTCTTCTTTTCTGCACTTAGCCAGTAATTATGAGCCCATAAATTGTAAACATATGGTCTTACTCCTTTCAAGTCTCCATACTCACATTTCTCGGCATCTTTCATTTCCCATTTTTGTTATATTTTATATTACCGTCATTCCTTCCAGTTTCAGTTCTTATTATATTAAGTGTTTTCCATGTTTTCCATATTGTCCATGGTAAGCAGTTATCAGGGGGTTAATTTTCTTCCATATTTTTGAATTTATATCCATTGTTTCCTCGTTCTATAAGTCTATTCTTTTTGCTTTCGGTATTTGTGATAGACTAGTTGTTGTCTTATAAAGTTTTTCTTTGATTTATGTCAACTCCCTGTGAAGTTCGTTTCATATAAAAAAATGTCTTGCATCTGTCTCTTGTTTTTTTTTTTTTTTATCCTTTCTATCTTTTTAACCTCTCGTCTTATGTTCAGAAGTACTATTTTGCATAATATTTGTACTTTCCAATTGGAGGTTGGTCTTAAGCACCCCATGATTAAACTATTTACTGCATTCAGTGCAATGTCTTTATTCTTGGTATGTGCTAAGTTTCTCTTTGTAACACAAACTTATTTTCTAGCCAAATTACATAATCATAGTACTGTCTTTCTTAGGACATGAGGGTCTACATACCACTGGGATCCAATCAATTTCTGAAATAAACAATTCTTAGTCACTATTTTCTTATTTTTTATTTTCACAGTGACATTTATATGAGTTTGACGCCTAGATATTTTAGATCATCATAGTGCTCCAAGTCTGTATTTTGCCAAGTAATTCTCAGTTTGTGCTTTGTGTCTCTATTTTATAGATGGAAAGCAGTTATTTGTGTTTTTGCTGGGTTTGGTTTGAGGTAGTTGCGGTAGTAATCCTTTATTTTATTAAGCATGACGGTCAAGTTATCCTCAACTTCTTTGAATAATTCATTCTGCGTTGTAATGACGAGGTCATTTGTGTTGGTAAAGTATTTCTTTTAGTTCCCAATCGGATGATCATTTGTATACATATTACAGAGTATTAGTGGTAGGATATACTAGTTTGTTATAAACCATTGTTTTGTCTTCTCCATCTGCTTTTTTGTTCTGTAGTGATCCAAAAATCATCTTTTCCGTAATAATAGACCAACTATTTTTTGTCAACTTAGCATCTTTAATTAACTCGTATATTATTATTCATTATTAGTAGTCTATGATTGACCATATTGTATGCAGCGCTGAGGTATAAAATGCCAGAAGCAGGTAATCTGAATAAACAAAAATAAATAATTAATTAGATATTTGTACCGAAAAATAATAATAAAAAATATTTATACCTAAAAAAAAAAAAAAACATTTTATTCTCCTTGGGGTTGAATTTGAGAAAATGGACGACGTGAATGTTTAAGGTAGTATTCGAAACAATTCTAGAAAAAAAAAAATTGCAAAAAGTTCAATAGTGTCTTCAGAACATTGTATACAAAAAGGCTTATCCTTTTGTATAATTAAATATTATTTATTTTAACAATAGAGTAATAAAAATATAAAATAGTGTTTTAAACATTTTTTTTTTCATTACCTAATTTAATGAATAAAACAAAGTGTAACAAAAATTTAAAGTGATATAGTAGTAATTGATTAATATTCACTTGCTCTACATAGTGAGACATTTTAAAATTGTTACTTTAATTATGTTATTGTAATAATTTAGCTATCTAACACAAAACAGTAGCTTTTATTACTTTTATCGACTGTTCTATACAAACATCCAAATTGTAGTTTAACTGTAATAACATCTAAATTATATTTATTAAAATATTATTATATATTAACACTTTAGGAAAATTAGCCAAACAAAAATTGATTATTTAAGCCAGACATGATGTTCTTGTTAAAAAAACAAAAGTTTTTATTACATGGAAAATTCCTAATCCAAATAAACCTAATCTATGTAGATGATTAAAAAAAAATTGACGACCAGAATACTTATTTAAAAAAAATAAAATCATTTATATTCAAGTCAAATTGATTATTTTTTTAAATTATCAACTCACATATATAATTTACAATTAAATTTAGGGGGCTGGAAATTTCCTTCTATTTTGTAAAATTTAAAATTTATTTTTTCTCTTTAACGATAAGACTTGCCTGATACCTATTTAAGGGGAAGGAGTATTGTCGTTTTTATAGACATATATGATGTTTTAGACCAATAAGCTGGAGTAAAATTCACCCCTTACTGGTTACCTGATCTTAATTATGAAAACATTTCAAATCTTTGATTTCATATTTATGTTTTTTCAGAAACATTTGTTCCATTTTTTATTAAGTTATATAAGGTACATGAAAAGTATACATTTTTATCTCATATATAAAACTTAAGTATTTTGCACATAATAATACTTTGTTTGTATATATTGGCTAATATATTTGACTTACTAGTTTCCAGAAAATAAAGGTATCGTTTTGGTAACTGCCATTCCCCCAGCCTTCCCTAATCTTTATCTAATCTTTACCCAATCCCCGGACATTATTACATTTTTATTTTACCCTTCATTGTAAAATACAAATTTTACTCCGTGATGAAAACTTGCGCTTTCCTAGCAATGTGTGCGCTCCTCCCCCCCTATTCCCCTGTTGGGAAACATTGGTTTAAACGTGTACGAATGAAAAAACGAATGGCTTTTAAACGCCTTAATATTATAAAATATTATTGTTATCATCGTCGTCGGTTAAAATATAATAAATATATCGTACACCGCAGCCGCATAATTACAATATTATAATGTCCGCGCGTTCGGACGTTATATTATTCTATTACGGACGATAATATTGTTTAAGTACGAACGGGGGGTGGGGCGAGGGGAAGGAGTTAGGGTTATTCGAAATTGAAGTGGTATTTACTAATGCGAATCCGCAGTAGACCGTCGTAATTATACGATTCAAGTATAATAATTGTGCGCATCTGTATAATATGCATATCTATACACAGAATACTACTCGAATATAGGTATATAACAGTAATAATAATAATAATATTATTATTGTGTATTAACGCGTGTTGTACGACTTCAAAACTAACAGATATCGCCGCCGACCCGAGAAGGGATAATAGCCTATTGGGTTATAATATTGTTATGCTGGCGCGTAATGTTTTGCCCGTAAGTACCTATATTATATTATAATATATTTTATGCGTTTTTATTGCATTTTATTGGCCGACGACGACGATTATCGGGTTTGTGTTTTCGTATCGTTTTATGGTCGCCGCCTACCTATGTGCTGCAGCCTAAGCCGGACAAGTCGACCGATTTTTATTATTTTTGTAACTGGTTAAGTTATTGAAATAGCTTTGTATTTTATTAGTATTAAGATCTGAAGGGGTCAATGGGAATCCCGGAATAGGGAACACCGCATAGGGCAAATAATATTTTTGGATTTAAAAATTCCTAATTGTGGCACTGAGGTACCTATTTCACAGTATT